GCTAGTTGCCATTTGAACTTCCTCAGAGGTGAGTCAAGTTGACGTATGATCATTCGTTACGGTTACTACCTACATCTGACCTAGATAGGAAATGGTAGGTCTTATTGTATAGAAGCACAATCGTATTTCCCGCAGATGGGCGGATGTCATTGACTACGAGTTGCCTGTTTGGGAACGGGGAGTTTGTATTCATCCTCGGGATGTGCAAATTTTATCATTTTTCTCAATTCCTAAAACTAATCTGATATGCAAAACGCGAATTTATGATGGACGGAGTCAATTCAAGTAAAGGCAATGCCCAAAGAAAGCCTATCATCAAATCGAAGTCAGTAAGGATACGATGAAATCGATTGACGACTCAAAAGATGGAAATAGCATTGTTGTCAGAAGTCCATTAAGATCATCGAAGCAGACCACAAGGATCTGCTTCTGACATAAGAGGTACCAGAAAATAAAGTATAAAAGGTGTTGTCTCATCACAAAGATAAATCATGAGTAACAATGAAATTGCAAGTTCAGAACATACCTTTTGGAAACTTAGCTGAGAGCGATTGTGGAAACGTCAGTCAGTCATATGTACAGCTCTAAAGCTGGCAACCGTTCAATTGATCAACATCAAGATCAAAAACATTGAGTATTTTCGACAAAGGATAATAACGAAGAGGGAGGAAAGAAGTTCTGCGGACGTTGAAACCGCAGAAAAAGTAAGAAAAGCTAAGCGAACTCCACCCGCACGTGACCCACACTCCACCACCCACCCGTCCTTCATCTCATTCATCTTCACATCGGCTTCAATTTTTTACGATTTCATCCATCGCCAGTCCAACTCCGTCGACACACCCGACCAGTACACCCCCGACAATACTTCAAGATGGGGTAAGTTATCGCTCTTTGCGATTCAATGCGACTCGAGACGCATCACCACAATCGCTTATTCCGAACACTCGAACTAATGAACTCGCTACAGTCGTATGCACAGCAAGGGAAAGGGTATTAGCGCCTCTGCTATTCCCTACAGCCGTTCTGCTCCTGCCTGGTTGAAGACCACCCCCGACCAGGTCGTTGACCAGATCTGCAAGCTCGCCAGAAAGGGTGCTACCCCTTCCCAGATCGGTGTTGTCCTCCGTGACAGCCACGGCGTTGCCCAGGTCAAGGTTGTCACTGGTACGTTTACTCAATATTCGTCCTGTCCGTGCCTACCGTTCGCTAACATCATTCTGCAACAGGTAACAAGATTCTGCGTATCTTGAAGTCCAATGGTACGATACCGTCCACCATAACTCCAATCGCACCAGTATAGACGAGGATATCGAGGCTAGGGGATAATGGATAAGGATGTACGGCGGTTGCTCTGAGAATGAGATGCACGAGCGTAGAAACACCTCTGCATGAAACTGCTGTTGCCCGTCTTGATCCCCCGCCTCGATTCCGAATTCTATCACTGGAAGTGGGAAAGTCTTTTCGCAGAAATGCAAAAGTTTTCTCTATGCCTCTGCTTGGTCATTCCACAGGCTGACAGAGAGATTTTTCGTAAAAACAGGCCTCGCTCCCGAACTCCCCGAGGACCTTTACTTCCTGATCAAGAAGGTAGCGTTGAATTCTCTCTTGCGCTGTATTTGCTTCCTGCTGACTGTTGTAGGCCGTCGCCGTCCGCAAGCACCTTGAGCGCAACCGCAAGGACAAGGACAGCAAGTTCCGCCTCATTCTCATCGAGTCTCGTATCCACCGTCTGTCCCGCTACTACAAGTCCGTCGGTGTCCTGCCCCCCACCTGGCGTTACGAGTCCGCCACTGCCAGCACCCTTGTCGCTTAAGCGGCTCGCCATCTCTCTGGTCTTGGTGTGTGGTTGTTGGTTCTGTTGACATTCCGTTGCCGATGAGGAATTTCGCTCTGGCAACCTGAGATGGTTGCGGGGTGATAGACTAGGACTCTCCTAGTGTTAATGCATGAACGATCCTAGACACCTCGTGTCGCGAATAGTCAAAAATCAAAACAAAATTCAACTACCTGAAATCCTCAACTGTAGCTTCGAAGTAGTTCACTCGATCAGTAATATGACTGCCTGCAGGGTATAAACAGCTATACATCGCAATATTTCTATACATTATCCCAAATACCTCTATATGCGAAATCAACTCGCTCGTCTAACCTCCTTCGCAACCGCGTTGCAAAGCTCAACCTTCACACCAGCTCCAGTAAGAACATGGATCCACAACCTCTGGGTATCACTCAAACGATCATTCTCAGACTTGACCTCCACAAACATGACTTCCTTTTTCTCCACACTCCACAGAAAGAGATCAGGTATCCCCCCACCGCGCTGCTGATACTCCTGGGCCATAACCTTGCAGATAGTGGCCAGGGCTTCGCCTCGAAAACACTGCACGATCTCAACCAAGTCGTCCAGCTCAAAGGACCAGTCGATGCCGATGGCGCAGGTCTGCTTCGCTGATTCACGCTCATGGACATCGCGAATGATTCGCTCAGCAGCGCCGTTGGTTATCTCTACCAGGCGGTGATTGATCTCTGATGCACGGGAGGGGTAGAATGCATCGGTGTGGAGGTCTAGCGGACAGGTTTGAAAGGGTGTCTGGAAGACATTAGGGACGTAGGTGAATAGGATGTCGTAGAAGAGATAGCCGAACTAGGATTCGTATGTTAGGTGTGATATCATGCGAGATGGAATGAGGCGTACCAAGGTTCTGACGATCCCTCCTTCTGCATGGTAGCCCTTCCAGCCATGATCCCTATACCAGCTCAAACACATGCTCTCGACCCTGCATTCGCTTCCGCCTTCTCTCTCATCGATCCAGATAGTTGGACGGCCTCGCCTGGTCAACGATTCCTCGCTCTTTCCTGAACCACGAGCAGGTGAGTCCTCCCGTTCGATGCGAATACCCTCAATCGTCCGTACTTCTGGTTTGGCCAACATGACATGGCCAAAGTCGTGTTGCTCACGCTTGACTATTTTCAAAGCTCTTTCCAGCTTTGTGATCCGCTTTTGAAGATCATAGTGGTAGATGAGATGGCAGTCCGGATCTTCCAGCCCTTCTTCGCATGTCCGCAGAGCAATTCGCTTCCAGTGTTTCTTCTGGAGGTCCTCGCTCCGTCCATCAGAAGGTGTAAGAGCCCACATATAGTGTTCCTCCAACAGTGCTTTTCGCTGATACCATGCGCCACGTCGGGCAGCGTGGAACAAGCGCTGGCCTAGCAATTCACACAGGATTTCGTGTTCCCGTTTGTGTTCTTTGAAGCGCCCGAGAGGATGAAGACCTTTATGAATGATCCTGGTATAGACCCACGCTGGTGAAAAGCGACGTAAGTAGGCGCCTTCACCCGCTTCGTAAATCGTGTCTTCCTTGCGCTGTTCCTGTTCGAGTAAATTTTTCCATCGGGGATAGACGTCTGTACAAAGGAGTTTCACATGCTCCAGCCTTTCCTGAGTAGGGGTGCCGTTGAACTCAAGAAGATTGTCTATTTGATGTTGTTTCCGAAGTGCTGATTCAAATTCAAGCAGAATCTCTCTGGACGGAAAGATCGAGCTAGATCGAGATACAATATACTCGGGAAAATTTCTGCGGGAGATCTTCGCAAGAATTATAGTGGTGAGGGATCTCTCCGTCCACTCTGTCGACCTGTAAAAGACCAGATGGGCTCTCTCGAAGAGAGCATAGGGCCCCGGCGTAAGTCTGATGCAGTCACCGGTGTACTCAAGGATTTTCTGAATATAATGGTCATCTCGATTGAGAGCGGGGGGTGAGTCGTGCTCTTTATCGTTCCAGTTGAGACCTGTTTGTCTCTGGCTGGACGCACGAAAGGCCTCAAGGAGCTCCTTCTTACTTTTTCCTTGAACCTTTGCATCCTTTGCGAGGACTTTGAGTTCTTCAAGAAGTAGCAGAGAGGATGCTTCCTCCAGAGTGGTTATCTCATCAGTGTCGTCAGCGAATCTGAAATGAGTGCAACCCGCACCACTGCTGGAACTCATATCTTCAGAGTTATCATCTGAAGGTACTAGAGGGCCAGGCAGCTTACGGCTAGACCGCAGATCAGCCACCGCCTGGGAAATATCACTAATGTCGGAGAAATAACCCAAGCGATTGATGCGATGCCAAGCCGAGGTCTTACGAAGGAAGAGCCGTACATATCTGACAATAGACAATCAGCTTGTTTCTGACGACACGAATCCGCTAGCTCGACTCACAAGTATTGGGACTCATACGACAGCCCTTTCCATTGTCTGAAAACTTCTAATTCCGTCTCATTGAAAAGATGAGCTTCTTCGTCCAGCACAGTTTCCAGTGCCAGATTAAACGCATCCACATAGATTGAGCTCTTTCCCTTCCGCCATTTGCGGTCTTGGAGCCTCTGGCGCAGATCAGGCTCGTCATCCTGTTCTACTGCATGCGAAATCTCATACTCTTCGATAGCTTGTTTATCTGTAGGAATATCTGGTAGCGAAGACTCTAGTTCTGTCTGACTGTTTGGGAACGGGTTCTCGTCCTCGACCGCGAAATCGCCGACTTGAGCCGAGGGCAGGGAATCCCATGTATCTAACGGACTATCAGAGCTATCGATTTCGTTTTCGTTGATGCTGGATTCCTCTTTCGGGAGCGCGACTGATCTGGGACTGTCTTGACCCTCTTTAGGGGTAGTCTTCCTGCGCTTCACGGGAGGGCGCGATGTGTCCCAGTAGTCCAGAAGGGACATGCTGCCACAAGAGCTTTGACGTGATCATTCGAGACGGATTTCAGAGAGACACTCTGTAAACAGCATCACTAGCATCAAATTGATGGCCAACAACGCGCTGACACGACTGTTATTGAAGTCCGAAAGACCATCCCCATCTTCTAGGCGCCCAAACGTGTCACGAAAAGACGCGAAGTCACCTGAGTTTAATTGCATTTGTACCTGTTTGATATGTTTGCAGCCTGACCACTTGGCAGGCCGCAGTAAGATAAGCAGCGCCGATGAAGGCGCAATTGTACGTATCTAAAGTAAGCGCATGAATTATAACATCTATCCTCGCACTCTGTATATATATCATCGTTTGACATAATAGTAGCCATGGCGGACGTTCCTGTGAGAAATACTCTCCCCTCATGGCCATCCCCACAGTGGAGAGCTTGAAGAAGCTCCGCCCGCAAGCTCCGCCCTTGGAGATCTTTCTTCGTTCCAATTGCGACAACACTTTTAATTTTCTGTCTACTCTTGCTTTGTTTCTCTTTTCCCTTCAATCAGTATCGGTCGTACACTGAGATTGCTTCCCATCCGTCTAACTACTAGTCTTTAGTCACCCGACTCAGCCGCCTCGATCAAGAAAGAAATACCCTCTACGTCCTCTGCGCCTCTGAACAATTCACTCCCACAAAGTGATCCGACCTCCGGACCATGCGCATTACATCTACTCAACATGGGCAACGGAGCAACACCTAGCAGCAACACCGGCGCAGCAAATACCCCGCGAGCAGAGTCGAATACCCCCGCGGCGCAGCTCCGTCCAGGCGGCGCGCCCGCACGAGTATACATGAACGAAAAGATAGTGCCGTACTTGCTTGAGGGGATGAAATCCGTCGTGAAGGAACAGTGAGTGGCTTCTTATTGCTTGATAATGCGCCTGCGTTGTAATGGCTCAGCGCAGGGCTGCGCGGGACAAGGTGACTAGGACTAATATCACCTTTGCAACAGACCCTCAGATCCCCTACGCATGCTAGGCGAGTTTCTGATTCAGAAGAGCAACGAGGTGGAGGGCGGAGCGGTGCCCGTGAAAAAGTCGCCTGAGTAGGCTGGGGATTCAGACGATGGCGCTAGCGAGCGCTGTACATTCCACTGGGGATCGGTTACCTCATGATCTATTGTGTCTCATGGAGCGAGATTCAGAAAAGGCAACTGATTGCTCACGTCTGCATGAGGATGAGCACCACACCGGCCCTTGACTGAGAGCAGCTGGCGATCCTGATGAGAAGGGACATGGTCTTCTCGTCAATCTGTCTGTACCACAGATTATCACTGTGCTGACATCAAATGCTCGGCTTTGGTTATTCGGTATCACGGGAGAACATCCCACCACAGACAAGATTTTCAATCTATGTTGCAAGCTAGATTCAGCGAGGATTGTACGACTTTTGCCTTCATATTGTGGATATAGAGAGAGCCTTAATCTCGAGGTCCATATTGCCTCTCTAGAGGCGACGACATAAAATATCTTCTCCGTTATATGAACCACAGTAATCATTTTGTAGTCTTGCGTGGATGCGACCTGGCGGTGATTGCAGTATATATATATTTCAATGTCATTCAGCATCAACCTTGAAATCACATGCCCTGTAACAAACAGGATGACGTACAGGTCAGCTAAGCAAAATCAATTGGATAATAAAGGTTATACAATAACGACTCATGGCAACAGTCTACAGAATATTGCAATAGAAGTTGGTACCAACACAGCGGCTGAGATCAGAACGACTAGGATCTCCGACAAGACTTCATATGATGACTACTCCATGCACAAGAACCATGTTGCAAGAAGATCTTCCATATTAGAAGAAACTACTAGGCACCATAAAATCCGTGTGTAACAAGAATAATAAAACCTTGATTGTTAGTATTTCAGCAGAGCCAGACGAAAGAACCGTCACCGCAGGGCTAGTAGAAGGTTGTAGTAGGATGAGAAAGGAGAACTCTGCCCCAAAACTTCGATCAAGGCAAGTGATAGAACAGAAGTTATTACTGTATCTGACGTTAGTATCCTTTTCCTAATGTTTATCCTTACCTCTCGAGCTATTTTTATCAATCAGTGCCACCGACATGTCAACCAGCCCTTGGGGGTGCGACAGCAGGCCTGTAGATAGTGAATCAACCCAGGGTATTACTTTGGACTAAGTTGATCCGGTCCGGTGCCACAGGAGATGCCATTTGCAGAAGGCTGTCCTCGGGTTGGCGATACTACAGGCACAAATAACAGCGGCTGTGGCAGAATTGGCGAGGAAAAGGAGGATCCCGTTCAGTCAGTTTGGTTCAAACAAGGCGTAAGAATAGAGTCCTTGTGTGGGTGAATGGGCCGAAGCCATTTTGTTTGTTTATGTGTTTCAGGCCGAATACAATCGAGTCGTTACGTAGAGAAAGCTGTATAAGACGCAATAAGGCGAAAAGCTGACTAGCGAGACAACGACCAAGTTTTCCGGAAGAGTTGCAAATGTAGCAGTGCTGACGCATGAGATAATCCGAACAATTACAACGTTATTGTGAAAATTTTGTTTCTCTTTCCCTGCCGCCATATTTCCCGGGTGTATCGAAGCGATGAACAAATGAAAATATCAGTCCGTGACCGAAGAGAGTCGACACATTCTGTCCTGGCCTTTCTTTCTTGCTTTGTTTTTGAAGTGGTTGAGAGATTGGTCGCAAAACTGGTGGCCTTCCGATCGGAAACACATGTGCATGTGAAGACGACTTTTCCTTCGAAGACAAGAAAACAAACCATCCACGCCCTGGAGCCGGCCGTGGAATCGAGACCCAATTGTAGGGAAACTCTCGAAATAGAAGCGTTTCAAGGAAATTTGAAGAGTAATGGCACGTCACAAGAGGAAGGAGCAGGAGGATAGGAAGATGGGGAAAAGCCAGCGAAAAGAGGAAAAGACTAACATGGGGAATAATTACGTTGCATGAACCCGATTCGAGTGTTGGCTTCCCATGTCGTCAATTCACCTACCGGCCACTGTATCTGTCTTCACCACCACGGGGTTCATAAGAGCGGCCAGCGTAGGGTTCGCGGGCAGGAGGGGCGTCGCCGTAGCTGGGAGGGTTAGCATCACGATCATAATAGCCACGACGATCGTCACGGCGAGGCTCGCGACCGTACCGCTCTTCACGGCCACCACCACTACCGGAGGCGTAGCGATCAATGCCACCACGGTAGCTGTAGTCGTCACGATATTCACGACGAGGATGGTCGCGGTATTCGCGGCCGCCTTCGCGGCCACCACCATAGTCACGACGATCACTGTAGGAGTCATAACGACCATAACGGTAGTCGTCACCACCACCACCGCCGCCGCCGCCGCGACGCCAGCCGCCACCGTGAGGTCCGCGTCTGTCATCATAACGGTCACCACGGCCGCCGCGGCCACCAGGTCCACGGAATTCTGCAGAAGGGACAAGTTAGCAGTTGAATTGTATCCTTGAGACTCAAGGGTATGAGGACTTACCACGCTTGGGGGTCCAAAGTATTTGCCAGGGGTAGGAGTTCTGGGGCGGCTACGACGAGCCTTCTCAATGCTCAGAGTACGGCCCTCGATAACCTCACCCTGCAGGCCCTCCTTGGCAGCATCAGCCTGCTCGGCAGTGACCATCTTGACGAAGCCGAAGCCACGAGATTCCTTGGTGTGAGGGTCCAACATGATCGAGCAGTTCTCGACATCGCCGTACTTCTCGAACAGACGGGAGATATCGGACTCGGTCAGACGAGGGTGAATACCGGTGACGAAGAGATTCGAGCCGGGGTTGATGGCACCTTCTTCATCATCGTCGGGCTTGCGGGAATCGACGGGAGCACTGCACAAGAGATGTCAGCGTGCTGGTTCAAGTGATACAAAGGGACTGATGATCTAAGGGTGAAATTACCGGTCATCGGCACGTCCATGGGGCGAACGGCTGCGAGCACGATCGCCCCGAGGCTCATCGCGAGGAGAAGCGCTGCGGTCGCGTGCGAAGCGAGGCTCGTCTGAAGTTGAGAGAAGCAAAACAAATTAGTACTGTGACCGCTGTGTTGACGACTATGATAGTTGTCGATCGCGATGTCCTTAGGTAAACACATACCGTCATAGCGACCGTTCTCGTTATCGTATTCAGCAGACATTATGTCGACTTTGAAATGGAGGATGAAACGAAGAAAGTAGATAGGTGATAAGTGAGGTAAAAAGATGAACAAAGCTTGTTACTCGAAAGAGCGCGCGAGATGCACGTCCGGCAACAGGCTGTGGTTGAATGAAGGGGGAAAAAAGTAAAGCAGAAAAATCCAATCAGCAACAGTCGCGTATTAGACTAGGCTGCGTTAGGAATGCTGAAAACCCGAAGTTATCAGACTCCGTCAGTAGAAGGAGAAGTAGAAAAAGAAGGAGGAATGAAAGAGATGGGAGATGGAAGGAGGATGGGTGATGATGATGATGATGGTGGAAAGGAAGGGGGAGAGACGGAGCAGGAAAAAGCGAGGCGAACAATTCCAGACGGGGCGCGGTTTCTCGTGTGGATGGCGCCAAGCCTCAGCACGCCTGGTGTTTGCCTGCAGCAACGACATGTACCTGTCCTGTCAACAAGGAGTGTCTACGGAGTATTGTTGACAAATTAGTAAAAGCTGAGACAGTTCCTACTTATCTAAAGATGAGAAATAGATTTTTTGCAGTAAACTCAGGGCCATTTCATCCGTAATCAATTGATTCCCATTCTTAGCAAAGACCACAATGCGCAAAACAATGCTTCATCCACACACTTATAACACTCATAACACGCCTTTGCTCCCATCTCTAAGGTTAAGGCTCGAAATAAAACTCGTAAGGGGAATAGAGAAGGATTCAAAACAGGATCGCGAAGAAGAAAGAAAGCTTGCTAAAACCATGTTCGCAAGTACGTCGAAGAATCACTTGAATCCACGCCATCGCCTCCGAGTTCGATGGACTTTCACAGCCGTCTCGCTGGTTGGAGCGTCTGACGCAGCAGCGGCTGTATCCGTGGGCGCCGAGTCTCCCTCCATCTCGTCGTCTACCAAGTCTTTCAATTCATCCTCATCCAACTCGCTAAGCTCCTCACTCATCCCCCTCATGACATCGCGACCGGTCCAGCGTTCTTCGTGGATAGTCGTTCCGACGGGATCGAATGGTTGCATGTACCATAGAATACCACCCTGTGACAAGGGATGCTGCGGATCACCCTGAAAGCTTGGTGGAGGTGTGAGGAGCCCTTTCTGGGATTCGGCCGGCTGTGCGAGTAGTGGCGGGCTTAAAACTTCCTCCTTGCCTGGCTCGCCTTCCTGCTGTGCTTGAGCACTGGTGGGAATTGCTGCCGATGCTGCAGGAGCAGTCTGATTTTCCGGCTCCGTCACAGCCGCCGAAGCAGTAAGTTCAGCAGAATCAGTCATGGGAGTATCCTGTACTTGAGCATCTGCGATAGACCGCTCATTCCCAGCGTCAGGCATAGGAGTATCCTCGGCCTTCTCAGGTATGGCTGAGGAGGAAGATTCCTCTTGAGGCTCGACTTTGGTAGAAATCTCTGCTTTACCACCGACTTTCTCTTGCACACCATCCGAAGCTTCACCAGAAACCTGATTAGCGATATGCGCTTCGCCTTCAGCCGGCTCTGCAGATCCTTCTTCTACTGATCCTCTTCGGGAGAGGACGCTGTTCTCAAACATGAGATCCAGCTCTTTCAGTTCCTTTTCGAAGGGCTTGCGGTTGAGCTCGCTTTCTTTCTTGATCGCATCCTCGAGAGCGGGCTGAATGGCCTTAATGATGCGCTTAGCCAATTTCCTCTTCTCACGCTGTTCAAGAGGGAGTTCAGGAGCGCGCCCGCTGATCTGCATTTGTAACTCAGCAGTGTCCCCGGCAGGTTGAACCCCTATTTCCGACGTGAATATGGAAGCTAGGTCGGCCGAGAAGGCTGCAACCGATGTGTAGTACCGCTGCTGAAGTTTCGTTCGTAGAGAAAGCAGACCTTGTTTGAAAACACCTTTTCCGTCAAGCCTAAGATGCCATTAGCGAGGAAATTCTACCCTTCGATGACCCAAAGAGAATACTCACCCTTGAGCTTTGTCATAGATAGGCCAGAGCAGAGGGAAAATAGGGAAGTATACGGTATCCACAATGGTCCTCAAAAGTTCCGCATCCTTCAACTTTTCCCGCTCGCGTTTCTTTACTTCATCGCACAGCATCCTGAGCCGATCCAGGTCGTACGACAATCTTTCACCGAATTCAATGCGTCTCTGCAGTCGCTTGCCACCACTGACTCCCATGGCGACATAATCTCTTCGTGTCATCTCCATTGACGAGAAAGTCTCTAATGACAACTGCAGTCGTTTCAAAAGAGCTGCTCCTCGCCTGGCTTCGCGCTTGAGTGTCCAGTACTTGCAGGCATCTTCAGCATACTGTTTCCTCTGCCGAACACCAAAACGTTGAAGGGACGCCACTACAGAGTTAAGGACAACCTGAGGAATAACTGGAGCACCAGACGGGAGCTTCCATATCGTTTTTGGTGGACCAATGCGCTTTCTTTTGTTACCACCAACAGTAAGCGTGATGCGCGGGGTATGTGTCCTTTGTCCATCGAGTTCGCCGGGGTCGGCTCCCAAAGGATGGGATGGCTCCAGCGATAGAGCGGTCGCCTGGCTGTCACCCCATTGCCTGCCTTGCATTGTGTTGCGGTAATATTCTATAGCATCCGCCGTAGCAGCATCGGTGCCATGCTCCAAGCGCCAATCGTCAGGGACATGCTTATCACAAAATGCCTTGAGAAGATGAGAGTCCATAATTGCAGGAGCCCCATGGCCGGACTTCATCTTGAGGTAAAGCTGAGCGCGCCGTGCACAGGTAGGATGGAAGGCAACAAAGCAGTTTTTGTTGCTGCATTGAATTGAAGCTCCCATTCGCTGTTTGCAGATGTAGCAAGTTAGCTTCCAACGGCTTCGGGGAACTTTCTCAACGTCAGTCACTGGCTCCATGAGCGAGGGATTGCCAAGGGAGACTTCTGGGATCCATATGGCACAGAGGAGATGAGACCACTTAGAGCTCGTAGTCTGCTTGAAAGCACCCTCCGTGTTCGGGCAGAAGATACAGTTGACGGATCCCCGTCCGATCAGCTGGCACTTCCGACACAGCCATTGCCCCTCGGGAATAAAGGGAACACCGTAACACTCTTGGTGCACCGCGAGATCACAGCCATCGCAGAAAACAATGGCGTTGGAGTTCTCGCAATCGCCATCGTCGCAGATAGCGCATTTACTGTCTTGTTCCTCGCCCGGAGCAGTCGTTTCTCCGTTCACGGCTGCTGCGGAGCTTGACCGAGGGCGTTGTGTCTGTGGAGGTTTCGGATTCGGCTTCGGTATACGTTTTTCCAGAGTATGCCACTCCTTTTCGATCTTCGTCATGGTAATCTCAAAGACAGCCGGTTTGATAGGCTCTAACTGCTCTTCTCTTCGCTTCGCATTGTAGTCTTCCAGCCATTTTTCGTCTTGCTCATCCATGTCATATTCAACTCTGCCAACCGAGACATTGACTTCTCCCTCGCTAGTGGGCGGGTTGATAATATCCAGATCGTCTTCTTGCGCTCCCTCAGTCATACGAATCATCTGCCGCTCATGACGGACGAAAAGATCACTTTCTTGGTAGCCCACACTCGCCATCGTCCGGTCCACGTAGTTCTGCTGGCCAACACCTGGCTGGTCATAGAAGACAAATGGATCCCGCAACCGGAACGAAGGTTTTGGGAGAGTGAGCCTCTCACGGGGGTTTGGACCCGGTGGCGGTATAGCTTTCGGCTGAGGTGTGATACCGAGGGCATTCAGGATAGCCTCAGGACGACGGGGAGGACGACCTGGTTTGCGCTTGATAGGTGAAGGAGACGCGCCACTGGTATGGAGTTTGATAAGCTCCGCTAACGGATCCTTGCTCCCATTAATATCGATACCGTTCAACTGCAATATCTCCGTAATGGGTGTCGACGGAGCCGGACGATCTACTTCCTCCGCGTCGAAAACTGCAATCTTGGCATCGATATCCAAGTCCGGGTGGAACTCCTCCCAACCGCGCTCCTCGCGCGGCTTGTACCCGTCTCCCTGCTGTAGAGCCAAAGCGGCGGCGGTCGACGAGCCATAGCGACCACGACTCTGCGACTTCTCCCTTCTCAGACGGGCCGACGGGGAGTTGTCGGAACAGGGGGTGGCGGCGGGGTGGAGGGAGGAGGACTGGTTGTGGTTCAGGTTCAGGTTCGGCTATGGGTTCAGGTTCAGGCTCAGGCTCCAGCTCGGATTCAGGTTCAGGTTCGGGTTCGGGTGCAGGTGCATGTTCGGGCGCAGGTTCGGGTGCAGGGCGGCTTCGTGAGGATGAGGTCCGTCCGATGGGGGTTCGTTTGATCTTGGGAGGTTCATCTACGTCTATTTCGACATATCTCCCTCCACCTCCAGGTCCTCCGGGAATGTATCGTCGTTTCTTGAGAGGGGGGCCTTCGTTGGCTTCAGGGTTCGGCCCCTTGAGAGTAACTTTCGGACCCTTTCGCGAGGCCCTGCCGGCCGACAAGCGGTATTTCGATGAAGAATACGGCGCCATCCTAAAGAAAGTTCATGAAATAGCAGAGACTGATTGGAGGTAGCTTAATAAAGCGTCCCTGAATGGCGGTTCGTTGAGTTCGCCGCTGAGCCTCAAATTTCAAACGTAAAGATTAGGCCGCACCGTGCTTTGCAGAGAAACCAAATCAAACAACATAGAAGCGCAACTCATGACTTGGAGTATGCATGGAATGAATTAGCAACAGCTGTAAATAGAAGGCTCCACGGCCATGACGGGCGACGGCGAGGGGCGACGCGACGGCAACTGGACGTCCGCAATCCACTACTGTCAATGTCTTGGCGCTAACCGCCCTGGGCCAGCCAGAGCGGAGACTCCACTCCGGATCAGATATTCCCAAGCAACGCGGAGCTTATCCATCATTCTCACTTACTTCTTCGGCGCAGCAATCAGCTTGTTCCAGGATGAGTGGTCCCGGTGAAGAACGGTATGCATTCTCTTTTCAAATTCTATGCGTAAATAAGCCAGATCTTTTTACTGACAGGTGTACTTCTAGATGGCGCGGAGGTCGTCCGTACGATCAAAACCGCCAGTCGGGACAAAGACACTCTAACTCGAGGAACATGGGCGCACACAGCGGGAATCGCAGCGGACAGAGCTCAGCTCCCTGGTCGGATTCCCGTGAGCAACTCGCCACCGGGCCGTCTCAGGAGCACGTTCCTGTGCGCGGGTTCAATTCCACAGAGTTGAAAGCAGCTCTACGGAGAAGTAGGCATTCTCTCGTTATCTACTCCATTCCCTAGGATCCACTAACACTTATTTGTTACCTTTAGGCCCAGGAGGTAATACCCGCCCATCCATCCGGAACCTACATATCCGCCACGAGCAGAAGAGTCGCTGACCACCGCACCAGAGCCCAAGCCTTTCTTCTACAGACCAGGTGGAAAAGATGCCAACAACAATCGTGCCAGCGGACCCTGGGGTGCAAAGCGTACGTCATACTTCCACCGATCTGTCAGAGTCCAACGCTGTTAACACATGGGCAGCCAACACGATGGCGAATGGAAAGGACTTCTTTCTCGAGCTTCGCAAGCAGGTGACCGCGTTGCGCCAGGGAGCTACTGTTCCTGGAGGTTGATTCTAAGAGGATCAGTAGTAGCTCTAGGCGAAGAAGAAACATACGGGGGTGGTACCGTTCTCCAGCCGAGTCTGAAGTAAGGCTTCAGGGGCCTCGGTCCAGGACGAAGAATCGAGGATATACTGCTGCTGCTGGCTTTTGCTGGTTATTACCAGAGTGAGCGCCGTGGTCAGTGTGGTAGGCGAACTCGGGGTATGCGTTAGGAACTCTGGGTATTACCGCTATTCCTTTGGCATCTTCTCCTGTTGTACTGGTAGATGGCTATGACATGAACATATTCGAGAAAAGTACATGCAAGTTAAGGATAACGAGAGAATCTTCATGATCCGCATCTTGGTCTATAAATACACTGTACAGAAAGCAATGCACGTATGGTACAGTAGAGAGCAGTCTAGTATACAGTATCATCGACTTACTTTATCATCCACCCGTCAGCGCCCAAAAGACCACCGTCCTCAGCGCGCGGATCAAGAGCCCACTTCCTAAGAGCCCTACCACCGAGGTCCGTGCTGAAGCCTGCCTCGAACATCTCAATCCCAGCCCACCCGATCATGGCCGCATTGTCAGTACACAAGTACGGCGGCGGCGCAACAATCTCAATATGTCCGAACCCGCGGACATCAAGGAATGACCGCAGCACAGCCATCAGAAACCTATTAGCCGCGACTCCACCGCTAATAACGAGCGTTTTGACCTCTGGGACACCCTTGTTCCGCGCTTCCTGCTGCAGCTCCTCAAGAGCGATGATCGTCCGCGAACCAAGGTGCTCAAAGCAGACGCGCATTGCCTCACGGGCCAGAGCAACTCGCTCCTCATTGGAGACGTCCTCGCCTGCTGTCTTTTTCGCTCCCATCAGTTTGTTGATCATGCTCGGTAAAAACGAGAAGCTGAACTGCAGCTGTCGGGTATTGGCGAAGGGTGACGTGAGGGTCCAGCCCCACGGGCTTGGATGCTTGATCAGCTCCTCGCCTCGGCTCTTGGGAGCGCAGTAGCTGCTCCAGTCTGCGCTGCCGTTGGGAAAGGCAAACCGTTCCAGCAGTCTGCCGTACATTGTAGTTTTGGCTTCGTTGAGGACCGAGGGTGGGAGAATCTCTCGTGCTGCTTTATCGAGAGATTCACCGATCGCGATATCTGCAGTCGAGGCCATTATCGTATGCTCTGTGATAGAGGTGGACTCGACCAGCATTGAATGGCCGCCGGAGACCAGTATGGAGAGGAAGGGAAACTCGGGGGTTACGGGTGGGTTAGTAGAGGCGACATCGCTGCCGTGCTGCGCTCGGCTCATGGCGGAAACAAGTCGAGGAGTTAGGAGATGGGCTTGCATATGATGGACGCCGACAAATGGGATCTGCCATGCGACAGACAGGCCTTTGGCTGTATCGAGTCCAGTGAAGAGGTTCGCGCGCATCCCAGGCCCGCGGGTAGCCGAGATGAAATCCGGTTTGCGTCGTTCAGAGCCATCTGACAGGTTTATCCTTTTCGATGTATCTTCACCATCTTCTGCTGCTCGAGGTAAGTGCCCGAGGGCCTTATTGACGAGTTTGGCCAGGTTCTCTTGATGCGATTCAAGTGCTAAAATGGGGTGAATGCCGCGGTATTCCCTGGTATCTGCCGTCACATTCTCGAGGAAATGAATTCTCGCGGAAACATCTGGGGATCGGTCGTTTTTCTCGACAATCGCAACTGACGTATCGTCGCTAGAGGGAGGACATAAGTGAGCGAAATTCAGGCTGGGGGTGTTGTCCGACGGTAGCAAGAGGACTTACCATGACGTTTCAATGGCGAGGGTCAGAAGTCCTCGATTTCGGGCTGTCTGAATCACTTTGGAAGCACTGCATATTCTCCCACGGAGGAGGGCAGATGCAGATCTCGAAATCAGCATTGAGAGATGTAGTGAAAGTGGTCCTTCGGTTTAGCATGGCATTAGGTACGCTGCGAAAAACATTCCCCCGGAACCCGCACGGACCCTCGAAGCCCTGGAATACAGCCCTAAACAGGTATCAACCCAGCAACAGAGACGATATCTACTAGATACTTTGTGCTGCTATCAGCTTAGGTGGTGATAACACGCATTGGGGGCTGTCGTACAAAGAGTAATAATGTCCACCTATCTCGGTCTACGTCCTAAAATCTAGACTTCACCATAGTTTGATCACAACTAACACTTCAAGTCATAAAGAATGCATTTGGATCGTATCATCACGTCATAAACCATAATAGTATCTATATACACACTGTTTCTCAGGTTATCTCTCTTGCTGAGATTTCATTCGAGTAATCACCGAATCCATGCATTGCACCGACAATGCAAAATTATGGATTCTTGCGAGGATCCCAAAGTCGGAGCCGGGTGCAGACGCCAGAAAACATGCCGTCTCCGGGAACCCAACTGTCGACCTTGTGGTCTGGGCTTTGGCAGATCTGGTGTCTGGGCAAACACCGTACCTCATCGTTTCATTAAACCTCTCATTCACGCACCATCCAGCGTCTCTCTTCTTTTGACAGTTTCGTGTAGGTGCCGTAATACTCCTCAGGGTTCTCGATTGGCGTCACGCAGTGTACGGTGGGAGTACCCTGGAACTGGATTCGCTTCTCTGCGTGGCTGGTTGCACTGGCCATGGGCTGTTTCTTGAGGATGCTCTTTGATTTACACGAATTGGTGTAACCGTATGACTGCGCTTGCATACTCGAGAAACGCTTTCCGCCTGGGCTTGGGGGAACCGGCGAGTTTGGCGTGCGGGGGAAAGGACCAGGAGACTTCAGCGATAATGAAGGACGAGTAAGGCTCTGCGCGGTCGAAGTGACAACAGACAGCTTGGGTCTCATATTGACGGTATTGTGTGGTGAAAGATTTAACAGACGGTGATTGTTGAGTCTTGACGGAGTATGGTTGAACGCTGAGAGAGAGAGAGATGTGCAACTTGAGGTGAAGACTTTGATCAACAGAGTCTTCGCAAGATGTATGTATGTAAAAAGTGACTATTATTGACGAAGTGTAGATCCAAAATAAGAAGGCAAAAGATAGTAAATAATGTTTGGACCAGCCAAACAAACCCCTTGTGGGACGAAAATAGAACAGAAAGGACAAAAACGACAAACTGAGACGGAAAGTGTCTGAGGAAGAGAGAGACTCGCAGCAAGCCAGGGGTACTGCGCGGCTATATAGTCGCCCACTGCCCAAGAGGGACATGAGATAGGGACGGAGGAGAAAAGAGGGGAAAAGAGAAGAGCGAAAAAGGTGGACGAGGGGGTTGGGATGTCGACTGCCGGCAGCCAATGATCACCACCGCATCATCATCCTAAGCGCCAGCCAACGCACACCAACAGAGTCCATCACACTTGGGTTGTGATTAGTCGCATTGCAGTAACGAATCATGAATTGATGGCGACGGTGGAAATGCTCTGAAGGATTTCAACCTGACGAATTGGCTGTCTTTCCCATCGACCCCGGCTCAGCACTTCGGCACAGGTAAGTATAGAGCGAGATTATAGCCAAATGCTTGACCCTTGCTTGAGTGATGGTTAATTTAGATCTCTGCAGAACTCGAGTCAATGAATGACAATCATGTTGTTCGGCCGACCATGAGCCATGATCCTTGCCTTCAGTCCTTGACCGTACGAACTGCTACTCCCTCAGAAGAATAGCAGCCGGGACACCCTCAGAGTTCCCTCCCTCTCGGCCATGACAATCACTGACTCGGTTGGATCAACCTTCGTCACGCTCGACATACTACCTGGCCAATCTATTGGTCGTCGCTGGGATACACTTTTTGGGCTACTGGAAAGCTACTGGAAAGCCTGATGTTATAGTCACCAATGATCGCAGAGGCCGGACGGTCCTGCACCACAGTCACAAGCTGTCTGCAGCCATAATGCTCTCTTCACTCACAGACTGCTCTCTGTGCCCATCACCATCACTCCTCAGCATAATCACACTACAGTGCGAACCTAGAGTTGTGAGCTCAACACTGACCTTTGGTGACCATCCTGGTGGCCGACGTCTCGGTAGGTTTGAAATCTCAGGCATGTACGACTGGGTTAGTCTTGAGTTTCGTCAGAGCCATCCCAAGTACACTTAACGGAACAAATAGTACATATTTGTCTAATCTGGACGCATCGTAGATTTGGCAGTATCCTGCGGGCCCAAGGAGAAAGATACGAAGAGACAGGAAAGTATTTGGTAGGAGTCAATGGCTCTTGTTTGACCTGTACAAGGAAAGTAAAAGAGACAGCCATCGAAATCTTAAAAAGGGAAGAATGACCAACTGACGAATCAATTTTCATACTTCGTCCACTGGTCGACTTTTCGCTTCCAACCATCTTCTGATTTGACCACTCCTGCTTACTGAGCAGAAAAGGTAGTCGGTGGAGAGCACATGATATGAGTGTCTTTGCAGGTAAGTGAGGAGTGTGTAGCACATTGATCATTGTCACATTATCACACAAGGTCAGGGTGCATTATAGGTGGTGCTGAATGCAGATAGAGGAAGGCATCCATATCAGTAGCAGCAAAGACTTGCGCTCGGGCTTGCCATCACTTTGATATAGTCCGAGTTCAGTGCATTTTTCGCAGAACAATATCTTACCTAGTGCTGAATTTCTGTATGATCCCCAGCTACCTTGTATGCATGTATCTCTTCCTTTTATGCAGCGGGTCTGGAGGTTATGTGTGGCTATAGCCAATTGCTTGCACACAAGTACTGTGTGCAAGGTTGCTATATCAATACTAGATGGAGGACATGTCTGCAGAGCGCCTGGGAAGCTAGGAAGGCAGACAAATGGGTTGTCTGCTACTCATAATGGCGCCTCAATAAGTACTCAGGCCAGTGGCCCAACGTTTGCCAATGCCTGGTTCACCTGCCAGCTTGCCTGGAAAAGATTTTAATTCCTCCTCAGCTGCTGCTGGGTCTACATCTGGCCGAGCAGCAGAAGCCTCAAAATCAAAATTTTTTGCACCGTGCTCCGTCATCAGAAAATTGTACTTATTGAGGTCCCCATGAACAATTCCGCATGTATGCAGCAGACGAACAGTTTCCACGCAATGTCTGAGATTATGTATGTCTGGGATTTTCCCCAAAATTTCCTCCACTAGAAAGCCAACTGTTCGTGCTTTTGTTTCCTCATAGACGAAGCCAACAAATTTCGGAGCGAGAGGAAAAGCAGTTGATGTTAAGTAGAATATATCGAAACCTCTTGTTGCAGGGCCGGAATTTCATGTCTGAACCGTGCGACCTTCAGTATCCACGTTTTACCGTCATACTTTACCCGGGAAATGCGATCGCTGATCCGAGAGACCCTTGTCAGGTCTAAAAGGTTGAGAAAGACGGCACCAGGAACATTAAGCCGTTGGAGGTCTAGCCTGTGTGGTATGAATTCGTCTGGGGTGCTCTCAATACCCTGGAAGCCACTCCGAACAGTGAGTGTCTTCCATTCTTCCCCCCACTTGGGAAAACAGCTTTGGAAGAACTCGATCGTCGTCTGTCCTGCAATCACGGGGAATGATATCCCCATCAAGGATAGAAACATATACGACCCTTGAATTTCTCCTTATTCGATAGAGATAGTGACTTTCTTCGAGGTCTAGGGACAACACTTCCTACTTGATTTCTCAGTACAAGCCCGCTGGCGAGTTAGATTCAGGATATGCTCCACCTCAACAGGGGCTGCTACGACTGGCTGATTGCGTAAGGGTAGGATTGAGTTAATACGCCTAGAGAAGGATGATATCAAGAGTCATATAGTGGGCCAAATCTTCCATCTAAATGGGTTAGAATTAGATATGCTGAGCATGCCGACAAGATAGCTAAGGTGTAGGTATGCGACGACGATGCTAAGAGGTTGTCGGGTTCGAGACGTACAAGCTATCCCTTGGGGAAATTAGTAAAGATTGTTACGGTATCACACAAAGTTGAAGGTGCGTTATTGTAGGTACTTGCTTAATGCAGATGGTGGAAGACATCCATATCACCAGCAGCTAAGTACCCGGCCTCTTGAGTTCAGACTCGCCGTCACATTGATATATGCCCTGTATTCTGTCCAGAACAACATTTTACCTAGTGCTGTCCAGTCGTCCAGCCTTACCTTGGTTTTCCCATTTTTCTCTCCATTGTTGCAGCGAGTCTGGAGGTGACGTCAGCCATGCCCAATTGGTAGCACACAACTGTCGTGTGCAAGACTGCCTTATCCGCACCGAGCCGACGGATCTACAACTTAAATATTTATTAGGACTGATCACCCTTAATGATCCTTGAACGAGCCACCGTGGATCGCAGTCGACAGTATCATCATGGGCGCATTGGGAATTATTCTTGAGCCCGCCGGTAAGTCGACCACTACAACCTCCGACAACCGCGACAGACAAGATTGACTGACTATTTGTGACTCCAGCGATTGTGGTTATTTTTACAGCTGGTACCCTCATCAACCGTCGCAAAGAACTCAAGTTCGCGGAGACACCTTGCGTTGAGACACCGTTGCTTGAGAACGAAGACTGCGAGGATCTAAAACCAAGAAGGTCATCCAAGGGGCACCCCAACATCCAAACACGGATTCTTGCTCGTTTTCCGTTTCTTATAGAGATATGGTATTGGCTACTTACATATTGGGTACGGCATCATGGTCTTCCTCTTCCTTGATCTGTGACATGGGAACGATCTGACAGTGACGCAGATCTACCAAGGACTGCGCGCGATCTCTGCCCGAGCGATCAGCGACAACGAAGCCGTTTTTGAGACGGCTAGGCGCCATGCGCATCAGATCCTCAGTCTAGAACATTTCTTCCATATAGATGTCGAGCTACGGGTGCAACGGTTCGTCCTCAATCGCGCGCCTTGGCTAAAGGCTGTTCTCGCTAGAGTATATTACTCGCACATTGTATTGGGCGTCATCTTCCTCGTCTATGGCTATACCTTTTTCCAAAGGGAAAAATACCAAGGAATCCGCCGCACTCTGGCCCTCGAAAGTGTGATAGCATTTACAATCCTCACTCTTTGGCGATGTAGTCCGCCACGACTACTGCCGGAGGAGTACGGCTTCGTCGATATGCTGCATGACAACAGTGCCGGATCCGCTTGGACACAAAACAAGTTCCAGCTCACAATTGCGGCAATGCCGTCGCTGCATTTTGGTAACGCTGTTTTCATTGCTCTGTGCTTGTTGCGATACAGCCCACACTGGTTCATTCGTCTTGCTGCGCCACTCTGGCCCGTGATGATGGGCGTGACAATTGTCGCGACGGCAAACCACTTTGTTTTGGATGCCCTCGTCGGTGTTTGCGTAACCTTGACGGCGTATAGATTCAATCATGCCATGTTGGTTTTGTTGCCGGTAGAGCGGGTACTTTTCAAGTTGCTTCGCATTGAGAAGCCGGAGCAGTAGTGGTTCGAGGCAGTCGATTATATTCTTTCTTTATGTCTTAGGCAACATTATTAAGAGCTCAGTGCAGAGGCATGCGCCGCCTTCTGCACGAATTTCAGACTAAAGTCACAGAAGAAGTTCTGAAGTTCAATGTCTAACCTTCAATTCAGAGATCCACGAAGGTTGAATACATGCTACACATACATACTCTAGGAACCGGCTGACAAGGCCGACAATGACATCGGACACTTCAAGTATCACCAGCCATACAGTGTTGCAACACATCAGTAGTCACTTAGCAGCAAAAAGTCGAGATCAAAGGATGCTTGGGTACAACGACTCGCAGAATCTACAGAATGAACTCCCAGTTGAATAAGGTGTAGATAGTGACGTTATCGATAGGCTAATGCAACTAGTGAATCACCCTGTCTTTATGCACTGCACATCATTAATTCTAGCAACCTCAACTACCAAGTACTACTTCTCGAAACGGAGAGATGAAATGCCACAGCATAGATCACATCTGATCCATGGGAATCGTTCGGCAGCCGGACTACTTTATCAAATAATCAAATCCAAAGAACTTAAGAACCCATGCTGAAGAACTGCACCGAATCGACCGAGCCCTCCCTGCTATGGGTTGGCCGGTGAGCTCTCTTGGAGAAATCCCGCGCGGGAATAGTCCTACACCCTTGCCTAGTAACCAACTACCGTGAGGCGGGGTTGGATACGTTGACCGACACTTATTGGTTTAAGAAATCATCGATATATGAAATGTACAATGCACTTGCTTTTGCTTCGTGCTCCGCAGCCCTTACGAGATGCTTCTTAGCAATCACACAACGTATTCCACTCTTCTCCGTACAGTCAGAGAGTCATGAGCTGGAACTGGAAATTCTCCAATTCTGGACCCGCTGCACTAACTTACTCCGCACCGAAGACGGAGACGACTCAGACGAGACCAAGACTGGACTACCACATCGGGCCGAATGTGTGGGCAGGAATATAACTGTGCCAGTCAGACAAGTGTGACTGCATGTCATGTGAAGACCTCCGATCCCGTTCTTTTCTTCCAGAAACCAGGTAGAAACAAGGGATAACGTGACTCTTGGAATGAATGGTCTTCAGTCTACGAATATCATTCTTTGCGTATTCCTTATTCAAGAGATCATATATACAGGCATAAATAGTCATCTCGGTTACAGCTATCCTCGGTCGCGAGATCTTCTCGCGGGATTTTCTCTAGGGTCACCTGCCTCCGATCTGGTTATCGAATCAGTGGATATCGTGCGTTCCGGAGTTTACCGTGGCTCGCCATCAGGAGTATTTCTGCCCCTGGCTCGTGGCATGCGAATGGCTGCTTGGGTTGAAGACAAGTCCTGCGACTATAAAAGGTCCGATATAGATCTGTGTGACATGCGGTAGAAGATCAAAGAACACTGTAGACATTCCAAGCCAACGGGGAGTTGGTCAACGATCATACTGCGGAGAAGCGACTGGCCTCATGGCCTGAGGCAATAATAAGGTGTTCGGTCCCAAGTCCGACCACTCACCGGGTAATTTACCCATTCCAGAGGCGGTGAAGCGCTTGTTCCTTTTTCTCTTTTTCCTATTCGCGCCTCATTCTGAAGAGCGTGAGAGGCACATAATTGCTCTCGTCCTCTGCAGGAAAAACTTTTTTTAGCCGGCTTATGAGAGAAAGTCAAAGGTAGAAAAAAACAAGATATCTTCGTAAACAAGATAGAAGGATTTAGAACTCCTTCAGATCTGCATTGTATAATTTATTATTTCAACTGCATAAGTGGCAGATCAATCTGTTGTCATCTTGCTCCCCATTTTTTTGCCCTTCTCTTCTCCCTCTTTGTCCTAGTAATTCTGTTTCTCCACACAATTGTCTGGTCCCAACCCCTTCATAACCCCGTCCTTACCCACATTGGAGTCTCTTAGACCTCCCTTCTCTTTCGCTTCTTCTTGGATTTTGGATCGTCGAGGCGAATTGGTTGCATTGGCTCAGTGATCTGTGTGTGATATTTGCTTGATACAATGACCGTCAAAGAAGCTGTGAAGGAGTCGTTGCTCGGCAGCTCGGAGGAGCCCCGGCTATCGCAACAGGTGAAGCATCATTTCTTCCACCATGCACGGAAAGATGAAAGCACTGGCGAGTTTTATATGACGGAGGATGACTTTATCAATGCTATTGCACCAAAGCATGAGGATTATGTGAGTTTCGCAGCCTGTTTTCCCTCTGATTCTTTGCCTACTATGCGATGTGTCATCGCGCTGCTCATCTGCGGGTGGTCTCCAAAATATGACTAACAACCTTGCTTTTCGCAATTGACAGCACAAAATCAAGCGCGAGCACTATGGACTCCTCTTCAGAGTCGCCGACAAGCGAAGAGCCGGTAAACTCACCCTCAGTGACTGGGCGACCTTCGAGAACCTCCTGACCAAACCCGATGCCGAATATGAGATTGCTTTCCGACTCTTCGATTTGGATGGAACGGGCACGGTCAAGTGGGAGACATTCAAGAACATATACAATGTGAACAAGAGCAGTGATAGTATACCTTTCGATTGGAATTCGGAATGGGCTTCCCTGTACTCCGGACGGAGCAAGGCCCGGCACGACATGACATACCCCCAGTTCGCTCAGATGCTCCGAGGATTGCAGGGCGAGCGCATTCGGCAAGCCTTCCACATCTTCGACAAGGATGGTGACGGTTACATCGAGCCTGAAGATTTCCAGCGGATCATCCTTGAGACCTCGAAACACAAACTGTCGGATTATGTCCTGGAGAACCTTCCCAGTCTCTGCAACATCTCAGCGGGCACCAAGATCTCCTACTCTACCGTTCGTGCTTTCCAGAATGTCATGCGCGAAATGGATATGATCGACGTTATTGTCCGCGAGGCCACCCAGAAGAGCGAAGATGGCAAGATCACGCGCGCCGACTTCCTCAACGAAGCTGCTCGCATTACCCGATTCTCCCTTTTCACACCAATGGAAGCAGATATCCTATTCCACTTCGCTGGCCTCGATGCGCCTTCCGGCCGGCTATCTCAGAAGGATTTCGCCAAGGTCATTGATGCCTCCTGGCGTATGCCTTTGGCTCTGGCTGGACAGGCTGTCTCCACTGCAACAACCACCGCTCAAGTCGCCGCTGAAAAGACTCGGTCGGTGTTGCACAGCGTTTTGGAATCAGTCCACCATTTCGCGCTTGGCAGTATTGCGGGTGCTTTCGGTGCTTTCATGGTTTACCCCATCGATCTCGTCAAGACGCGCATGCAGAACCAACGTTCGACGCGCGTTGGCGAAAGACTGTACAACAACTCGCTCGATTGTTTCAGAAAAGTCATCCGCAATGAGGGCTTCCTAGGCCTGTATTCCGGTGTTCTGCCTCAGTTGATCGGTGTTGCTCCGGAAAAGGCCATCAAGCTGACCGTGAACGATCTCGTCCGCGGCCACTTCACCAACAAGGAAAACGGCAAGATCTGGTATCCCTATGAAATTCTTGCTGGTGGTACTGCTGGTGGTTGCCAAGTTGTAAGTTCTGTGGAGATCTCGCCCACTCTGGAGGTCTGTTCTAATTCGCCTTTTATTAGATCTTCACAAATCCCCTCGAGATTGTCAAGATCCGCCTGCAGGTTCAGGGTGAGATTGCCAAGACTGTCGAGGGAGCTCCCCGTCGCTCGGCCATGTGGATTGTGAAGAATCTGGGTCTGGTGGGCTTGTACAAGGGTGCCAGCGCTTGCTTGCTCCGTGATGGTAAGAATGAACCAACGCGCTCCTTCTACTTTTGTGAATATGCTTTCTGACGTTTTCGGACTCTAGTTCCCTTCTCTGCCATCTACTTCCCCACCTATGCCCATCTGAAGAGCGACGTTTTCGGCGAGTCTCAGACACACAGACTAGGTATTGTGCAGCTGCTCACTGCCGGTGCCATTGCCGGTATGCCAGCGGCATATCTTACTACGCCCTGCGATGTGATCAAGACCCGTCTGCAGGTTGAAGCTCGCAAAGGAGACGTTCGTTATAACGGCTTGCGCCATTGTGCGGCCACGATCTGGAGGGACGAGGGTTTCAAGGCCTTCTTCAAGGGTGGTCCTGCTCGTATCGTTCGTTCGTCACCGCAGTTCGGTTTCACCCTGGCTGCCTATGAACTGCTGCAGAAATGGCTTCCCATGCCCGGCTCTCAAGCTGATGTCTCTCCCTCGGGACAAGTTGAGCCCGGCGTTGGGTTACAGAGTGCCAAGGCGCCTCTCCCTTATCTGAGGTCAAGAAACGCTCTGAAGCTCCTCCTCGACCTCGACGAGAATATTGGCCGCGTCTATATCCCTCAGGCCGATAAATGGCCCAAATTCCTCCAGCCGTCGAAGCAATGATTTGCATTGTCTTGTTTTCATAGCGATCATTTGGCTTTCTTTTGTCTCCTGTGTTGACTTGAAAATATATTATGTTTCTGTATTTTCACAACCGTCTTTCTTGATTCACGTGGGTTTGGTTTGGCCGGGCGAAGATCATGCATAATTTTTCTTCTCTTTTGTTCATACAGGAACCAGATTACATTGCACATGTACCAAAAGCAGATAGACTCGAAAGAAGGTCGTATCATTCCTAGCACGCAACTGTTTTCAATATCAAAGCATGAGATCTTGCATACTTATATCACAGAGAACTACACCATATTTTCGGAATTTGAGGGTGCTATCGTGAGTCATAATACCTCCTGTTGCCTGCAAGATCGTCGATGGTTGCCTGTTGAGTTCCCCAGATCGATGATAAGATAAGCTGCTGAGATCGGAGCACGTGATATTATCCACTTTTTTTTTTTTTCATAGACTGCAGTGGACCCGCCGCAACCTTTCTTTCTCTCTTTTTCTCTTCCCCCCTTCCCTGGTTTTTACCAGGAGGGCTACCATTGAATAATACTGTCTGATCTCAATTAGCCAAGATGAAGTACGTTCTGGTCTCTGGAGGTAATGATCTTTCCGTGTCTTTCTCCCATGACGCTTTCGCTCATTCCTGGCAGGTGTCATTTCTGGTGTCGGCAAAGGCATCATCGCAAGCAGTTGCGGGTTGTTGCTCAAGACTGCTGGTTTGGCCGTCTCGAGTATCAAGATTGATCCATATCTCAATCCGGATGCCGGTCTTATGAACCCTCTAGAGTTGGTCTCACCTAGTATGCTCACCTGATTTCTTGAATTTGACGTTGACGCATCAAAGACACGGAGAATGTTTCGTTCTCGACGACGGAGGTGAGGCCGACCTCGACCTTGGCAATTACGAGCGCTACCTCGGAGTCACTCTCGGGCGGGATAACAACATCACCACTGGAAAGATCTACCAACACGTCATTGAGAAGGAGCGTCGCGGCGATTACCTGGGAAAGACTGTTCAGATCGTGCCACACCTCACCAACGAGATTCAGAACTGGGTGGAACGGGTTGCCAAGGTTCCCGTGGACGAGTCAGGGCGGGAACCCGACGTTTGCATCATCGAGTTGGGTGGTACTGTTGGAGACATTGAAAGTGCGCCTTTTGTGGAGGCCATGAGCCAGCTCCAACGACGGGCCGGCAAGAACAACTTCTTGGAAATTCACGTCAGCTACGTCCCTCTGATCGGCTCGGAACAAAAGACCAAGCCTACCCAGAGAGCCATCAGCGATGTTCGCAGTGCTGGCCTCAGGCCGGATCTGATCGCCTGCCGCTGCGAAACCCCTCTTGAAGAGAGCACTATCCAGAAAATCGCCAATGCCTGCCAGGTGGAGCGGGACCAGGTTGTTGGAGTTCACAACGTGTCCACCACTTATCAAGTGCCAATTCTCCTGGAGAAGCAGGGCTTCCTCAATACCATCAAGGAACTGTTGCACATTGACTCGGTTCCGAAGGATCCCAAGCTCATCGAGCAGGGCAAGGTGATCTGGCAGGAATGGCAGGGTCTTGCCATTAGCCAGGACCGTGTCTTTGAGACTGTCTCTATCGCCCTTGTGGGCAAGTACACCACTTTGCATGATTCATATATGAGCGTGAGCAAGGCGCTCGAGCACTCTGCCATGCATTGCAAGAAGAAGCTTGACCTCATTTGGGTTGAGTCCTCCCACCTGGAGGACGAGCACAAGGAAACAAACCCGGCCGAGTACTACAAGGCATGGCACTCTGTTTCGACCGCCAACGGAATTCTGGTTCCGGTAGGTTTTCTCCGTGTATACTTTATGAATGACTCTAATATTATGTTCAGGGCGGTTTCGGCGAGCGTGGTACCGAGGGTATGATCAAGAGTGCCCAGTGGGCCCGTACGAACAATGTTCCTTACCTGGGTGTTTGCCTGGGTATGCAAGTGGCCGTGATCGAGTACGCTCGCAATGTGTGCGGGTTGACTGGCGCTGGTAGCGAGGAGTTCCACGAGAACTGCGAGCATTCAGCGATCGTTTACATGCCCGAGATCGACAAGACCAAGATGGGAGGCACCATGCGACTCGGCAAGCGGGCCACCCACTTCCAGCCCGGCACCGAGTGGTCCCGTCTGCGGAAGCTGTACGGAGACAAGCAGGAGATCTGGGAGAGACACCGTCACCGTTACGAGGTTAACCCCGATCTTGTCGACCAGCTCGAACAGGCTGGTCTGACCTTTGTCGGCAAGGACGACAGCGGCAAGCGTATGGAGATTATCGAACTCAAGGACCACAAGTGGTTCGTCGGTGTGCAATTCCACCCGAGTATCTCAGCCGAGTCCTTGCGCCCAGCAAGACCTTCCTGGGCTTCTTCGCTGCTTCTGCCGGCTGCCTTGAGGAGATCACCGAGGTGTTCAAGGATCGCCACGATTTGAGCCACCGCGAGGTGAAGATCCCCCTCCATTAGATTGAGATGGGGCTGGCGGGCTGATGCCGGTAAAAGGCATCGGCTGGTTGTTGGGTTGGTTATTTCATGTTTGTTTCTGGCGTTTGGCAAACTAAAGAGTAACGTGGATCAATGTATGAGAGACATATAGAACTATGCCTGCATTGCTGGAATGGGCCCAGCTAGTATAATAGCTCCAAAATGATACTCCGTCCTCGCGTCATGCTCGCGATGGCATCATCTTCAGCCTACGCCACCACACCATAGATCCCTATCACAGCTCCATACTAAGACGACCTCCCGCAAACGCGATCCGTAGATCAGTCATTCCGTACAAGCGCATAGCGCCAAGACTCAGACGCTCAACAACAACAACATTTATACGCGCCTAGTAAACATAAACCACGTCCACAGTACGAGAACCCAACCACATCAGTCTAGAAATTGATCAAACTCCAGAAGCCTAGGAAAATGACAACCCTCAACATCACAAACCCCGACGAATTCCTCACCCATTTCAACGAAGCCCTCAACGCCGCCCCCTCGTCGCGCCTACGCCACATCATCCGCGACGTATGCAGGCTTCTCCCGGTTGCTCTCCCGATTGTCTCTGACTCCCTCCTTGTCACCGAGGAGGAGGTTCCCAAACAGCATGACTCTGACTCTAACGCGGGGTCTGATTCCGAAGAAAACGTAGACGGAGACACTTCAACGCCAGATGATGGGATCCTGGAAGTCAAGGCCAAGCCTGCAACCCTCAAGACTGAGAAGCGGGCCAGGGCTGGGACCAGCGTCCGGCCGCGGTATGCGGCGTGTGTTAACTGCGGTGTTGAGTACGACGTTACGAAGAACTCGCGGGGTATTTGTTGCTTTCATCCTGGTATGCATGCTGTATTCTACTGTGGGGTTGCGATGCTAATGTGCTGTAGAGGAGGCTGTACAGGATGAGAAGTACTGGGACCGTATTGACCTCTGGGAAGATGAGGAGATTGACACGGAGGAGAATCGGGAGGATCATCCCGAGGGGTTTGTGTATGGGTGTTGTGGGAAGTGCTATGGGGAGGAAGGGTGTAAGGTAGGGTGGCATGAGGAGGAGGGGAGGGATCGGAAGAGGAAGAGGATTTGATCTGCCTTCACTGAAATAGAGGATGTGCAGGTCCTGTATAAGTTTGGACTTGATTTTAGTATTACTGAGAGGTTGAGATGATGGATTAATATTGTTTGAAGACCTGAGGCAGGGCTATCTTAAATACTCCCCAATATTCGCCAGATTGAAAATAGCAGACACACCGTACCTGGCTGCCTCATTCGTCGTAATCCAAGCAGCCTCCTCCCCATGCGTAAAGTACTCCGGCGGCGCAGACTCAACAACCCTCCACTGATGGTTCTCTGTATACCCATCCGTACGCAAAAACTGCTCCCAAGCCGCCCGAGCCAGCTCCTCAATCTTCAGCTGGACAGCCGCAAACGCCGTAAGCGTCGAGTGACTCTGTCGCCAGGTCGCATGATCCGGGAACTCGAACCCGAATTCCCTGCGCTGGACTTCCGCGCCGCCATTATACGCTTTGCAATAGGACAGCCATACGGCCATAAACCTATCTACAGTAGTCGGATGCGCATCATGCGCGTAGTCAAGAAGCTCCGCAAATATCTCGGGGAACCCAAAGAGCATGGAGAGGTGAGAGATGGCGTACTCGGGCGTTGGCGGGGGGCATTCTCGAATCTCGCCCGTGGTTGGGTTCAGTAGGATAGCATTATTCCCAATGCCGTGTTTGAGCCGCGCGATGCCGTCTAGCAACTCGATCAAGAGATCGCGGCAGTGCTCCCAGCCCTCCGTCCGTCGTTCCCAGGCCGTCAACCATGCTGCCGCGAGCGCACAGCAATCAAGACCGATGTTCGTCATGGCGAAGCCCTCGGGGACATCAGCGTGCGCTTGCACCTTACGGTGCGAGTCGAGAGTCAGGAGGGCGAATTGGCAATCCTGCAGCTCGGAGATCAAATCGCCGATGCGCTCGTCGCCGGTCAGGTAATAGTATATCCGTTTATAGAGCACATTGGATACACGCAGCTGCTTTGAGCTATCGCTGAAATGCTGGACGCCGTGCCGCGTGCCGAAACCCTTGAACCGGCCTGTGTGGTAGGTGTCCACCTCGCTGGTGTGTCGGGTCATTGCCTCGGCCATTTTGAAGACGTCCGCGCGACCGGTATGCAGGAAGTAAAGCCACAGCCAGAGATCGGTCGAGAGCTCTGAGTTGTCCCAGGCGAAGCCGCCTACGTCGTAGCGCCAGGCGTGCCGGTAGGGGTCGTACGTGTGCTGCACGTCTCCGTGGTCCCAGAAGCCGTACCAGCGGTGTTGCTCTATCTGTTTCTGGTAGTGGTTGAATAGAAGGTCGAGGTTGTGCTCGATGGTGGCTTCTTGCGGTGATGCGGGTGGTTGGTTCGCGGGCGACCAGTAGCCGTGGAAGACGCCGACGGAGTGCATGTACTCGGCTGTCGGGACTAGACGGGGAGGGTTTCTCACAAGAGTCGAGAAAGAGCTGAGTTCCTGGTTGGAAGGGGTGCTTGTGTACGGCCGGAGGAGGAATTGGTTCGTCCTTCCGATACCGTTGGCAGTGGCAAAGCCCGGTTCGTAGTCTTCGTATGTGACGTCGAGTGCATGCAGCTGTTTTTCGTACGAGTCCAGCCCGAGTCCATCATGGTATGGCGACGTATCGAGCGGTTCTGCAAGGGGAGAGTAAAGCCACACGGTGATGGCACCCTCGCTCTGAGTGAGCTTGGTCAGGTCCAGCTGAGTCGGGTACCGTTCCCAGAAGTCGGACATGCCAACGGCGATGCCGCCGTGTCTTGCTGAGCCTAGATACACAGTTCCATCTGCGCGACCACCACCGGTTACCTTGACCCAGGAGCAGCCCTTTTTCGTTCGTTTCTTGACAGTGAAGCCGTCAGAGGAAAGCTGCGAGAGGGTGTAAGACTGAAATGATGGAATGTACGAGAGACCTTGATGGAAATCAGTCTTGGACCACTCTTCTTGCTTGAGAGTGACCGCCCGTCCTGCTGTTTGATCAATCCTGCTGGTAACTGTCGGACCGTGTCGTAATCCAGACAGTCCTTGGACTTCTTCCCGGAGGATCCCGCCATTGGAACCTGCAAAACGAACGTGTCGGTTATAAAGCTCCGTATTCTCCAAAGGGACTGAGAAACGAATTCCCAGTGAGGTTAGAGGTTCATCAGCGTCTAGATCATGGACGAAAGAGTGCAGGATCTTGATGGGTAACGCGTCGGCGTATATATAGACGCGCACATCGAACGGGAGGTGCTCAGAGTCAGGGGAGGCCATTGTCCCGGAGACTTTGATGACTGCTCTGGAGTTTGTAGCATTCTCGACCCCAACTCTGTTGACAATGGTCGAATACTCCTTGTGATTGATGGACGCGACAAGTGTGGCGCCAGAACACAGAGCCCGGCCACGCAGCGAAAGGCTTTCGAACAAGGACGAATTCCCTGAGCTTGCAAATTTGACCTGCAACCCAAGGCGCGTAGTGACTGTAATACTATCACCTTCCTCGATGGAGACACCAGCATCGGTGTCCTTAGATTTCGAGGAGCCCTTGACAGTGTACTCCTCGCTGTACCCGACATGCCCACCGATCGAGTGTGCCGTCCATTTGAGCGATCCGTCTGCCCAGTAGGCAATTTCTCTCGAATCTATCGCATATTCCCGACCATTCTCTTCAATGACAAAAGACTGACCAGGCTGATACAGCCCTTTTGGCCAAGGCATACCAAAGGAGACCCCGGCCGCCAGCGAGTCCTGGCCATAGTTAGTCAGCCACCGCAGATTGCCCGTCATTGTTGATTAACCGTCGGTGGACGATTGACACTTTTGACTCTGTTAATATGAGGTGGCCATCTGGGCGAGACAAAGAGGTGCGCCACTCACTTGTAGTCGTCTTGATCGGCCTATTTCCTCCCGGGGAAAGGAAAAAATCTCCGCAGCCCCTCTCGTCCATATAGGATGATGCGTTACTAGCTTTTCGTGGCTCATTCTTTCGGGGTTTTACTGTGCCGAAGGATGTTTCCCCGCAAAGTCTATCATGCATGGCGCCAACTTCCCCGGATTTCCACCATAGAGAAGGACGGAAAGCCACAAGGAATGGGCACAGAGAAGGGTCACAACTCACAAGCTTCTACTTGGCGAGGCTTATAAAGATTGGCCTCACTTGGCTTCTTGGAGAAAGATCATGTTCGATTGACATCTTCGCGTATACAAAATGGCCGCTCATCAAGAAGACGTGACAGATCCCACCACCGTTACGGTGATCCGGGAAAAAGACGAGGAACACTATGTCGTGGCCGAAGACATTGTCAAGGGCGCGCAAAAGGCCACGGACAATGAGCACGCAATGAGCCTGAGGGAGGGTCTGCGCAAGTACCCCAAGGCGGTCTTCTGGTCCATCTGGTTCTCGTCTGCGCTCATCATGGAAGGCTTCGACCATTCCTTCATCAGCGGGTTCATGGCTTTCCCGGCCTTCCAGAGGAGATACGGTGTTCTCACCAAAAACGGGTCCTACCAGATTCCAGCTAACCTCCAAGCCGCCGTCAGCAATGGAGTCAATGCGGGAGAGATTGTCGGTCTCCTGCTTAATGGTCTTCTGTGCGATTGGTTCGGCTACCGCTGGCTGATGATGGGCTCACTCTTCCTCATGGGGTGTTTTATTTTCTTGCAATTCTTTGCCACCGATATCTACATGTACATCGGCGCAGAGGTGCTCTTGGGTCTACCCTGGGGTGTCTTCCAGACGATCACCACCACCTACGCAGCCGAGGTATGCCCCAACGTGCTGCGCCCCTACCTGACCATGCTGGTCTCGCTGGCCTGGAGTATCGGTTACCTCACGGGGACTTGTGTCCTACGTGGGTTCCTGAGCATGTCGGGCGAATGGGCCTACCGCATCCCCTTTGCCCTGCAGTGGGCTCTACCCATCCCCCTCGCCATCGGCATTTACTTCGCCCCAGAATCGCCATGGTGGCTGATCCGCAAGGGTCGCACCGAGGACGCTACCAAGTCCCTCCGCCGGCTGCGTACCAAAGACGCAAGCGAGGAGGAGATAGCCGACACGCTCGCCATGATGCTGCACACCGTCAAGATCGAGGACGAGATGAACGCGTCCAGCTCCTACTGGGATCTGTTCAGGGGCGTCGACCGCCGCCGCACGGAAATCACCGTCTTCACCTACCTCATCCAGGAGCTCTGCGCCCCGCTGGTGGCGTACATTGTCTATTTCCTCGAGCAGTCCGGCCTCGATCCGTCATCGTCTTTCGACTTTGGTATTGGCGAGTATGCACTAGCCATCGTGGGGGTCTGTGTCGCGTGGTGTCTGGTCCCACGCGTGGGTCGCCGCACCCTCCTTCTGTCTGGAACCTTCTTCATGACCGTGACGACTATCCTTATCGGCTTTCTGGGGATCGTTAGCCGCAAGGCCCATCCCAAGATCGGTTACGGAATCGGTACCATCTTGCTGATCGAGTACTTTGTCTTTTTCATCACCATCGGTCCCATCATCTACACCATCGTCACGGAAATCCCGTCAAACGCTCTGCGGACAAAGAGCGTCGGTCTCGCGCGAGCGCTTTATAACGTCGGTGTCTTGGTGTACGGGCAGCTGGCGCCACGTATGATGCAACAAGCGGCATGGAACTGGGGAGCCAAGTGCGGGGTTTTCTTTGGGGGCATCATGGGCCTCAGTCTTGTCTGGGCGTACTTCCGGGTTCCGGAGACGAAGAACCGGACATTTGCAGAGGTGGATATCTTGTTCAAGAACAGGGTTTCCGCGAGGAAGTTTCCGGAGACGAGGGTTGATCTTGCGAGTGAGGAGGTCAGAGAGGAAGTCTTGTAGACAGTAGATTTGTCTTTAGTCAGGGATTAGTCAATGCAAGGATTTTCTTCAGGATTTTAGGAGGGCAAGACAGGAGCAATACCCTACCCTTATACGCGTAAGCTGATTTATATGACAATTTCGATGCAGGAGATAACTGTCAAAAGGATTGTGGGCCATATGATGTGCGTGCAGCGAGCCAGTGACAGGTGCAGTGAGCTAGTGTCATCAAGCAGAGGATCGTTTACCGTTTGAGAGCATCCTGAAGGAGCTGATACTGTCTCGAAGAGGACGGCGAGGATGAGCCAAGTGCGGCGGTGTCGTGCCTTTACCAACCAGTGCTCAAACGGGCAGATTCCATTGATCCTTCAGATCCTTCTGACTCTTCATATCATTCAAGGTATATTTACGGATACCTTGATGGAGTAATAATTGCTCACAGAGAGGTATAAAGGCAGCACCTCGATCAGGATATTCTCGCCTTCCCATGACAAGCAACAAACCTACTTTATCAACTCTACTGTACACTCTCCAAAGCAATAGCAATCTAGGTATGTCTTCAAGTCCATATCTCCTACCAAACTAACACCATGAAGAACACTATGCGTTTCATCAGCATCCTCCCCTCCATCCTGTTGAGCGCCGCTGTAGCCGCCGCGCAAGGCCCCGCCGAGCCCAATTGCGCTGGTTTCCCCTGTGGTGCTGGTGGTGATGAATACTGTATGAACTGGTGCAAGGAGGACCAGCACCGCCCTAATGGCGGCATATGTGTGACATTCGATATGGATGCGAATACCTGCGACCAATGTTACTGCAGCATAGACTAGTGTATCAATAAGTTGATTGATGAAGGTATGGCCTAGTGTGAGGCCCTAGAAAATATGGGTTGGGGTGGTGATGTTTTGAAGAAGCTGGATGCTAGAGAGCCTAAGCTGATATGAGGTATAATAACCTGGAGTGGTGGTCAGTGTTAACAACAACGCTTGATAATGCTTCATGACGGTCAAACTGCTTGAGAGCCATGTGATCCGGACGTGAACTGGATTAGCTGTTGAGATTCGGTATTGGGGGTCCGACTGAGACAGGGAAGGTGCTTGTAGGTAGTACTCTTGATCAGACACTCTGTACTCGGTAGAATGGGAAAACTGATAACCAAACGGATCAAACGGATCTCTACCTCCATTTTCTTGGAGTCCGAAGAATGTCCGAGTGGGCAGCAAGCTAGGTTTAGGTCAGAATCTGCCTCTTGGTCGAATCAAGTAGACTGATTGACACATTTGCGAGTCACGACGATTGTAATCATAATACTAGCTACAGTGGAATGGAGCAGTTAACTCAGATCCCACATTCTACGCGTACTGATATGTTAAGTAATTACTGCTGGTCAACAGCCAATTACTAGGACGGCCCCTGTCCTCTGACTTTTACAGAGTCTCCCAATCAGACAGGATAAGAAGTCCATTCTATTGAATCTAGCGAACATGAAAGCGAAGAACTCCAATCTGACGAATCAAACCATAATGAAAAGCAAGAATCATCCATCTCCTTCATCAGCCAACAATAACGCAACAACCTAGTTGCAAGTGCAAACATTCTTGTCGGAGCATTGTCCACCAGGCTTTCCAATGTAACTGCAGTGATCCTCACAGCAGAGCCCTCCCCAAGGATCAGGGAAGCTGCAGCAGATACTGCGCTTATCCAAGGTGGCATCTCTGGTATCCACCTTCTTCGCAACATCCTCGATACCCATGTTGTCCAGGACCTCGCGCAGGGGCTCGTCTCCGTCAATCAACTCGTCGCTGCGCTTGTTGTTCGGGTAGCAGGCGCAGATGTCGTAGCCGGGGCAGCCGTCGCGGGGGAGGCAGCGGCCACCGTGGGGGTTACCCTGGCGCACGCAGACGTTGTTGCAGGTGGAGTCGCCGCCGAGCATGCAGGAGATGGAGTTGTGGCAGAGGGCGGAGGCCAGGGTGGCGCTCGCCAGGAGGGGAGTGACGATGGTGGTGAAAAGCATTGTGGTCTTGTGCTGTTAGTTTGGGAGGAGATAAGGACTTGAAGATGCCCGCACCTTATTGCTTTGGAGAATGTAGACTTGATAGAGTAGACTTGATAGAGTAGACTTGATAGATCGGGTTGTTGCTTGTGAGAAGGCGAGAATGCCCTGGTTGAGGTGCTGCCTTTATACCTCTCTGCCAGCTATCATTACTTCTTCCGGTATGTGTAGAGACTCGTATTCACCCTCATGAAGTGCATTGATTCAGTATCTGAGTCTCCTAGAGTCCTTGCTGAACGCATGTTGCCTTGACTAAGATTTTCATCGACATGACGTTGGGTAGAGCACCTCCTCGTATTTTGCCCGAATCAGTATATCGAAGCCATTCACCTCCTTGCAGACTGCGGTTGAATTTAACTTTGACTCCAAGTATAGTAACAATAGAAACACGAATTGGGGCAACATGCCTGATCTTCTCCCTTGGCCGATGACCGATCGGCAAATGAAGGAGGGATACGAGGTGCGAGACGATGTTATTCATAGATGGCCCCATTCACGTGTTCTGGTTTTGCCATATCATTGTAGGGTTCTCCACAGTATCTCCAGATCCAAGATGATGATTCACGGGGAAATACGAGGTGTGGCTCGATGAGGTGGCGATCATCCGTGAGGCGTAAACCCTATTGTAATGAAGGCCTATGTGTCGATCGAATCATTTGTCTTCATCGATGAATTCAGGGAATTCTGCTGACTCATGCAGTTGTTGTCCCAGGTTCAGCACAGGTTGGGGTCCAAAAATGGCTCGTTCTCATCGGTGCAGTATGTCTGGTTGGGGATACCTAGAGAGGTCAGTATGAGGGGATACATGGCCATGTAGACACGGCTTTGTCGATCGCCTCGTATCGAGTAACAAAGAAGGCTGCCGTCACCGTGATGGCCTGGTCAGTGTGTTGTTGTGAGCCATCCTCTGCCAGGAGACTGTTACCTCGGCGCTGTAAGGGGATGGCATGGACTATGCACGCTGAGCAGCCCTCCACAACGACACGGTCCGGCGGGGGTGGATAGGAAGTGGCAAAGAAGCATGATTCGGTTCTCGAAATAGCATGGTGGGAGCATTTCAGCACTCGGACGAAGTCTCAAGCGAACTCCTCAATCGTCATTGCCTTCTTGTAACGAGTGTACTACTTGCCACAGGAAGAACTGGAGTCGAGGGAATGTAACGTTCAGTTTCTTCTATTGTCTTTCTAGCTTGATGGAGCCTGAGTCCATGTTGTGGCAGAATTTCACACATTGGTATGAAGATCAGTTTACGTTTCTCTACCTTGTCACACCACACACTGGGGGTGAGGAGGAAGTGACGTTCAATCAGCAGACATAGCTGCCTGCCTTTGTCGGCGATAAATCACGGCTATGTGCAGTCAAGGTTGGACTAGAAGCCTCTCGAAGTTATCCTTCACGCATATCTCGAGATGCTCAACGAGAGGATGCCATTTATCTCCGGATCCAGACTCGATAGAGACGTCGGTCATGGCATCGATTCATACAGACAATGGATCGTCGTGCTTATTCCCTCGTCGATCTTGGGAAACCTATTCGCATGAAACGACCCCTCGCTGCAATTGAGGCCCGTATAACAGCCGCGCACACAGTCTTGTCTCAGGATCTGTGGTGCAACTGGCCAAACCTACCCATTCTGAACTAGGAGTTCCTCTAGCATCGTCCTTCGCCTTCAGATTTCATTCTGCATTGACTTTTGCAATGGCAGGTTCGATTCCGCTGTATTACTCCTGCAATCCGTTACCAACTTCCTCTGGATTTCTCTCTCGATCCGACTTACTTCCTGCCGGGACGTTCGACCTTCCGTATACTGCTGACCGAGCAGACCTCCCCATCTTACTAAAGACGGACGAAGAACCGTGCATATCAAGACCTGATCAAGTTGGATCGGGGACAAATTGTCGATAATGGACCCCGGTTTCGCACCACTAGAACCACACCTGCGTACAACACTGCGTTGGGAATGAATGTAAACTGACCCTTCCATCGGGATTGGGGAGAAGGGTGGGCTAAGGAGTCGGATGGTCAGTATTGGGATACGCACTGGTAACAGTCCTGTGCTGGAGGGTGGGTACACTGGACTGTATCATTCTGGATGCACAGGCTTTACAGACCTACAGCTTGTGTAAATGCATTAGGCCCTGATGGACTAAGCGGAGAGAGAGCTGAGGAGGGAGCTTGGGATGTTAGGTAGATGGAGTCATGAGTTAAATCAGGAAGTTAAACAGGCAGATACAAAGAATAATGGAAGGAAATGCAGATCCCACCAAGTAGGTGGCCTTTGCTGCCCCAGGGAGTCAACAAGGATATCACAGCGCAAAGGTGAATGCCATCCAGTGAAAGATTTTGCAAAGTAAATGGCAGGTCCCGTTAGTCCCAAGATATCATTCACACTTCAACATCTGTAGACGGAATCTACCGCTTCCAGCTACTTCTACTCTCATTTATATTCACTGTCACTGCCCTGCACTGTCTATATAAACTCGCTTCTCCCCCATCGATCTCTCCTCTCTTCATCTCTCTCCATCCTTCTATCCCCAACTTCCACCTGCGTGCAGCCTCACTCACCAACGAAACACGCTACAACCACTCCATCGACAACAACTCCTCTCAAAATGAAGCTCAACGCTATCCTCCTCTTTTCCCTCATTGGCCTCGGCCTCGCTACACCCGTCACGGTCGATGGAAACCTCACTACTCGTGGCGACAGTACGTCCCTCCACCCTCTCACAACAACATCTGACCATGCTGACTCACTCCAGACGCTGACCTTGACAACGACGGCTCTCTCATTCCCCATCCTCCCTGCGATGCCAACGGCGACTGTCCCCGCTACTTCGGCTGCAGAAACGGATGGTGCTACTGTCTCCCTTACCACGTATGGCTCCCCTTGGCACTTGAGTTGAATTTGATGCTAATAGCTCTCGCAGATTCAGGACTGCCAGCCTCCTCATCAGGAGTAAACGATGCAATGCTAGTCAGCGATGCGGTCATCGAGCTGGATACTTTGGTTGTTTGGTGGATTGGCTGCGTCCTTTGCTGAGATGCTTTGCATACTTGGGTTGGTTATGAAAGGTGATGGTGATGTGATGGTGACGATTGGCGCAATGAGATTGTATTGCATGTAGTTAGCTAGCTACGAATGCCACCGCCTTATGACTTATGATGAAGAGTATTGTAGGTCTTATGTAGGTCTTCCATGACTGGGATGTGTTGGTGGTTAGAAAGCCATAGAGATTCCGGCTCTCTTGCAGGCTAGAGGAGTCTAGGTATTAAGGATCTCCGTGATCTTAGCTGCATCAAGGCGCATTACAAATTCGCTGGAATGGTAAACTAGGGAGAATTTCGACATTGAGCTCTTGGATCCGGCGTAACTCACCTTCGGAGAGAGCTTCACACAACTCTCTCCGTCCGACAGGCTCAAACCATCGGGGGTGCCTTCATGCAAGCCGGTGCCCAAGCGGCATTTGCCAATCGGCTCCTGGACGAACTGCCCAACACCGCTCCAGATGTTGACCCGGGAGCTGTGGTAGCGGCTGGAGCAACAGAGCTCAAATCCTTTGGCTCAAGCCTCGCGGGAATGCGTATTGCCTATATGGGGGGCCTGAAAGTGGCATTTGCCTTTACCGGTGCTTCGATGGGAGTGGCCTGCATTCCGGCACTGTTCTCGCGGAGGAAAAGAATCATGGGTGAAGCAGTCAAGAATGCCATGGCAGCTGCCTAGATTGAAACCAATCTCGCTGATCTCATCAAAAGCTAGGATAATCTATTCTCGGGGAGGGGTATTCTCACACTGCCAATATCGTATGCGGACAAAAATAGACATGTCCATAAATGGATATATATTTCAAGCATACCGCCTATAAGCAACGGGCCTCTAATGCCATTGCCATTCCCACTCTGGCAGATATATAACATTCTCTGTTCCACAGCCTCAAGACATATTAGAAATATAAGATACTCCGTCCATTTTATACTACATAGCTTTATCAATCTGAGCCATCATATTGGCAGTAGACACAGTCTCCACGCTAATCAAAAGGGGAATAGGACCCTCCCTCCACTAGTATTTGATTGTGGAATTTTGCGCCCAAAGAGGCTGGAGTCACCAACGTAACTTAAACTACCATTCACGCAAATGTCCTGGAAATGCCATCATCTGCCGAGCAAACTTTCAGCATCTATGAGCTTGCTGAGCTTATAATCCTGCAGCTGAATAATCCTGTGGAAATCGCTCGCGCCCAGCGAGTTTGCCGTAACTGGAGAGACGTTATCCAAACATCCCCGGCCCTCCAGGAGGCCTGCTGGTATCAATCCAATACTAGGGATGCTCAAACGCGGTCAATCTCCAGTGAACAGACATGGAAACTGAACCCTGCTTTCAACCGAATAGGCATCTCAATTTCCAGAGATGCAGCAAAGGGTGGAGATCAAGACCAGGGGGATTTCAGCTTAGGGGAAGACATCTACGACAAACCTGGATCATGGACGACCATGCTGGCCACGCAGCCTCCCTGCCAGCGAATGCTGTTTGAATGCTACGGCGACTATTGCGATGATGAGATAATGTAAAAGTCCCTCTGGCCCTTTACTGCAAACTCTTAAGCTGATATGTTGCTTAGGTCCTATCTAATCGTATCCAGGGCCGGTTCTCTCCTTATGGGCGACGTCATGGCTGTTGTAGCAGAATGCCGGAATCGACAGCAATACGGCCTAGATCGCTGGTGTGGAGTACGCCACTATACAGGCCAGTTAGTCCGATGGGAGGAGGACTACTGGGAACCCTATTCCTGGGTTGCTCTTGACGATATGCCGGAGAATGTGTCAATTAATGTTGCGATCGAGATGCCTTTTGGATTCGGGGCTGTCCTGCCTTTTCTCTTCGGCGCGTCTACGGCACCGAGCACTTTCTGCATGAAATGATCCTGCATAAGATGATCATGCCAAAAGGGCATGAATATCGGTGGGACTATGCTTCATCGGTCCCTCAATACCGCCCTGTCAGCAAGTCAAAGTACAAGGCAAATCTGTTGGCTGTACAGCAGCATCAGGAGGGATATCTGTCGACTTGCAGCAATGTCTTCCGCTTACTGTCTGATGTGAAGCAATTAATAACATGACCTGTTTACTTCGCCATCCTATTACTCAGACCATTGAAGTTAGGAGTACAAACATTTTGCACCAGTTCTGCAGTCAGGTGTATATGGGACAGGAGTGATGAGCAGCTGGAAGTATGTCAAATTTGGTAATTTTGACCCTTTATATACTAGTGTCATTGTGTGATCCAGAGACAAGTAAAGATAGAAAATGATGGCATTAAGCTCGTTGCCTACTTGTGACTGCTGCCATCAGCAAGTCTGGTAGTGGAAATATATTGTATACTCAGGAGAATAAGCCAGGGCAGATATTAGAAGGCATCACCTCAATTTCAGCCAATGTTGCATATAAGGAGATTGCTGCAGAGAGTTATCCTGTTATGTTATAGCATCTTAATAAACATGTCTTTAAGATTTCCTCCTCTTAAATGCTAGGTGTCTAGTTAATGTGCCCCTAAGACACAGTGGCCTAAGGTGTAAATTATTAACTTAAGCGTATCACATGGACGACATCAACCTTATCCCAAAATGCAATGCATTGTTAAGTATGGACAACCAATCAAATATGTGCAAGCAGGCAAGCATAAACATCTGCAACTAACTAACAAGACCCGCGGCTTTATCCGCCGGATACCCACAGTACACGCCCGCTCCCCCTGGATACAAACCAGCCCGCCGGGACACGGCTGCATCACCCACGCACCGTTATCACACAGCCCGAAGCTCGCCCCGTTGCACGCAGTTCCTCTCGCCGAACAGCGGGCACCAGCCGTGGGACAGCTACCGCTCGGAGCCGTCGTGCTACTCGTCGTGCTGCTCGTCGACGTCGAAGTCGTAGTCGTGGTCACACTCGTCAAGGTCGTCGGGACACTCGTCGTGCTGGACGTAGTAGTAGTAGGAGCGGAAGTAGAGGTAGTCGTAGAAGTAGTAGTGGAGGTAGAACTCACAGTCGAACTCGATCCGGACCCCGAACCTAGCGCAGCTCGCACCCCCTGCAAAAACCCAGTATTGGCCTTAACCTGACTGGCATCCCAGGCCATAACCCCGCCGAAAGACGAGAAGCCCTTGGTGTACGCGACGATCTTCGCCAGCGTATCCACAGAAACATACCCGCTTCCCGCGGCGGTCGAGCTGCCCGGCACACCGAGGAAGACTTTCACGTTCTTATTGAGCGAGACGGACTTGGCCCAGGTATCCCAGGTGGCGAAGTTGAAGTTATTTTGGGTTGTGGAGCCGGCGTCGTAGGCCTGCAGGCCGCAGTAGTTATTGTAGAACTGGACCCAGATGGCGTCGAAGGAGACGGCGCCGTTGAGCATGGGGCCGTCCGCGGCGTCGGGGTAGGGGCATTGCGGGGCGGCCGTGAGGTAGTATTGCTTTGAGGGGTCGGAACTGAACAGGGACCTGAGCTGGTTGGCGAAGGTGGGCATGTTGGAGACGGTGGATTCAAAATCAAAGTCGAAGCCGTCGATGGTGGCTTTGCCGAAGGGGCGGAGAGTGGAGGTGTTGGTGGGAGGGCCGAAGGTCTGCCAGATCTTGTTGGCTCCTGCGATGGCGGCGGACTCGCTGGTGAAGCCGCCTTCGGTGTAGGTTGCGCCGCCGATGGAGAGGAGGATGGTTTTGCCGAGAGATTGGCAGATGGGGATATCTTCTCTGGCTGGTGTTAGTTGTTGCCCGCACTTGTTGGTGGAGGATGGGAGGAAATACTCTATCTGAGGACAGCTGAGGAGGTTGGTGCCTTCAAAGGTGGTGCAGTTGTCGCCTGCGTTGGCGAAGTTGACTTCGGGGAGACCATTGGCGCCGTTGATTCTGGTGACAAAGGCGAGTTGGAAGACCTGTGACAGTTAGTGTGGGTGTAGGGTTAAGGTTGATACGGAGTCAAACATCAAAGTCGGCGTCTATACGGCCAGTCAGTGGTATGCCATATATACAGGGTGTGTGACTTACTCTGGCAATAGTAGGACAGTCTTTGCTGTGCGACGAGACCGGTGGATGCTCCATGGGAGTTTTGGCCTATTTCATCAGACAACGAAGACACAATGATAAGGGCAGAACATACCCCAGTAGATGGCAATGTTGGACGGGCTGTTCAGGTTCAACTTGGCAGAAGCAGTGTGGAATGTAGCCAAAAGGCTTGCCCAGATACCAAGTTTGTACAGAGCCATGATGATGTTTACAGAATACCTGATCGAGGAAAAACAGGGAAGAGATCGGATGATGTCAAGGCCGATCAGATCCAAAGTGATCTTGGCTCTGATTCTTATATCTTGACAATCACCCCTAAGAACTGCATGCATCCTACTGTATGAAACCATGAGAGTGAGGAATGTGACTGTGGCATATTGGTGGCCTCGAGGTGTCAGCCATCCTCAGGAATGCCAGCCCCATTCCTGACAGGAGGCTCGTATAATGCTTCATTTGAGGATATTGATGTCGCATGATATGATAGACAGTAAAGTCAGAGTAAGCAACCTCTTGATAGCATCAGTTGCATCAGTTGCAACAGTAGGAGTGTGGAGTGTGATATTGTCAGGGGTGATGAATTAAAGGTACCTGCAGAAAGATAGTTAAGCATGAAGGATGAATAAACTAGAGTATAACCTCGATCTAATAAAGTTATATTGTTCCCCTCATTACCTATCCAGTAGTGCTGCTACTGTAGCAGTCACAAACCACTAGCAGCAGACTAGCAATAAACTAGCAATCAACTAGATACTCTTCATCGGATCAATGGAAGTTTACAGCTTTTATCATCCGAGACTAATGCTGGCATGTGTGTTTTGTGCCTGACCATCTGCACTGATCATGCGCCCCTCAATATGCACCGCTCTTACATACACCAGTCAAAATATCTAATGATCAAAATCATCTCATCTCGCTTACTTTAGTTTTGGCTTCACTCGGAAATTGCATGCGATGATACGACTTCGAGCCATGTGCATAGCTGACCGGGGCAGGATCCCCCTTGCATGTAACATTCCCCGGGCCATGTGTAACAATTTAGTACCTCGTTAGTCTGTACTCTGTACATGCTGCATGCAGTCATCGACATCGTAATATTCTGAAAGGCTATGGACTATATCAACTAGGTAGGTACAAGTGACAGTCACTTCAATCTGGCCTCGACAACCCCAACAGGCACCCCAGGCGCCCTCCACGTCTTGACCAGTTTCAACCCAGCCTGGTCCAGCAGGGTTGCAAAGTTCTTCTCCGTCCGCTCTACACCCGCAAAGGTCATCATCGTATGGTCCATGTACGCATTGGACATGGTCGCTCCGACTTCAGGCATGATGAACTCGACGATCAGGATGCGCGAGTGCTGCTCCATTGCCGCCGCCAGATTCACCAGGATCTGTCGGACCTCGTCATCGGGCCAGTCGTGGAACACTCGGCGGACGTAGTAAACCAAGGCACCTATGCTATCAGTCTCCAGGCGCTTAAGAAAAGAGGGACAGGGGGAATACCCTTGACAGGCTGCGCCTGGAAAAAGTCATGCGCCATCGGCTCAATCCCATGCGATTCCAGCTCGCGCCCATTCTCCTCAATCACGATCGGCCGATCCTGCAGGATAAACCGGCCCTTGAGGCCCGGCTCCGTCTCCCGAATCTGTCGCAGGATATGGCCACGTCCACCGCCGACATCCACGATCGTCACGCCGTCGTCGCGCGCCAGAGCCCCCAGCTCCTGCGTAAACGGGTACAGACCGTGCACGACGAGCGCCGAATCCTGCGCCATCATGGCGTCGTTGAGCCGGCTCAGCCGCTCAGGGAACTGCGAGATGTAGTCGAACATGGTCTGTCCGGTGCAGTTGTGCACGTGTGTGTAGGGGTTGTCGGTTAGCGTCATGGTGTTCTTCCAGTTGTGCTTGGCCAGGAATTCGTGGTTGCGCAGCATCGGCGGGCAGTACTCGTCGACCCTGTCAATCTCAGTATCTATCCTAAGTGACATAAGAGGGTGCAGACGTACAACACCTTGAAGATGGCGCTCATCTGTGGCACCATGTAGATTTCGGAGAACGGGGTGTGGGCGTACTCCTCCTCGCCGGTTTCGCGGAAGGGGCCGATGGGGGTTAGGGCGCGCATCAGTCGGACTGTCGTCATTAGCCTGCTTCATTCTGTGGCTAAAGGGAAAATACCAATCATCTCCTTGTCCATTCCGGTCTTCGCGGATATCTCTTTGGCAGAGATGCTCTGTCCGCCCGTGGGAATGGCATGGAAGACGCCGGCTTCAAGGAGGGTGCGGATGGCACCCATGCTGGCCATCTATTTCCGTCAGTTTCTCACATATAAGGTGCAGGGCCAGGGTGTGCACATTCTCAAAATTGGTGAAGAGCATATCGACCGGGCCACGGATGGTCTGCAGCAGGCGCGTGGCCTTGACCATCAAGTCGTAGCGGGCACTGTAATCATTGTCTGAAGTCTTGTATGCATTGGTGGCATTGATAACCTCGTCCAGATCCTTTTGGATGGCATCGACATTGTTCTCGATGGTGCCCATAATGAAAAGATGCAAGATCAATCCCTGTCTTACCTGCAGGATATTTGTTTTACATGTCATCTGAGACAACCCGGTGCAGCGGTACTTCTTATAATATTGACGAGTATAAGCGGGGAATGGCTTCAGTTCTCCCTCGGCCAATCATCAAGGGTGCTCCCCTCCCTAATGTGATGCATCACAATCGGCTCTTCCTTCTCCCCGCTGTTCTGTCTGTGCTCGTTTCTGGGATGGGCTTCATTGGCCGGGGATGGCGCGCGGCGCACTTAGCTGCAGAATTAGATGAGTTTATTGTCCGCTGGGACACTTGCTTGGAACTCCCCGAGAGATTCTTCAACCATGCCTATGTTCTGATAGGATGATACTCAATGATCGGCTTGGTCTAAGCGAGATTTCGCTCTGTCATATATTGCTTTGGACATATCGCTTTATGGCCGGAACGGTCTATGTGAGCTGTCACATAGACTAATCTTCCTGATTGAGTAAAAGTGCCGGCGATGGTGAACCTGCAGGGAAACTGGCATTTACTGGTTCCCTGACAGAAACTACAACGACAATATGGCAGTACTGAGGAGTACGTATGTCTAAAAAGCAATGCTATTGTGAAACAGCCACAACGCCATAGTCATCGTACTTGTCTGCGCCATAGAGAAAAAGGGATACAAGACTTGCACGTTGAATGCCCGATCCGCTGGTAATTTCCACTGCTTTCGTAGGCATTAGGTAAAGGAGACAATCGATATTTATCGTTCCCACTCAGTAAATCTACAGGTTCTATCTGGATATTACCCGACCCGTCGGACCGGATCCTCCGTGCAAACCTTCTGCAAAGTAGACACATAGATAATGCACGCAAGATCGAGAAGCAGCATTGGCTCGCGGATGAGTTCCGAATGATCAGTGCTTTATCCCGAGCCATTTACCTCGCTGGGATAAGTAACTCGGTTATGGCTCGTCTGCAAGGGCTACGAATAGTGCCGCTGCACTACAGTGATCGCCATCGCGGGTATCTCCTATGCCACCGTCAGGAGGAATAGGATTGTCCCGCGCTTGAAGAAGCAAAAACAAGGTTGTCTCAGCTTCCCAGGATACGAAGATCGGCGTGCATCTGACAGCTCTCTCTATAAATCTTACAGGTGGGTCGGTTCGCAGGAACTGGACTAGGTATCCGTGGCATTGGAGATATTAACAGTGGTCGATACGTCTGACATGTCGTTATACGGACTGTGAATAGCACCATAGTACTAGTCAATAATTAAATAGGGATAGACGAATATGAGATATATCACTTCCGGGCGATCGTACTTTGTCCAGCACAGCAGGAGACAACAGGAGTCAAGGGGCTCAACTCCAAGCATATAAACCGGAAAAGCCTCCCGAATCAAGCTCCTCAGCCCGTCAAACCTACACAACTCAGCTTTATCCATTCAGTCTTGTCAGTTCGTTGACGCACCCGCCATCATGGATCTGAGCACGACGCCCGCCTTTCCTCCCCCACCGGGCGTGACGCCCAATTTCGAGAACCCAGAGCGGATCGACTATGACATCTACTCGATCAACATTGCGATGTGTTTGACTGGCACGTTTGTGCTGGGGCTGCGGATGTACACGCGGGGCGTGATCCTGCGGACGGTTGCTATTGACGATTGTATGTCCATGTTTCGCACGATGGTAAATGACGCTGACAGAGTAGGGTTCTGTATTGCGGCGCAGGTCTGTGCATGGATCTTTGCCATCCTCGGGTTTGCCAGTACGTTTTTTCCTTCATTAACATGATCAAAAACTAACAAGGTAGACATCCAAAACGGCTACGGCGTGCATATCTGGGACTTGTACCTGGTCAAACTCAAGCCTTTCAAACAGGTACCTTGCTCAACTCCATACTCTCCAGAGCGCAGCTGACAAAAGTAGAACGACCTGGCAGCAGAAGACATCTTCGCCCTCGGCATCTGGTTCGTCAAAACCTCCATCCTCCTCTTCTACCTCCGCCTGAACCCCGAGCGCCGCTTCCGCCAATGGACCTACGGCATCATGGCCTTCGTCTTCATCTACTCCCTCATCAGCATCCTCGTCTTCACCTGCGGCTGCATCCCCGTGACAGCCATGTGGGACATGACGCAAATGGCAACAGCCAAGTGCGTCGACCAGCTGGCCTTCGTGTACGCCAACGCGGCGTTTAACCTGCTCTCTGATCTGATGACGCTCATCCTGCCGATCAAGCTGTGCTGGTCGCTGCAGACGACACGCAAGCAGAAGGTTTTGCTGTGTTTGGTGCTGGCGATGGGTTCCTTCGCGTGTGTGATTGCCATTGTGCGGATTGTGACGATGATGCCGTTTGTGCATTCGATGGATTTTACGTGGTATAAGGTTACGTTGGCTAAGTGGGCGTACGTCTCTCTCCCCATTTTCCCACCCTTTTTTGGGATGGTATGCTAATGATGATGAAGAATGGTCGAAATCAACGTAGGCATCATCTGCGCCTGTCTACCCGTCCTCCGGCCACTGGTGCTACGCGTCTTCCCCCGGTTGGCCGGAAGCAAGAACTCCAGCGGGGATAAGCACACCGACGAGAGCTATACCCTGCGTGAGGCCGGGTCCAACAAGAAGAAGAAGGGCATCCGGAACTGGGATTACCTCACCACGGTTGGGGGACGCAGAATCCTCGCGAGGACGACGTGGAGAGTATCACTGTGCGGCCGAATGGGAAGAGCGATAGCCAGGAGGGGATTATCATGTCAACGGAGACGAAGATTACGTATCACTGATGTCTCGGGTTTCGGGGCTGGGAGTGGTATACTTCGCAAAAGTTGGGCTCTTGTATTCTAGTGACAGTGTTACTGGCTGTAGCGTGGGACTAGTTCATAATTGAAAAATTATATACAGTCTCCATATTCCTGATGCAACCTGGTGTTGATGTGTCACTACTCGAAACAATGTCTAGTCGACGATAAGAGAGCAAATAAAGTACGTACAAGGGACCATTAATGATGGAGTTTGGTATCTGGAAATAGCCTGTTTGTTCTAAATTGTGCGTATCCGACAGCGCATTCCGCCGAGTTTGAACCCTAACTACTTTCAATCTACCCTGGATATCCAGCTACTTTTGATATACTTAAGAGGACTTATATCCCCTAGAGCTGACATGGATCTTATAAAAGTTCCTCTTATTATAGGCTATTTGCTATAGTTAAATTATTAATAAATATATATGGGCAGCTCGGGCCTGTTCCATGGCTAGATTGCGTATTTGAATCGAGCATTGCGGTCATTGCATAGGTGAGCTCGCTTTTTTGAAACAAGACATCCATACAAGGCCAAGTACTTCATGAGCCTAGATGCTAAGGTTCCGCTAATGCTGGTTCTTTTGTCATCTTTTAATTTCTTCTCGTCCGTCCTCTACTAAGAGGGTGATAGAGAGTAGGGTTCGCAGTGGCTGCATCATGAGTGGGTGAGTGACCGCATTTAGGCCTGCCGATCCAGCCATTGTCTCAAGAACCATCATACTGCTGGGCCAAAGTAATGGGGCGGACGATCTTAGATTGTCATAGGATTGCGGGTATCATTCTCAATCCAAATAACCTTGTATGGATCCTCCTTGTTTCCTGAGCCTTTGTAGGGATGGTCAATAATTTGCTGGGTGAGGATGCCTTGATCTACCACCAGTCACCAGTATAGAATCTTCTATGTCGTGGGCAGCTTAATCTTCTTAGGGTTCTGGTCCCCTTTTCAGTCGCCATGATGGGCGATTAATCAGTGCAGAACTCAAGCAGAGGTGCGGATATATATAGATTGATTATGGAGAATATTTGTGAGTGGTATATATCAGAGTAAGAGGGACTTGAGATTGTTTATTTTTAAAATAGTGATCCTGGTAGATAAAGAGAGATTAGGAGTCCAGCAGTATGAATATTAACTGCTAAATGAATTGCGGAGGATGGTGAAGTATATAGTGTTCTGGATTAGGAAATAGTTGAGGTTAGGGTTAGTGTTCGAGTCAGAATGACGATCATGCCGTCATTTGTAGGTGATCGTCTATCAATCAATCTCAACCTTCTCAAACCTTCATGTCAAGACCCTCGGATGGTCGAGTTCGCGATAGAAAGTTACTTCGGTCAGGCAGCCGGATTTTTATCCATCCAACGCCTCAGTGTACGAGTCGTGTCAGGGAATCTATCAGTCTATCCCTTGTATGGCCCGCCAAATGTGGGCTCAGCAACACCATTTGCCATACCTACAAGATAACAAATTCCATCTCTCCACTCCCAGGTCCCAACTCTCGAGTACTCCAGATCATCACCAAGCCATGACAACTCCCATCCGGCTGTCGCCGCAAGTTCAGCGGATTCAAAGTTGTTCGCCCTACACCGATATCTTTACGAATGCCCCTGTCGCTTCCTTTCGCTCACGAGAAAACACGCAGCACCGCGGCCTAACACTCTCTCATGCTCATCCTGACCTCAACCGATGGCAAAATTCTGGAAGTTGGGGTGCACGACATATTAACGACACAGCTCCATTCACGCTGTGGGACGCAGAGAACCGCAAATTCCGTACGCCAGACCGCAATGAAATGCAGTGGATTCACAAGAAATTCGGCGATGGAAATCTCGGGCAGTCTGGTTGGTTTATGTGGATTGAGACTGCCAACCCCCCTCAACCAATCCCCCTGACTCTCGCATGTATGCCGGTCATATTTGTTGGAATCGGGGCATGTCCCACGGAAGCCATCCCAGAAACCCCTTATCCAAACCCGCGAATCCAGGACCCGTGTCCCACCCTAATTTGGCCCAAAATGGCATTTCCGACGAAGCAACAGAATATCACTCTCCTCAGAGCTCTGGAGCCCTTTGTGAACATAAGAGCAATCTTGTATCTGCCGAATTGGACTGTCGTGGAGGTGTGCTATGGCGATGGCCGAACTTATGAGCCGCGATCATTACCTGGAATCGTTGCAGGTCGCACTACATTATACCACCACGCAGATGAACCATTCTACCCTAAAATGCGAAACCAGACGCGGGCCCGTTTTATTGATCCTGCTCAGCACATGAACAGCTCGGAGTCTCTACCTCAAGACGACTCTAACTATCTCCGGCGGTTATGCCTAACGCCAGGGTGTAGAGTTGAGAGTGGCATGGGTTCTCCAGGCTCCGGTTATGGGTCAGTGAACTCTGCGACAACACTGGGAGTGAAACTTCGCAATGTGCGTGGGGAGGAGGTGGTTACGGTCGCGCACCACGGATTCTTGCTCTCTAATGAAGTATATCATCCAAGGGTGGGCGGAGACATGATTGGCACAGTTTCGGATACGCGCCCAGAATTGGATATTGCGTTCGTCAAGCTGACCCCTGCGGCATCAGCAAGCTTCACCAACGAATGCAACTTCCAAGCAGAGCCGCCACGGAGTCTTATGCCGGGTGACATGATTGAGGCCGGTTCATGGAGTGAAGTCGATGGTATGAGCTCTGGCCTGGTGAACCTGATGGCATACGGCAAGTATTTTATGGCGCCAATCCGTCCTATCGGCCATCCCGCGATTCCCTTTGAGCGATGGAAAGCGATAACGGTCAATGCCGTATTTGGGGCCATCAACTCCACGATATCAGAGGGGATTTGTGGGGCACCAATCGTCGGATGCGAAAGTGGCGGAGTTACTGGCTTCTTTCACCTCTCCGATGGAACCAACTGCCTTAGCGTTCACCTGGATGATTTGATAGCTGAGGGGTGGCAAGTGGTTTAAACCTGATCTATGGGTAGGTGCCTTGATTGGCTGAATCGTGATACTCAGGGTTAGAAGTAGACTCTTGAATCTTATCGCTTGTATTCAGGATTGTTGTCTGAGATGAACTAATATCACAAACTCAGAACTCGAGATCTTGCTGTCTCCTCGTCGAGCCCTTTTTGCTCTCAGAGATGGACGGGAACCGCGGATCGTGCTGGAGAATGGGGGAGAATGAGGCCACGACACCGCAACATGGTCAAAAAGAGGCGGGAAAACCTAAATATGTAGTGCCAAAGCACCCAAGCGAGAGCCGCAGGTTAGGTTTCATCGCCTGCATGACAAGTTCTCAATCTTCTCTTTCTCTCAGCGGAGATCCGAGGAAAGGCCTCATAGTTCGAAGTCGGATTTCAAGATGGTGTAAAAGAAAACAAGGTAGCCTGGGTCTACTATGTAAGGGCTATGGTTTATCCATCTTCATCCATCAATGTCAAAGGGCCAGATAGTTCTCAGGGTGCCCTCATCTTTTATAGGCTTGTTATCACTCAGTTCTGGGTTATCTAAAACAGCCTGTAATATCCCACTAAACAGTTCCTTATAAGCCAGCTCTGTTACTTTCCAGTTTTCTAAGGGTACCTCGATTCTTTCAGTAAGCGAAAATCCTGATGACATGGAGAGGTACTGTGCCCTATCTCCCTATGACTAAAGGTTATCTAGGTCTAAACCTTCAATTGCATTATTTAACTTCCCGACCAGGGATGTGAAGGAGGAGTCATAACAATTGTGCCAGTAGCTGGAACCATAACTTGAATAGCCCGAGTATGAATCTGTCCACCGTGGCGATGAGAACGACCATATGTTCCGTACGAGGTATTCATAATTCAAGTTCGGGAAAGGGGCCGCAGGCCTCGGCGACAGCAGACCATTTGAGTGCATCTGCTTGGAAAGAGCTCCATACATGATTGAGCTGCACTCAAAGCCACACCCCCTCCTGCCGCTTAGGAGAGCCTCACGTGTCTCATGAAGGAGCTGGATCAAGTTATTGACAGCTGCCTGTCTGCGTTCATTCATCACTTCTGCGTTCCATTAGAGACTGAGCAACAAGTAGAGTTCGTCTAGCCTTACCCATGACTTTATCAGGTATCGGAAGCCCCAGACCGTTGCTAATCCAACCGTTACTCCGTGACATGGCAGTCGATGTTAACTGTTTGAACTGAGTCGGGAGTTTGGAAAACCAGGAAATCCATAACCACAGAAATAAATCTCGAGAATATGTCGAGGGGATCTTTTCTTCCAGAGCGTCGATCCAGATAGTCGACCAAACGCACATGGCTTCCTTGCATTCATAGTAGTCGGCTAGGACAGTCACCTTAGCAAGCATCTCAAGAGTTAACTTTCGCGGTATATGGTAGTGTTGACTATGAATAGCACGGAGTAGGATCAAGAGCGCTTCGATGTCCCAGCCATCTGCAGTAATCTCGACTGAGCCTTTTTGCAGATAAGCAACACTTTCCTTCCAGCCGCCAGTGAGTATTTTCTTGAAAACTGAAGAGGCAAGCATTAAATGCTTCGCAGAGACTTGGATGCGGAAGCAACTCTCGTCTTGCTGTTCACAAACGAGTCCGATTTCGATCGGGTCTTCGACAGGTTGTTCTTCAGCAGGTTGTTCTTCAGCAGGTTGTTCTTCAGCAGGTTGTTCTTCAGCAGGTTGTTCTTCAGCAGGTTGTTCTTCAGCAGGTTGCTCTTCGGCAGCTTGATTTTCGGTAGCTTGATCTTCGGTAGCTTGCTCTTCGGCAGGCCATTCCTCGGCAGGCCATTCTTCGGCAGGCGCTGGGGCACTCTCGTCGGCAGGCTCTGGGGCAGGCTCTGGGGCAGACTCTTCTACTGGCAGTGGAGTCGGCTCAAAAGAAGTCCAAAGAGCGTTAGATACTTTCTTCTTCTTTTTTTTCCCCTTAGAAGTCCGCATTGAATCTGCCATATGGCCTGTTGAAGTTTCAATTATCTCTGTGGGATCCTGGACAGAATCGCATTTCTCTGGAAGGGGTTGAGAGACAATGTTGGCAACCATATCTTCATCCGGTTCCGCAAAAGGAGAATTTGCATTGCGCAATATTATCACCACTTCGCCATCTGGGTCAATAACATGAGTTGGTCGATCCATAGTGGCTAGGAATAAACTAGAATATGAAGGACTTTGCCGGCGAAAGAGAAAGGGAGAAGTATTAAAGCAGGGAATCGTGGACGATGTACCTGGGAGTCCGAAGTGGCCCTTGGCTTGAGGGCTTAGATATATTCTCAGCCTTACAGCAGGGTGACGGCGTGGCTGCCCATGATTGGAGCCCGCATATAGTACATAGATTCTGACATGTCATGCCATAATATGGCTTTGACGTTTTTGACTCTTTTCTCAGAATGGCAATGGTCAGTCCGACCTCACAGGCAAGGCTATATGACAAGCCTCCCTGCCACATCGCCGCCTTTTTTGCCTATCGTGGTATTGATTCAACAATCCTTTTTTCGTTAAGGGTGGAGAGACGCTGAAGGTCAAATCCATACATCCATTCAGCTGCACAGTTCTGTATTACTGTACTTCAAACCGGATCATTGTACTACCTACGATAGAGCTATCTGAGTACTAGCGTAATCTTAACCGCCTGTAAGTTCAAGGAAGTTCAAGGTTAGGTGTTAAGGGCTGGAGGTCCTCGGGGAACCAGGCTGTGGTGTGGCTGTGTGGCTAAGCTCAATAAAGGTCACTCTCGAAGAAGCCTTTCTTAAGACTGAATAGCCATTTTATGTTCAGTAGAGCGAGATGCGTTACTCGTTAGACTGTAGCTGTGGCGAAGTTGGTATGGTATTGCGATCAAAATGGATAAAACGTTGGCTAAGCATCAACCCTCTCAACATGCGCATTCGCACCTCCACCCTTAACCGCAACAGCCTTGTCAGCATGCACATCCAACCCCATCTGCCTCATAGCATTAACCCCAGAAAGCGCATCCGGCCCGTCAAAGATTTCAGCAACCTCCTCCAACCCCTTGCCCTTGGTCTCCGGGAAGAAGAAAAAGATCAACCCAAAGTGCACGCAAATCACACAGCACCAGACGATATAATACCGCCACGAAATGGCATCCATGGCGACGGGGTTGGCAAACGAGTTGTAGATGCCGGCCAGATTGCCGGTGAGCTGGTACATCATGCTCGCCTTTGCGCGCAGCGAGTACGGCACCACCTCCATGATGTACGTCGGCGCGACGGGCGAACACGCATGGTAGGCAGCACTGAACATGAAGATCATGACTAGCACGCCAGCCGCATACCCCTTATTCTTGAAGCCGTGTTCCTGGTTCAGCGCCGAGCATACCGTCCAGATCACGTAGGAGACACCCATCCCGCCCATGCCCCAGAGGAACAGCCTGCGGCGACCTGCGCGGTCGACCAGCATCGCGAAGAAGGCGGCCGTCAGGAACGACCAGACGGATAGGCAGGCGTTGATAATCAGCTGGGTGTGCGGGTTCGTCACGTGGATGGTGTTGAGGACTTTGGAGAGGTAGTACGATGTAAGCCCGTTGCCTGCCCACTGCAGCATGGCGGGGATGTAAAGTGCCAGAAACAGGCGGTGCTTGTTCCCCCGGGTAGCCACCCACTCCATCCAGCGGGAGGCGCGCTGCATCCTCTCCATTTCGAGCGTGGCCGTGATTTCGGCCATTTCGAAGCGGACGAGGCGCGAGGAGGCGTCGCCGTCGGCGTGGTATTTGGTGAGCATGGCGAGGGCTTCTTCGCGGCGGCCGTTGTAGATGAGCCAGCGGGGGGATTCCGGGGCGAAGAGGCTGAGCACGGCTTGGATGAGGGAGAAGAAGCATTGCAGGGCGCTGGGGATGCGCCAGCTCCAGCTGGAGTCGGTCATTTTGAAGGTGCCGTAGGTGATCCAGGCTGCGATGAGGGAGCCCAGCGACCAGGTAGTCAGGTAAAAGGAGACGAGCTTGCCTCGCTGGGAGGGGTAGGCGACTTCTGTTAGGAGAGGCGGGGCGGCTGTAGCGACGATGCCCAGCCCGAAGCCGACGAAGAAGCGCGAGACCACGAACATGGCGTAGTTGGCGGCTGCGGCCTGAATGATCGAGCCCACGATGATAATGAGTGAGCCGCCGCAGATGGGGTAGCGGCGGCCGAAGCGCTCGCAGAGCTGCGAGGAGATGAGCACGGAGATCAGCATGCCACCGGTTGGACCAAAGGACATGGCGCCGAGACGCGTGCCTGTTGGTTTGCCAAAGTATTTGTTCCATTGCGGGAGGGCCTGCATGCCGTTCAGCATGCTGCTGTCGTATCCGGAGGCGATTTGCGTGAGCAGGGCACACAGCAGGAGCATGTTGAGTTTGATGAGGGTCCAATCCCTATAGAAGGGAGGGCGTTTGGGAGTGACATCTTTGAGAGTGAGGCCCTCAAAATTGTCGTCTCCTTGTCTATCTTGGGAAGTCATCTTGTCTTGTCTGTCTGGCTGACTCTGCTGGTGGATTGCTGGTCCCCGGACAACAAGATGGTTGTGAGTTTATGTACCCACCTGACGCGGGGAAAATCTGGGGAACATCGGGCCAATTCCTGGAGTCAATCGTCCGACGACCGTCGGATCTTTTCTGGGGTTTCTGATGGGTTCGGGGCGGGCGAATGTGCTCGGGCATGATTCCTCCGAGCGACGATATAGTGGCAGTGATAAGCATCATAAGCATCGTAAGCACCCGCGGAGTAGCCTTATCCATCCTATAATTCTTAACCTGACAAACTGCAAAATGACTGTAGATGTTGCTAACCACCAAATCAAATCCTATGGGTCCCAGCCTCTAGAGAAGATTTTCTCGGAAAATGTGCTGGCCAAGATCCTCCGCGTGGCCGTCGAGGCATTAAACAATAATGTACCATCACCACACCCTACAAGATCATTGGGACAACGAATACTGACTGATACTGAATGTAGGACCCTCCAACCGAGTATCCGGAATTCGTCCCTCAAAAAGGCCCCTCGACAGGCCGCTACATCCTCCGCGAATCCTCCTTTTGGACCTGCGGCTTCTTCCCGGGACTGTTGTATCTTCTGCTCGAACGAGCCATCCGATACCCCTCGACCTTTCCATACCTCAGACGCACTCACACCCTCGATCCAGTCTCTCTTCGAGACGATCTCGTCACCCTCTGCACCAAATGGACCGCCCCCATCTACCCCATGTCCCTCCGAACAGACACCCACGACCTAGGCTTCATCCTCGCCCCCTCCCTCCGGCGCTCCTGGGAACTCACCTCCAACCCCGAGAGCCTGCGCGCTCTACTAACGGGCGCCCAAAGCCTCGCCTCGCGCTTCGTCCCCTCCACCGGCGCAATCCGCAGCTGGGACGCCCTCCGCCAGTCGGACGTGGATATCACGTCCCTAGAGACGGACTGCCTGGTCATCATCGACAGCATGATGAACCTCGATCTCCTTTACTATGCTGCTGCGCATCTGGGTCCGGAGCTGGCGGCTATCGCGACAACGCACGCAAAGACCCTTATTAATTCGCATCTCCGCAAGGAATCAATCGCAGGGAAACAGATACTGGCCTACAACACCATCCACGTCGTCAATTTTGACCCCGCGACGGGCGCGATAAAGGAGCGCCGCACCGCGCAGGGGTACGCGGCGGACTCAACGTGGGCGCGCGGCCAGGCGTGGGCGATCACGGGGTATGCGCAGACGTACGCCTGGACGAGGGACCGGCAGTTCCTCGATGTTGCCATTGGGTTGGCAGAGTACTTCCTAACGAGGCTTGAGGGTGCGCCGGCTTGTGTGGAGAAGATGGTGGATGGGAGGATGGTGGGCAGGTACGTGCCTCTGTGGGACTTTGATGCCCCTGTCGACGAGGCGAGTCCGTTGCGGGATTCCTCTGCTGGTGTGATCGCAGCGAATGGGATGTTGTTGCTCTCGCAGGCGTTGGTTGGGGAGGACGAGGGGCTGGCGCGGCGGTTCAGGGATGCGGCGATGAGAATTGTGAGTGAGACGGTGGAGTTTTCGTACTCGAGGGAGGAGGCGAGACTGGTGGATAGAGGACAGCAGGTGGAGGATGTTTCCGGGACGCGGTTTGATGCGATTCTGCGGAACGCGACGGCGAATCATAATGCGAAGGATCTGGATCGATACAGTGATCATGGGCTTGTCTATGCGGATTACTATCTGCTGGAGTTTGGGAATCAGTTGTTGAAGCTGGGGTTGATATAAAGTACTCTATAGAAGTTGGTTTCCCCCCTATGATATGAATGATTTCAAGTCAAGGACTGAATGCAGGACTACTGCAGCATGATACTATTGGCCCCCGTGGATAATCCATCCATCTCTCCCGTAGACTTCTCTTACTCTGGTCCTGTGTAGTCGCAACAGCAAAGACCGCCGTCACCAGGAGCGCCTCCTGACGGTCACCGTCCAACAGCCCATGTCTCACGACAGGAATCAACGTCCGCGGCGCCATGAGATTCGTATTCGAGTCCGGCTTCAGCGCCTCATGCTCCGTCCTTGCCATGGTAACTGCCCCACGAATGCCACTTGCCCCAGCTGCAGACAGGATGAGTACACTATCCTGAGATACATGGACCCCTTCCGCCAGGCCAGTTTCGTTATCCAACCAATCCTCACCCTCAAGGGCAGGAAGAACCCGCTCCCCACCAGGCGTCTTCGCATTCCCTCTCGGTACTCGCTCAATCGCAAACCCTCCTTCAACCAAATGCAACTTCTCCAGACCCTTGCCGCGAATACGATGAATCCTAACATGCCAATCCGGCCGCCAATCCGTCGGCGGAACAAGCGTAGTCCGCACCGTGATCTCGCCATCCACCCACGGCCGCCACTCGACCTCCGCCACGGGGATTCTGTCATTCTGCCCCTGTACACTAGCAGTCCCAAACCGCACAGGCGAGCACTTCCACTTCACAGCCCAGGTCGCACACCCATCCCGACTCAGCGCAAGGGTACTATCCGGCGCGAGCTGCTGTATCAGTGGCCCCGTGGGTACGCTAAACGCAAACGCGGACGAGTACGCGAACTTGCAGTATTTCGCCTGCGAGGCTTTCATCGGCCAGGCAACGAATTGGGCGGGGTTAAGGAGGAAGTGGTGGCCTCCGGATGGGTGGTTGCAGAGGAGTTGCTGTGGTGCAGATACAATTTCCACTGGTGTTTGTGTGGACGGGTAGGCAGCTTCTGGGGTGCTCCAGAAGGGATGCGAGTCGGGTAGGAGAAGGACAATGAGAGACTTGAGGCTCCAGTAGACTGATTGCGGGGAGTTGTAGTCTTCGGCCATGTACATGTTTCTGTTCTTTGTTAGCTAGTTGTACTGAATGGAGGAAGAGGGAGACGTACGGATACAAGTAGCCGATGTTCATTGTCCCATCGGCGTAGAACATATCGGCTGAGTGAGCTGCCCACCAGCGTAGATGTCTGAGCAGGAAGCCTTTGACTGCGCTGACGGAAGCCAATGGGTCTGGCATGTCGGGGATATCAGCGACAGCCAGCGCCGCGAAGAACCCTCCGCATGCAAAGCGATAGGTCAGGGAGCGTCCAAAGGGAATTGCGCCTCCTACTCACATCAGGTTAGCTTCTTCAACATCTATCCAGAGACAAACGAGACGGACCGTCCTTGTCAAAATACCGCCAGAAACTCCCCCAAACTCCCTTGCCTGGACTCGATATCTCTCCGCCCTCTCCGGGTCCAAATGGCTCGCAAACTTGACAAAGAGACACTGACTAAACTGGATCGCAAAGCTCCCAGAATAGTAATCCGCTTGCCTTCCACACCCTATCGCATCCCATCGCCCCGTGCGCATCGCCTCCTCCCTCTCCCTTACCTCCTCCTCAGGAGACAACCACGGCCCATCACCCGACCACCCACCCCCAATATAAAACCCATCCAGCACCTCAAAATCAGCATCCATCTGCTTTTTCACCTCATCATATGGGACGTTCGCAACAAGCACAAGCGCCAGGTTAACAAACACTCGAAACCACCGCCAATTGTTAACCGGCATGTCCTTCCCGTGCATGCCGCACAGCCACGCAACGATGTTCTTTTGAGTCAACTCATCCTGGCCGTGAAAGAAGGCGTCGGGCGCGAAGAGCAGCGCGCAGGCTAGGACCTCTGCTTCAACCATGCGCTGGTCGCCGTTGGCAATGGTGCCCCAGTATTCCGGATGGGAGGGGTCAGTACCGGCGCGGATTCCCTCGATCCAGGGTTGAGTGACATTCTTTATGGTTTCGATGGTGGCGGGGTCGGAAGTGAATTGCAAGGAATGTAGGAGGGTAGCGATTACCCAGAGTGGACGGGCGAATCCCTCGAGTAAGGCGGCGCCATCGTCGAAGTGGGCGCCGGTTGAGATTGGGAGGCGGATGAAGGCGTGTGCGGGGAGAAGTGGGCGTGGAGAGGGCGGACGAGGGCGAGGGCGGCGTCGATGAGGTCGTTACGCGTGACGAGGGGATTATTGCTAAATCCAGAAAGGGGGGCATATCGTCTCTTAATCTTTTGATGTATGTTTAAGGATTACTTTTTTCTACGGATTACATTCTTATTAAGATGAGGAGATGAGGGGTGGATATCTATCGGGGCTCGGGGTAAGTCTCGGAGATTCCTAGTGACTAGTCAAGTACCATAGGCTACATCTGATGCGAAATACGCATTGTTTAAACTGATGATCCGGTCCATCTCCGAGTACTGCTGGTCTAGCAGCATGGAGGTCACTTTCGTCAATTCGTCCGGGCTGCCTGTGTTGTAGCTCATTCTCGCCGGACTAGACTGCAGCATTGGTGCTAGATCTGGATGAAAGGCAACCTGTGACAATCCGGTTGTGCTTTCAGGTGCTGGTACTGCTGCCGGTGGTGTTTGCTGGCAATCTCCCGTCCATTCTATCTCGTTGGAGTAGCCCAGGACGTCCAGCTTAAAATTTTCGTCACTTTGACACGCCCGGTGGATGGCATTCAGCTGGCCAAAGTACCTGGCTGCTGAGTTCTGGCGGCTCGCCTGTACAAGGCCTGACCAGCGTGTTGCCATGGCATCGAGGCATTTCATGAGTGTCCAGTAATCTGGCGATAAGGGCGTACCATAGTATCGCCAGTGCACTATTCCAGGGGTCCGCTGTTAGTAGTTCACAGAATGTTCAGAGGAAAGGAAACCCACCAAGTAGAACCCTTGCACTGACAAACACACAAAAAGCAAACTGGCTATCCACAACTCCCTCCCGCGGACAATTTCCCAGGTACTTCTCCGTGATATTGGCCGTCTCGGCCGCCGCCGCCTCGCACGTCTCCGCGCTAGACAGGGTCGGCAACTTCACCACCTCCAACCACTCCGGCGGCGGATACGCAATCCGCTGATGCAGCAGAATCATCGACGTGTTGTGCGTGATATGCGCCAGCGTCAGGTTCGGATCCATCGTCACGACCGTCGGCTGCCGCGAGATATTCGTGTCCTTCCATTTCTGCGGGAGAAACATCTTCCAGCTGACCAGACGGAGATCCAGCTCCTTGAACCGCATGAGCCAGCTTCCCATCTCCTGGCGGTCGCGGTGGTTGATCCGCTGTTGGAGAAAAAAGGTCGTTACGCGGCTTAGCGACTCGGTGGCTTCGACGCGGTAGGCGAAGGCGCCGACGGTTGACATGTCGACCTGCGCGGTGGGGGATGGCTTGTCGGTAGGTAGGAAAGCGATGAGAGTGCCGATCTTGCCGGCGGAGCGGTCCCAGATGCCGAAGAAGGGTGTTGTGACGGGTTCCTCGTTGTGCCAGAGGCCGCCGTCGGCGGGGAGGCGGCGGTGGACGTCGTTGGAGGTGAGGCTGGTGTTCCATCTGCAGTTCTCAGCGGGGATTCGATGCATTCATCATGCTGGCAGACATACCCTGTAGTCACCGAGCAGAATCTGTGATGTTAGTGTTGGTATACAGAGAAGACGAGGGAGGACATACCTGTCCAAGTTGAAAACAGTCCAGAAGACGCGCCGTCGTTCTTCCTCCTCCACCCAGTCTGCAGCCACCGGGAGGGAAGGCCGAGGCTGCAACACTCGTCCAGTGTCGTGGTTCTCCGACTCGACGCTCAGCTGGAGGTACTCGACTGTCCTCGTCAAGGAACCTACAATCGGCCACGCTCGAGAGACCCTCCCGGATCCAATCTAACCTGTCAGTTTCTGCAAGTAGTATAGGGAAGATGAATCATACATCCTCAAAACATAATATAATCAAGGCCTGCAAGTTCTCCACGTAGAGATCGTCCATTGCGGTCAGGACAACAATCTTCCGGGATCGTTCACACACGGCTTCGATATCATCCAGGTCCGCCGGAAGCACAGATTGGTCCGCGTGCTTCAGCATCGCAACGACCATCGCATGCAGCACAACTTCCAGGCGAGACTTGTCCGGGCTCCTCAGCCGCCGCCTGAATCTCTTTTCGTGAAATATTGGGATCCACGGCTGTACAAGGGCGAAGTATGCATCGATCACAGCCTCTAGGACGGCTGGGGGAGGTAGACTCGACGAAAGATCAGAACGCTCATCCGGCTCAATCAGTGTATCATTCACCCGTCTCCGTTTGTTGGTTGGTGAGCGTGGTACATCAGACACCGAGTCCTCGCATTGTCGTTTACGGGTATGAGGCTGCTGCTGCAGTTGTCCAAGAAGGAGCTCCATTCCTTCTCGCAGCGCCGCAGCCACGGCACTGCTATCAGATCCTGGTCTATGCTCTTGTGGCCGTTCCTGGTGGAACACCACATCCTCAAGCGCCTCTACTGCCGTCAGATGGAAACCTGCATATCAAGAGATTACCTACCAACCCGTCTCCTCAACGCCTCCACAGCCCCGGCCTTAAGACCCGGTTTCTCTCTTTCCCCATCATACTCACACGTCGTCCCTATACCACTTAGCACGTGACCTTTTAGACAGAATAAGGAAAGGTACCAATCCTCCGACAATGAGCGCAGAGCGGAACCTCGCGCGAGCAGCGGAGTTTCCGCTTACGACAAGCGCGACAGGCAGGACGATCCTCTTGCACTGATACCTCGGCTTCCATTCTGCTGTTTCTGTTTGTCTCGGTGTCTGTTTCAGTAACCTTGCCCTACAGTCCGGACGAGGGGTAGGCTAAATACTCCGTTGTCCGGTGGAGATGGGCCGGCTTCCGTCCGAGTTCCCCGACAGAAGGCTAATTCGTCTGCGTTTCTCTCCTGTGGGGTGTCTCCGCGCGGGGTAATAAGCCTCGAATGGCAGAGTTTAACCTAACTCTGGAGAGGCTTTTGCACTATGGGCTAGTCTCAGCGGTTTAGCCGTTGTGGGCGCGTCTAGGAGAGGGGCTCCGTATTCCCAAAGAAGAAGCGAGTATGAAGATCGCTTGTGGATTTGAGTTATTGGTTGATATGTGCCAACTTATTAACCAAGTAACTGTCAAGAGTGCAATTGGAATAAATGAAAGTAAGCAGTCCAATATATCCCGGAACCATGACATCTAGCGTCAGACACGTCAACAGGTTCTCTTCAGCAGACGGATTGGAACTCTACTATTATGCTCTGCCCTGATTAATTGACGTCTGAGGGGCTCTTGTGTCTACCACTGTCAGTCGAGTCACGTCCTCCAGCGCGTTGCGTCGATCCTTGACGGATGCAACCGGACAGAGACTACCGAAGCAGAGGATATGCGCTTGGAGATGAATGCGCGGTGAAGAGCGCAGCTGTCTGCACAACACTCACACGTCTTCCAGGTCATAGATATTGCGATCTGTCGAAAAGGTGTCTTGGGATCAAACCGTCCATGGGTAATCAGCTTGTGGGATATCGGCAGCGACACATACGTCCACTTAGCGGCCTGTGACCGTCTAAAGATAGTCATCGAGGTAATCGTCATCGAGCCATGGCCGATATCTGAGGCTCCATACTGCTGCCTATGCTTGAATGGAGACTACTGACATCCACACTGCTCCTACCAGCTTCTGCCATGTACCCACTCCCTAGCAGGTACAATGTTTGCCTATACCATGAGCGTGTCTTATTCCCCTATTTAAATATTCCTTCGTGCTGATAGATATTAGCAATGAGAACATGGTCCTGCCTCCTCATTACCGGCATTGAGTCTACCTGTCCAGTATCGAGTTTCAAAAGGCGCATAATCCAATTGGCACAAATATCATACGAGCAAGAAGAATCCCACAATTATCTTCTGCTCGATCTCTGTCCATGTTAGAGTTGCCGATGTAGGTGGTTAAGTGCACTGATAGGTAAGCAGACGCAACTTATGCTGCGTGATGTCAGTGCTATGGAATCACCGGATAACGATCAGCCCACCATGGCCTGATCTCCATGCCCACTCCCCCTGATACCTTATATTCCCACACATCCAAAGCCAATCCAAACTCAATTCAGTGAAAAAGAAGAAATGGCAACTCCTCCACCAGTAATCATCGTCGGCTCCGGCCTAGCCGGCCTCTGCGCCGCCAGCACCCTCATCTCGCACCACATCCCGGTCCAGATGCTCGACCGCGCCCCCAAACCGGGCGGCAACTCCATCAAAGCCTCTTCAGGAATCAACTGTGCCGGGACGAGATTCCAAGACACCGACGACAACGCGGATATTTTCCTCCAAGACACGCTCAAGTCCGCCGGCGAGGCATTCACCCAGGCAAGTACCGACGAGCGCGCCCGGCGGCAGAAGCTTATTTCCACGCTTGCGTCTCGCTCTGCAGATGCAGTGCACTGGCTCGCTGACGAGAAGGGCGTGGATCTGAGTAGAGTCGCGCAGTTAGGGGCCATAGCGTCCCGCGGACGCATCGCGGGGCAGGGCGGGATCCGCCTGGTTTTTCGATTGTGCGGACGTTACTTCGGGAGTTGCAAGGGGAGGAGCTGTTTAGCCTGCAGAGCGGGGCGAGGGTTACGCGGGTAGTAATGGAGGGGAGTGCGTTAAGGGGGTGGAGTATGTGACTGGTGAGGGTGGAGGTGGACAGCAGGGCAAGGCGCAAACGCAGACGCAGACACACACACACACGCTCAATGGACCGATTATTTTCGCTACGGGCGGGTTTGCGGGTGATTCCAGAGGTATGCTGGCGCGGTATCGGCCTGATCTGGCCAATTTCCCGTCGACGAATGAGGCGAGGGAAGGCACGCAGCCGATTCTCGAGGCGGTGGGTGCGTCAGTGGTCGATATGGATTGCGTGCAGGTCCATCCGACTGGATTTGTGGACCCCCAGGATCCGGCTGCGTTGGTCAAGATTCTGGCGGCGGAGATGCTGCGCGGCGAGGGTGGAATCCTGCTCAATGGCGATGGAAGCCGGTTCGTCAACGAACTGCAGACCCGTCAACATGTTGTTGACGCGATTGTGAAGTCGACATCTCGGATGGAGACGTCTACGCGCCAGTGGGATGTGACGCTTGTACTTGATGAAAGTTCCGCTGCGGCAGCTGGCTCCCATATGGACTTTTACGTGGCGAAAGGACTCATGCAGAAGATGACAGTTGGTGAGCTTGATTTACCGGCGGTGAAGACCCTTCAGGAGTATGGCGATGTTGTGGCCGGAAAGAAGAAGGATCCATTCGGCCGTAAAGCCTTTGGCCACTGGAAATTGACGGAAGTAATGCCGGAGTACGAGGTTTATGTCGGACAGGTGACGCCTGTCATTCATTTCACGATGGGAGGGGTGGTGATTGATGAGCATGGCAGGGTCATAGGAGAAGAATGGACCCCGATAGAAGGCCTTTGGGCTGCAGGGGAGGTGGCCGGCGGTGTCCACGGCCAGAACCGTCTGGGAGGTTCATCTCTTCTGGAGTGCGTGGTTTTTGGACGTATAGCTGGGAATGAGGCGGCAGCATGGCACAAGGAACACTATCCGGCAGCTCCTCCCTTGAGTGATGATACAAGGAGCCCAGCATCATCTGCTCAGGGTAACGCATGATCACGCTGCTTCAGCGAAATCACCGGCTGAATTCTTGCTTCCCTGGTCTCCTGATCATTGGCCTCCTCAAGCCAAATCCTCGATCCGATGGATGGTGCAAAGGCAGCGCTTAACTCCTCTCATCCACTCCCAGCTAGTTCAATTATATGGTAAACGATAGTAATCAAATGATTGTGGGTATAGTTTGATGTTATCTAGCCTATCCATTTACTCATATACTATAAGTAACCGGTCCTAGTGACGCGCTCAGTCCACCCTAAAGCTGCTATGAGTTGGCCCGGCTTATGGGTAGGAAGCCCAGGTTGGGCTCGAGCCAGGGTTCCAGCCTGTTTCGCTTATTATACACGAAAAGTAGGGATGTCGCTAATAATTTATGGAGCACTAACGTAACATTAAGGCTATGTACGCTTAAAATGTCTAATCGACGGTTCCAGTGGGTGCCCTGTCAGTAAACATTGATTAGGTATGTCAAGGTGTGGTATGGCAGGTGAGGCAATATAGATATGCAACCAAGAAGTCGACGCTAGCTTCTAGTTTCATATAGGCTATACTTGTTTAGTAGCCCTGAGGGAAATTTGACAGGATAATGTAGAAAAAGAGGCTGTTGAATCGCCTTATAGAGTAAGTTGGGAGGAATCCTAATATCCATGCATGTATTCTGTGTCTCATTCCTGCGCTGCCACCATCAACCCCCTTCTTTAATTAATCTTCTGAATGTACCAGATAGTGACTTCATTGTGGATGTGAAAGAAGGGGTAATAGTTAAGAGGCACGGCTGATCTGATAGTTTGAGTCCAATGTTCAATACACTTCCGATCTAGTAAAGAGATCTTCCTCCCTTTTCCATGAAGAGAATCAGATGACCTCTGCGCGAAGGTTGATGTAGATAGATGCATCTGACCTTGTGACTTCCTCTTCTGAGTCTGGCTGCCTTGTTAAGATAACCGTCTGGACTAGAGGCTTCGAATATTTTCGAGCAGTCCAAGGGATGTCCAAGGTGCAGGAATTTCGTGACAGGTACCGGCTAATCGCCAAAGAGAGTATTGTCTAGAGTATGATACGGGTCGAGATTTGAGTATCATCACTGGACCCCTTGGGTTCTAGGCGGCCGGGTCGATGAGCCAGAAAAGCCTGCCAAATGCTCCGTGGCAAAGCGTTGAAGAGCTGAGACATTGCTAAGTTTCGACGACGCCGCATTTTTGGTGAGACCACTTCAGACTCCTATGTGAATTAGTGGAATATAGTAGAATTAACAGGGACGAAAGTTTGGAGAGCATGCAGGAGATCGATCATCTGGACTGGCTGTTGTATGCCCCAGCCGCCACGGTAACAACAGGCTGTTTCTTTTGGGATGTCTACAGGAGTGGCATTCTCATGTCTCGGGACATTCCGTGTAACTTCACTGGCCCGTTCGTAAAGAAGACATTTCTGGCTCCGCTCTGGAACGCATCCCTTGCGGACAGTCGTGTTTCCAAGGGCCGCAACTCTAGCGGGTATAAGAGCGATGGGACTAGACCCAGTTTTCATGTCTCACTCAATTTCCGTACGATAATCAAATCCCTAGGCTACTGTTTACTCCACCGCACCATGAAACTGCCCGTCGCTCTTCTCGCTTGCGCTAGCTTACTCCCTGGTGCCCTGTCCTTTTCGGATGCATGCAGGCAGGGTCTGCTATACTGTGGCTCCACTTTGGAGAAGTATAATGGTACGTACACCCCTGTTGAATCACAGGGAGAACTGTCTTGTCCTTTTGCTAAATCTACATTCAATAGGATACTCGTCTTCGGAGCTCATAGCGGCTATCAGTGGCAATCTGGACGCCCTTGTTAGACCCCAAGATGCCCTCTTCCGATGCAAAGATTCGAGTGGTGGCATTCAACTAAGTACATTCTGCTACTTGGGTTGCACTAACCCCCCGAATGGTGATACTTGTGCTACTGGAGCTTAGGTAACTATCTTCTTATGTATATTGTGACTTATGGACTTATACCCTTAGATATCTTATCTGCGAATCAATTCGTCATCTCGAGAATATCAGGCACACTGTCGGTTTCGTTGAGCTCATCAAGGTTATATGAGTGATATTTCCTTATAGCTGGTCATTGTACCGAACTAGTTATGATATAATTCTCTTTGGCCAGTACCCGAGTACATCGACTGGGTGCTAGGCATTGTCTTCGTGATCTGGCTCTTTAACAATGAACTAATTCCATCTTTGACTTGGATATGGAAGTTATCGTAGAACATTCGTTGCCGGCTATATCAAGACTATTGATGTCTGAGTATTTGTTATGACCCACCTGGGAGCTAATAAACTCTTAACTATGCTCGACTATGTCCCCTTGTAGTGGAGCTCTAGACAAGCCTCCAGAGCCTAACGACTCTGCTAACAGACAACGCTTGAGCTGCCAAAGCATTGTCTTTTCGCATGACGTCGCTACGAGCGCCAATGCGGGACAAACCGAGGATCATAGTAGTGTATAGTTCTCGGAACATAAGTGACTCGGGTTCCGTTTTGATTGCTCCCGAGTACCATATAATCCTGACGTAATGTTCTCCGACTCTGAATCGGAGCCTTAGCCTTGCAGCCTCAAGAAGTATATATATTAAACACATGTGTCCCCGTCGTAGCTTGGGTGGACGATCGAAACAGTACTTGTGAGCTTACGTCAGGGTGACCAGTTTATATTGTGTTGATATTATTAGGTTTGGATCCGGAACACATAAATCCCAGCAACATCGCAGGAGAGGAATTGAAGAACGCAGTTCCTTTCACTCAGGATAATGTCAGTAACACATACACGCTTTGATTCTCGTTCCTAATTTGAACGCAAAGATAACGTGACGGATATGCAAACCAGAGCTCCAAGATGCGCTACCCCTTCGATCAAGGCGACCAGGAGACATGGACACAGGTAGGACAGCTACTGGTAGCCACAGCGCTGTCATCCATCATCGGAATTGAACGGGAATGGAAACATAAAAGCGCAGGGCTTCGCACAAATACGCTGGTCGGAATAGGTGCCGCCCTTTTCATGCTGATCTCGAAACTCGGGTCCTTCGATGTCCTGGAGCGCGGTCTGGTCGTGCTAGACCCAAGCCGGATCGCAGCCCAGATCGTGTCTGGGATTGGCTTCATAGGTGGAGGAATCATTTTCAAACAGCGCAACGAGATCCGAGGGCTGACTACCGCCGCTGGCGTTTGGCTGAGTGCCGCGGTCGGGGCTGCCTGTGGCGCGGGGCTTCTCAGATTAGCAAGCGTTGCCACTGCGTTGTATTTCGTCGCTGTACTCGTCTATCCAACTGTGCTGTATTATCTGCGGCAATACCTGGACCGGAAGGACACCAGGGAGGTCTCGGCTGTGATCCGCTACCGGACCGGAGCTGATGGGTTGCAAACCCTGCTCATGAATATGATGGAAGCAGGGTTTCGCGTACGGGTGATAACCCGGCTGGAAGAGGTCCTTGTTAATCAGGCCGCGAGTAAAGGGCCTGCGTCAGGGGATAGACATCCGTCGGTTTCGAATTTCTCCAGGACACCAAAGACACCTGCGGCACATATTGAAAGGCTTGAGCGGATCTTTGACATTCATCTGACAGTGAATGGCTCGAGAGGTCCGGATAGTCTGATGCATGCGCTTTCCCAACTGGACTCTGTTATTTCGGTTTCCATTGAGGACGATGAAGGAGAATTCGTCCAAAGAGTTTGAAGTCAGATTTCCCGCATGCCACTTCACCACGCAGAGACGCAAGGCCACCTTGTGCAGACGCTGGACAGCATGACAGACGTGGTAAATGGGCTGTATAAGATGTAGGTGGAGGAGCCTGGATGAGTGTTAGTGCTGTTGAACGGTTTCCTGTAAAGCCTGCAATCTGACTCGAGCATACCAGTTTTTATACACTTTGAGAGGACGCTTTCATGCGTTCATTAGTGACGGTAGATATGGGTCTTTAATGGTCCCGGACTGCTTTTCTGGCGTGGTGATGTGCTGATACAAAAGGATATGCCAGATCGCTTCTTCAGCGGTAAAGTGTAATGAAATATGGCTAAAAGTGACACATTCCTGACTTTCCTCTTCGCCTAAGAAGGCATGCAAAGCTTCTCCTATCGCGCTGCAGTAATAGCCCTCTGGCTGTCATGAATAAACTTGGAATAGATGCTAATGTCTACCCAAGAGGCTTACGGATCGCACCAAGTCCAGAAAGCCTGTCGGCATGAAGCAAACAGATCACCAACAATAGGAATCGACGGCGGTTCAGCGGTGATGCGAATCCCTTGCTGCGGCAGGTCGATGTTCCCAGAAGAAAAAATCTAACGAGAAGTTTCCGTGATGCGTTTTCTCGACCACCACACCTCTATCCCAGTGCCTCATATTCTTCACTATGAAATGACCAAGGAGAGCCCAGACAAGCTAGGTCCGTTCATTATCATGGAGTCGTCGAAGCACTTAATACACCGGGAATCCCAGATGACGTACACATAAACCACCTTGTTACTCAGCGTAATGATGCCGTTGACTCACCTGAGGACTGCAGAACAAAGTGTATCGCAAGGTTTCTATTCCGGAAACTTGCAAGAGAGGGTCGATTCTGCAAGTACTATGACGGAGGCCCATTCAAGCTCTTCTGTGACGACTTCCGTCCGGCAAATGTTCTGACAAATGCGGGATTCAAGGTCGTTGGGGCAATAGATTGGGAATATACCTATGCAGCACCACTTGAATTCGCTTACAGCGCTCCGTTCTGGCGTCTACTGGAATTGCCCGAATACTGGCCGGAAGGACTGGATGACTGGGCAACTTTCTATCTGACACGTCTGGAGACCTTTCTTAGGGTCCTGGAAGAGAAAGAGAAAGTGGCGCTCGAGCGTGGACTTCTCGCCGAAGAACAGCGTCTCTCTACCTACATGAGGGACAGCTGGGAGACCGCAGATTTCTGGGTTAACTACGCAGCCAGGAGAAGTTGGGCTTGCAAGCCTACGGTTTATTTCCCATTATTCCTCCGGCGTTTGTCCATGCTTGTACTGAACACAATCCTGAAAGCATTTCTTAATTGAAGATATTATCCACATCTGACCCTCAATCCTGGAAAGGCGTTGCGGACCCTCGATCTTCGGGTCAGGAGCAACCTATGCTGAAGTATATAGTGCCATGGGCGATGCTATAGAGCTGAGAAAATTTGAAATTTCCTTACTCGGTAGACTTACCCTTTTTCGGTTCTTCTCATTTCGGAGCTCTGCTCTAGTCAAAGTAGTCCTGCACTAATTGATTATGTTTCACGAGCTTAGTGGAGTATATTGTGGTCTTCTGGTCAGCTTCACATAAGCTTAGCGACAATCATCTAAGAGTTGCATAATATGTGTAATACTACTATTTAGCTAGTCGGAAATTAGCGCTCATAACATAATAAACTAGCAATGATTATGGGAAAACAAGCAATTCAGACCCAACACTTCTGGTTGGTAATCGTTTCTTCCTGTGCATACATTCACTAAGTGCTATTCATCCTGACAAAGAATATACAAAGACCAATGTCAGCTTTAGCTTTGTCCTCTACCAAATCCTAACCTGGCTGCAGAAGTCAAGTATAAATAAGCTGCAAGAGTAGACATTCATCCATGCCATAACACTTCCTCGTACCCTACTGCTATCCACAGAGAAGCATACCTAACATTGGTTCGCTATGTATTTCCGCTTAGAAATTCTTGGGCTCTTTGCCCTAATTACAACATTGATCAGTCCGACACTGGCACTGCCTACGGTTCCAACCACCATCCCTTCATCTATATCGACCGTCTTCCAGTTCACTCGCAACGGCACCTGGCTCGAAAATCTCGCAGTCCGCCCAAACGGCAACCTCCTCGCCACGCGCCTTGACACCCCGAACTATGGCTAATCGACCCATCCAACACCAACACCGCAGAAGCCGGGTCCTTGTTCTACACCTTCCCCAACGCCACTAGCCTGCTAGGCATCACACAAATCGACAGCGACGTCTACGCAGTGATCGCAGGCAACTTCTCCATCTCTACCGTCAACAGCACACCCGGCTCCTACGTGATCTGGAGACTCGATGCCTCGGGTAGCGCACCATCAGCGAGTATTCTGGCCCGAATCCCCGAAGCCGAGTTCCCGAACGGGATTGCGCGCTTCGGGCAGAACCTGCTTCTCATTACGGACTCTGCCAAGGGCGTGATCTGGCGGCTGGATGTGAGGTCGGGTCTGTACTCGCAGGCACTGTCTGATCCCTCGATGCTCCCTGCTGCGGGCCAGCCGTATGCTGTTGGTGTGAATGGTATTGATGTGCGTGGGAGGTATGTCTACTACACGAGTACCACGCAGATGTTGCTCTGTAGGGTTCCGGTGAATAGTGTGGCGGAGGCCACGGGTCCTGTTGAGGTCATTACTAGTGGGATTACTCCGGATGATCTTATGGTCGGCAATGATGGGACGGCGTACATCTCGACTAACCCGGATAATGGACTGGTGCAAGTTGATCCGAGAGGGAGAGTCAGGTTGGTGGCTGGGAATCAGTTCACGATTGCTGTTGGTGGATCAACTGCTGTTGCTGGCAGCAAAGATGGTTCGGTGCTATATGTTACAACCAGTGGGGGACAGTTTTCGCCCATTCTTGGTAAGATTATTGAGCCGGCCAAGGTTGTGGCCATTCATCTATAGATGACTATGGCTGGATCGGGGGTGCTTTTATGTTGAATGGCTGATCCAACCCGCTTAGAATTAGACCTACACTTGATGCCTGATTAGACAGTGAGATTCTTCGATTTGCATGAAGAGAATGACATTTTACCTCTTGACTGCTGCAGCAATATGTAATAACCAACAAGTAAGAGGCCTAGTCTATCCACGTAAAGAAAAGTGACTGTACCACTCCATGCTCAACCCTCTCCCTTCCCGGCAACTGAGAAACCACATCGACAGGGCTCTCAAACCTCAGTTCCACCCTCTTCTCACCATCAACCGTCTCCCACCTCACTGTCGCAACATTCTCCCTCCCGACCGCCACCCTCGCCGAGATCCCCGACTTAACCTCAACCGTGGCTTGAACAACACCCTCCTTGCCCCAGGCGCATCAATCCTCACCCCAGCCAGCTCCGTACAGTACTCATAGATCGGCACACTCCCCCAAGCATGACAATCCGAGCGCTGCCGCACATCATCCTCCTCCCACGTCGTCAAATTACACTCCAGCATCCGCCGCCACGGATCCCACACCCGTCCCCAATACGCCTCGTACGCCTCATCCCCGGCCAGAGAGAACGCCCGCAGCGCATAAAACTGCATCACATACGAGCATTTCGCAAAGCTGGCGTCCGCAAAACTCTCCGTCAGCAGACGCACGCGATCGCTCTCCGCTACCGCACCAGATAGCACGGCGAACACCTGGCAGTGCTGCGAGTAGGCGTCCCCGTCGGCGACATCCGCCGTCGAATCGGTGAAGAAGCGCCCGTCGTAGCAGTGCTTGCGGACGGATGCGAGGACGGCCCCGCGCGCGCGGTGTACTCGTCTGCGTGGCCGGGTCGGCCTACATCGTGGAGAAGCAGCGCGGTTTGCTTGAGGACGTAGGCGTAGAGGAGGCTGAAGAAGGTGTGTCTGTTTGACTTTCGGCCGGAGGTCGGGACGCCTTTGTCTGGGTGGGCGTCTGTCGCGCCCCAGTTTGTCACCCAGTCGACGTATTGCCAGACGTCGTCCGGGAGGTTGCTTACCAGCCCGAGGGAGTCGATGTGAGCGTGGAAGAACTCGAGGACGCCGTCGATGCGGGGGAGAAAGGAGCGCGCGTAGGCTGTGTCGCCGAAGTAGAGGTGGTGGTCGCAGACTTGGAGGATCCAGTAGAGGGAGAATCCGGCGATTATCTGCGGGACGTGTGACGGGAACCGGGACTGGGTGAGGCCTTCTGGTGTGACGGAGGCGGCGAAGTTGGTGATGGCCTGCCGCATGAGCCGGTCGTCACCGGAGAGGAGGTAGTGGAATAGACCGACGGAGCGGCTGTCGCCAGAGTATCTGGGACGTTCTAGTTAGATTTCTCATGTGCAAGGGGAGGCGCTTACTGGAGTTGCTCGTAGAAGGGACAGTCGGAGTACCCATCGAACATGCAGTTGCGCATCGTGCGGATGGAGACCTCCCAGATCCTTTCGCTGTACTCGTTCCCATCTTCCTGCCAGCTAGCCTTGACTGCCATCGGATAATTAACCTGGGTAGCGTCGAACGACAGAAGCTCAACCGGTGCTGGCCCACTGGCGATCTCAAGCCGGATCAGTCGAAACGTGCGGAACCAGAACGGCTCGTAGATGGTCGTCTTTCCCGCCGACAAGTCAATGGTCACCTCATCATACGGTCCAATGAGACGTCCATTCTCCGCGTCCAGTCGATCAGCCTTTCTGCGGAAGAAGGGATAGGACGGAGGCTCTTGCTCGTATCCTTCCGAATAGGTGACCTTGAGGGTTACACGAGACGCCTGCACAGATCGAAAGGACCACCGCAGGAACGCAGTTGAATGGACCTCCGCCTGGATTTCAAGCACGTGCGAGGAATTTGCTGGGAGTGTTAGTGTCTGCTTTGGGTTCAGAAACACCGTCCATTTGTCGACACCGTTGCTGCTACTCTGGCACTTTCGGACAAGATCAACTCCCACAGGCGTCTCCTCTGGCATGGGAATCTGACGAGGCCGCAGGCGCCATGGAGACAGATCACCATTCGCCGTCCGTATCCCGTACACCATCGGCGTAACCGGCTCTTCCAGCACTGCCGGAGTAATCCGCTCATTAATCTAACCGATTAGCGCTTGTCCTCTATCCTGCAAAAGGCACAGAGACCTACATGCAGAAACATATCATCAACAAGTCCCATCGGGAACCGCACACTCTCATTCACCTGCACCAGCCACCCATCCCTCGACTGCACATCCACAGTCTCTGTCTGCGTCTCAATCGTCCCAACGACCGTCAAACCCGGAAAGGCCGTCCGCTCAAAGGCCATCGCGCCCCTGCACGCATTGAAATACCTCATCACAACAAAGACAATCTCGTTGTCTCCCACACGTAGATACGGCGCAATGTCTACCGTGTCATAGTACCAGATCAGAGGGCTGCCGCGGGCGGGTCCCACTGCCGCCCGCACGCCATTGACAAAGAGCTTATAACGTGTATCCGCTGAGCAATGGACTAGCGCTCGTGTAGCGGGGGACGTAAGAGATACAAGACGCGTGAATCGGACGATTTTACCGGCAGTGTTGGCTGGGGAGGAATCGATCCAGTTTGGGGCCCAGATCCAGTTGGACTGGAGAGAGTTTACGGTCTGGACAATTAGTATTAGGTTATTGGATTAGAAGAGGGGAGGTACCTTTTGTTCTAGGGGTGATCTCATGGTGTGTTGAATCTCTGCTCTGGATATAAAGCTTTGATGCAGAGTACGTGGTTGAAAGGATATTTATCTGGTTGATGGCTCGGGGGAATGAGCCCCGACATTTCCCCGCCGGCCATACTGCTACTGTGGGAAGTTAAGAAGCTTAGAGACATGGAATGCGATTTAAAGATCAGCTTCAACTTCTATCAACTTCTCTATTTATCTAAATTCAAAAAGCCAAGTCAGAAACAGATACCACATCCCTGCACATCTCATCTCCCGCCAACGATCACTCTCTTAGCATTCATGCCACCATTAATGTCCGTATGGACAATATGTGCCTGGCGTGCACGCAGTTACTTGCAGTGCTTGTGAATGCTCCATCCAACACAGACAGCTCCCTCGTAGCAGTTCCATGGAGCGCGGCCAGCAGTAGCACAGTCAAGGAACTGCGGTATCTCATCAGCCACTTTTCTTTACTCCAGAAGCAAAGAGTAACTCACCTCATCACCGCACTTCCAGAACGGAGCAGTACCGACGCAGTAGATGTAGGACCAGGCCCGCTTGCCATACTTGGCAATCAGCTTGGCGAACTTGATGGCAAGCTTCCACTTGGGCACGCGCTTCCCAAGGTCCTCGTCGTCATCGTTCATGTCAGCAAGGTTGACTTCCTTGCCTTCAGCATCGTAGAAGGTTGCAGCTGGGTCTGTCAGTTTTGTGTTTGTGTTTGCGGGATGGAGAGGGAGGCAAAGGACGTACTTCCTTCCGCGGTCTCGATGGCGGTCACTTCGAGGGTGCCGTCGACGTCGAAGAACTCCATCTTCTTCTTGCCGTCTTCGAGGACGGTGCTCACGATGTTGCCGTAGGGAGTTGCGACGGTGCTGTTGTCGCTGAGGGCATCTTCGCGGGGCATCAGGGAGGGGTGGCCGATGGTAGAGGCTAGGGCAACGTGGCTGCAGAGGGCCACCATGAGGGCGTTGACGATGACAATGAACTTCATTTTGAAGATGGTGAGCTGTAGATGCTTTCTTGTTGTTTGCTTTGCTGTCTTTGCTTGCTTGCTTGTCTGCTGAGCTGCTGTTGATTCCTCTCGTTTCTCGTGGACGTCGAGGGGTTTATATACCTTGCTCCCTCACAGAAGCCCTCCCAATCGAACCGTTTCATCCTCATCACAGAGGCAATCTCGTATTCTTCGATGTTATTTGCATTTCTAATTTTGACATCCCCAAATGAAGCCGACGACAAGCGCAGCTGAATACGATGCACCTCGTAATCATCATTCGAATCCCAGCATCCCCTTCACCTGCGGAATCATGCCAGCGGAACTGGACGCTTGGCCTGCAGAAGCAGATCCCTCCGTCCCTCGTATTGGACTTGGCATCTTGATTGTCTGCTGCCAAGCCGTTCGAGGACTGCTATAAAAAGCTCCGGGGGGCTGTGCGTGTGCCCAGCGCCATGGGAGCCAAGGCCTCCCACTCGCGTCTGCATTGGGGTTCCTGTATGCTCAGTCTTGGCGGCTTGGGCTTCTCGATTCGAAGGTATATCGCGATTGCATGGAATGAAGTCACTGAGGATGTATGAGATGAGGCTACTCTCGTATTCTATTTCCTACTTTTCCCTCCTGCCAAGGCCTAAAAACGACGCATGGGATGCAGGCCTATTCGGATTGCTCGGTGGAAGAAGCAGTTCCACTGAGGGTTTTAGCCAAATTGAGTCGTTTCTCTTGGATCTCGTTTGTAGGGGCTGAGGTATGCAGCATTTGATACTTTTGCCTCATGTTAGTTCACTGGGGCTATTTCCCAAGGCTCTGGCGCCAATGGCAAGGTAGAATTCAGTTTTCATCTCCCGAACGAAGACGCAGATACGAGAGCTGATATTATTTTTTACGCAACAGATTCTCCAAGATATCTACTTAGTGCTCCGGTTCGTGCCCAATTGTGCTTCAGCCTTCAGCTGGGGTACTGGAGGACTCTGGTTGAGTCTGAGATTCGCCCCATGGCCAAGAGCTCATCAACCTCGTACGATGCCGCATGCATTGCCCCGTCCAGATATGGCAGGACTCTACGGAGCGGCCAAAGGACGGAAAAAGACGGGCCTCGTGGAAATAGCCTGACTGGGGATGCTTGCATCGCGTGTCCGGTTATATCCATCTGTGACTTGAACAGTATGGAGGTTCCTGTGGTACTCCGCGGGAGCTCGGGATAACGGAGATATGTCGATCCTGAATCTACAGATACTTTCCCACTCATCGTTTTGTGCTCCTTGTGTCTATGCTTACACTGGTCAAGCTGAGACTTTCCTCTCGGGTGATAGATCATCGAATCGTCGACACCTGCTCCCATTGCTATTCTACACTTGTGCTTGGCGTAGCAGTAACAGAGAGCGTGCACTAAGTGACGAGTGGCAGGAACAGGTCGTCCCAGGCTCGAGGGCGTTCAGGAGATTCCGGTCAGACAGAGACCCCGACGGCTCTATGGCTATTGTCGGACCCTCATTGTTTTCCATTCAACCAAGCCGGACCTAGTGGGACGACGGGTCGAGGGGATATTACACATCATCAGCATTTCACCTCTTGCAATTCATGCAGGTAATCCGTTATCCTTTTTGTCAAAGCATTTGTCATCTGTTCCAGTGGCAATAGTTGCGGTTAGGAGGGATCACGATGGATCTGGCAGGAATGGACTGCAAATTCTCAGCGTCAAGCAGATGAACCTAAGCCTGGCCTTATCCCTGAAGTGGCCTGCTCAACTCCTCTCGAGTCTGGCCTTATTCCGCTCCCATACCACAGCTGCTCGCTTTCACAGGGGCTATTGACTTATCCATCAGCATTTCTGGGCTCTAACCGACGACGGAAAAGGATCTGCAATGTGGCTCCTACTTTCCGCCATGACTTATATCTTTTCTTCGGAGCATGCCTCCAAGCTCTCGGTGGGTGTTATGAGAATGGTAATGAGACATGGTCGCTGGGCTTTCGGGCTAAAACGAAGCTGAGACGGAGCTGAGCAACAAGCACGACGATTTTCAAGGTGAGAATACACCAATGTTGCGCTTCAATCCAGCCTTGCCAAGGTCCTGCTGTTTCCATATGGAAGATATGTATTGGCCAGCAGAGGATAACAGGAGCTAGCATAGCTGATATTGTCCCTGTTGATATACGATGCGTAATCTGCAATCCATGTTGAGTAATGTCTTCGAGAGTCATGTTATGTCTAAGAAGTTCTTGCTCTGTACCTTAGTAGTTTTCTCCAACCGGAGTGCCTATCCTAGCATCTGTCACTTCTCTGTGATTAGATCCCCAATTTTATGAAGAGTGATACACTTTTAGTCCGAGGAGGAGAAGTTGCATAAACAGATAATTTCAATACTATGTCCAACAGTGCATGAATAGCCCGAATCATTGTTTTTTGTAACTGGAGAGTGAGAAAGAAACGAGTATTCCTTCCCTTGTTAGTTTCCCCTTAGATTGGTGATGTAAGCTGTGCAAATCTATATCCACACCTCAGCATCTCAACGCTTTCATGCAACCTATATTACACCCAATTCTTTTCCTTAATCTAAGGGGATACTTGGCGCAATGATTCTGGTATCCTGTAATTGGACCCATCGAGGATGATGAAAGGATGGAGTCATGGATCCTGAGTAATAGATTAAGCTTAAAGTAAACGGCCAACCACAAGAGCTGCCTAGCCAGCTATGAGGCTTGATTGTGAATAGTTACAGCAGTTATTTGACCGAGACCTCATACAATGTAAAAACGATGGATATTATGTCTTGCTTGACCCATCAGTGCATACGTAACCTTGTATGGCGTGTTTCAGACTGTGGACGGAGAGCTCAACAGAAGATGGCATGACATTCATTGTGATCTTCTTAATTCATATATACATAGATTATATTTATGATGAGAGTAGACTAGATTGACAGCAATATTCGGTGTATTTCCGAAATATATTCCTCCAATTCGTAATTGCAGGATAGGCCGCGTCATACCGTGTTTCTTCTATGCTGACCCCTTCCACATCATCACCAACGATGATATACCTGAAACTCTCCGATCAGATCAGCCGGCTCGACGAATCAACTAGCAGGATTCATGCCGCATGCGGTGGAGCTGTCTCGCAGAGATATCGGATCACTTACCGGAACCTACATAGATTGTGGAGAGATCGGCATTCGAATCACCCTGTACAGACATTTTTCCTTTCCATCGCCGATTCAAGCAACTGGTGGATTCCTGGTGGACTCCCGTTCACTGAGTAATTCTACATCTCCACTCGACGGGGGAATTTCTGACAGACCATTATAGGATGCTGTTTGAGATGTACCATGGTCATCGACTGGTCGTCCAGGGGTTGAGACTGGAGGATCAACTGGATATAAAACCAGCGATGTGCAACTCACGGCTTATGTTTCGTTCCTCAGCACATCTCACCCTGTCATTCTTTTGTCTTTCCTTCATTTAACTCTTGTCATTCGTTTCGTGCCTACTTCCAGGATGAAGTACGCTGCTCTCTTTACCACCGTCGGCGCCCTGGTCTCCCAGGCCATGGCCATTGGCGTCCAAGGCACCGCCGAGGGTTTCGCCTCGTCCGTGACCGGCGGTGGCAGTGCTACCCCCGTCTATCCCTCCACCACCGACGAGCTGGTCTCGTACCTCGGTGATAGCGAGGCCCGTGTGATTGTGCTCACCAAGACTTTTGACTTTACCGGCACTGAGGGGACCACCACCGCGACTGGTTGCGCTCCCTGGGGTACTGCCTCGGGCTGCCAGGTAGCCATCAACCAGAACGACTGGTGCACCAACTACCAGTCGAGTGCTCCTTCTGTCTCGGTGACCTAGTATGCTGCTCCATCTGTTTTCTTGCAAAGGTTCTGACACGAAGTAGTGATAATGCCGGTTCGCTCGGTATCACTGTCAACTCCAACAAGTCCCTCATCGGCCAGGGCACCTCCGGCGTCATCAAGGGCAAGGGTCTTCGTATCGTCAGCGGGGCTAAGAACATCATCATTCAGTCAGTACCTGCAAACGAAAGGGAAGGATTATGCTGACTGGTCAGGAACATCGCTGTCACCGATATCAACCCCAAGTACGTCTGGGGAGGCGACGCCATCACCATCAACCAGGCCGACCTCGTCTGGGTCGACCATGTGACTGTACGTTTCCTCACACCCACACATAAGTTGAAAATACAAAAAGACTAAACGAAGTGATGATAGACCGCCCGTATCGGCCGCCAACACTACGTCCTCGGCACCGAAGCCAGCAACCGCATCACCCTCTCCAACAACTACATCGACGGCGAATCCGACTACTCGGCCACCTGCGACAACCACCACTACTGGAACATCTACCTCGACGGCTCCAGCGACAAGGTCACCATGAAGGGCAACTACCTGTACAAGACCAGCGGCCGCGCCCCAAGGTCCAGGGCAACACCTACCTGCACGCCGTCAACAACTACTGGAACGACAACTCCAACCACGCCTTCGAGATCGGCGACGGCGCTTATGTTCTGGCCGAGGGTAACCTCTTCTCCGACGTCACTGCTGCCGTCGAGTCCTCTAGCTTCACGGGCGAGCTGTTTGGGTCTGCGAGTGACTCGTCCACCTGCAAGTCGTATATCGGTCGGAACTGTGTTGCCAACTCGTTCTCCAGCTCTGGGACGCTCTCGGGCTCGACTGCTGATGTGCTGTCCAAGTTTAAGGGTGAGACTGTTGCCTCGGCGAGTGCGGCTGGTACTTCTCCTGCTTCTTCGGCTGGTCAGGGGCACCTGTAGATGGACGTTTCGAAAGGGGGGGGATATAATATAATTGCGTGGACTGTACTCTAGTCAATTTAGTAATATCAGTCTAACTATAAGGGGTGAGAAGATGTATACGCGGAGTAATCGATTAGATTACCACTTCCATTCTAGCCTATAATATGTTATGGCTATTGGCTGTAGATTTAGATTGTAGCACTGTGTCGCTAATAGTTGTCCAAGAGAAGACTCCAGTGGCGCATCTGGATTTAGCCTATGGCTAAGTATTGGAAACCTCTTGAAGACATGCGCTCAATAGACGGTTGTAGAGAAGAACGGCTCACTCATCAAACGGACGGTGAGACCGTTATTTTTATGAAAGCGGGAATATGGCCAAAGAACCAAAAATATGCAAGAAATGTGTTTTTCCATTGCAGTTGATCCTGCACTGCAGCTAAATGTCTCGACAGCCGGATCTAAGCGACTAGAATATTTCCCAACATTCAGATCGCATTCAGGTGGAAAACCGCGGGTCAGACACGACTGAATCGTTCATTTGACTCGCTAGCGTCAAACTGGACAGTGGTCGAATGCAACGGAGCTCCATCACATCTGCATGATAGTCCATTTCAGCAGGTTGTGGGATTTGTCTGCATTGCAAAGCGCTATGTCGCCCTGACTGGTGCTGGTTCAACCATGTCGTAGCCGCATTCGTGGTCTTGCTGCACGGCGACTGTGAGGCGAGATTGGATGAGCAAGTCAACTCCCTCTCGGAAGAAATCATGTTCAGCCGTTATGGCCGGATTTGTGGTGTTCCAAAATGAACTGCTTTCACTGACGAAAGGCTGAATCTAGATCGGGCGCGAAAATCCTCGCGGTCTCGATGTTTCAGCCACCGAGGAGTGCTCTGTAGACGCTTCGATTACTCGCTGGTTGGCAACCATCGTTATAGAATCCATTTTAGTACGATTTCGGTCACACTTTAGGTGCCATAAGTCTGGAATTGAGGTGGCGATGTTCAATGGGTCTCTATACGTGGGCCCAGCCATTGGCAACGAGCACCTGCATTTCGTTAATCAAACAAAAGTCGCCGGGTTCATGCCGGCCACTAGAGAGACTCTTCCATTGGGCAAGTCTCCGTCGAACGACAACCTTCTTGAAAAGAGTCGTAGTAGCCCAACGTCGTAATCTGTTCTCCCACAGAGCCAAGGCGATATATTGTGGAGACAGCCAGGAGCCAGCAGGATGGACCTTTTCGTATGCGGGGCCATTATAACCAACACGGACCTTGGGATTCACGTAGACGCCCTGGTGTCCCGAGAGAGGATTGTCCGCATGGATCAAGCAACATTCAGAGCCCTCAAGATGAAATAGCGCTAGAGAATCGGGAATCCCACGGAATCGCAACGGCGTGCCCGACACGAAAGGCTCACTGGGCATAGCGACTGTTCAAGCGGGTGAGTTAAACCAAAGGAAGAGATACACTACGAGCATAGAGTGGTGAGGGGGTGAAGGAAATATGAGCCTACCCATGCCATTCCAGCAACTCTTGACAGGGACAGGAGACATGTTGAATAGCGCATGCCGAGATGTTGTAGAACGGAAATAAGGCCACGTTTGCATAACGTGCTCATCGCCATGGCTATCCCGCAAAGCAAAAGTATCATAATACAACGGAGGTCGGGAATAGTCTAGAGAGCAAGCGGCGGCGTATACTCCATCGTTTGTGTTAAGCAGTTCAATAACGTCATCCACCTGCGGGCATGCTACAGGGTGAGAAAAGTCATTCCCTCGTAAAGGTTAAGTAGGATTGATACGTACGGTGAATACCACGTCATTCAAGAAGAGAATCTTATCAAATGCTACGCCTTGCCGTTCAAGGTCCTCCAGAGGACGCAGGGTCAAGTTGCGGAGCCGAGCCAGATAAGGTATACGCCTAAGTTCCTTCCGACCGCGAGGAGTATCTATCCAGCCTTCACTCGTAGGAGAAACCGAAATCTCATCCTCGTGAGTCGTGTTTGAGAGAGTGATGTTCCGTCTCACACCGAGGCGATCCAGCTCCACATCGAGATCCCGAAGCGCACCCTTTGTATCATCCCAGCTTCCGCTCTCATAGACACTGACGAAGACATTCTCCGTACCCCATCCTTTAGCCAATTGAACGATTGCGTCATTCCAGTGACTACGCAGAACCGCCTCGTTATTCCAGTGCATGCTCGCAATGTATATTCGCTCCGGTTTCTGTGGAATAGGAGGCTTGGTCGCGTCCGCTGTTGAGACCCGTTGATAAATAAGCAGCACCTCCAGGACAGTCCAGAGCGCGAAGCTTATCAACAAGGCCTGGAGAAGGCGGCGGCGCGGTCCGTACCGGCGAAGTAGCCCATGACGGAGAAACGGGCCAAAATCAGAAGGGATCAGGTGCATTTCGAGCCGGGAATCGCATCATTAGATGAGTGACGATGCAAGTTGATGCAAGTTGTCTAGGGTGAGACAAAGGATGATGCTTGTGTCCCCAATTCTGCCGCTCTTCGCCGACAATCAAGCTCAGGAGAAGAACATCACGTGCCAACATCGAGTCATGTCTCTGCCTCGGACAAGACTGCATCAGTGTATCAGCCACCTAACACATTGAAGATTATATGGCCCTCCGAGAGATAAGTGATTATCTGTCGAAATTTCATGTCCAGAAAGCATATTGTAATCTCTGCCTAAGAAGGTGCTTCCCAGGCGGAACAAGTCCAAGACAAGCCATTGGCCCAAGACTATATATATTTAGCGAGACCGCGAAGTCCGCAGCCGATCCAGTGCTCTCACATATAACATCTTGCAGCTGTCATATTTCGCTACCGTCCAGAGTCATTCTGGGACCATAGACTAAACATTCGTCCACCCCCTCTGACACAAAACCAACAAATACCCATCCGGATCCCTAACCGTAACCCCCCACTTCTCCCAATACTCGTTCGAATGTTGCACTCTGGTCCCCCATTCTCCACCAACCTCTCCACAACCCCGGGCTCAATCGCCCCATCCACATAAATAACCAATAGATCCTCCTCCGTCGGCCTCGGCGCATTCTTTTCGTCGTTGCCATGCACCAGCACCAGCTCCAAATGCCACGCTGCGCCCGGCCACCCCAGCATCAGCAGCTCATGGCCGCCCTCGACTTCGTGTGCGGGTCCACTCCGCCAGAGGACTTTGAGGCCGAGGCCGGTCACGTAGAAGCGTTCTGCAGCGGTGAAGTCGCGACAGGGTCGCGCGATGCGGATGTGTGAGGTTGCGCTGGGGAAGTGGCCTGTTCCTGGGCTGGCTAGGGTTGGGGTTTGGGGGCTGGAGTGGGCCATTTTAACGCAGTGAGATGGTTTGACTGATTGCAATTTGGTTGTATAGGTTAATTTGTCCAGATCTGTGGGGATAGGCTCATATATATGAGTTCATGCAGGGCTAGACCTGGTTCTGGGGCTTCCATTTGTCAGCTGGAGGCTGGATACGAGAATTAGTCAGGTGAGGTCTTCGCAAGGAATGCGCCAGTTATAGGATGGATGTAATGGAGGCTATATATGGATAGATAATTATTTGTGGTTGAGTACATACTGAGACCCAGACGAAAAGCAGTAATAACAATCAGAAGGCTGAATCTGAAGCCACACGTAGAGAGAAGCAAGGTCAACACCCCAACAAATGATAATCACGATACCCTCCCCTCCCGAAGTAGCACCTCAGCCAGCATCGCACGATGCAGTAGTTTATGCAAAGCTATATCAATCAGAATACATCTCAGAAACAACAAAAAATAAACACATACCTTCCGGCGGTGTCCCCTGCGGCGCCTGAGGCGTCACCCGTCCATAATCAACCGCCACATCTGGAACCTCAATCTGCTACAATCAGCAACGCTCATCTCTCTTGGAATTTAACAAACCTCACGAGCCCGCAGTTCCGCATGCAGCAGTTCCGCCTTGGCTACTACATTCCGCAGCAGATCATCCAACTGCGCCGCGTGCGCACGGACAGAGAATATCGATGGGAGACGGTACTTTCGCGAAAGCAACTTGCGCCAGCTGTACCATTTCACTGAAGCTGCAGGGAGCGTGTAGTTGTGTTTGGTTAGCCAGGAGAGTAGCTCGACGTGGACGTAGGAGAGGAAGACGCCGTGTTCGACGCACTGCGAGTCCTGTTTTGAGGCGTTGATGAGGTGGCCGTCGGATTCGGCGCGAGAGGAGTACTGGTGCAGAAGGGTCTGGATGGCGGTTCGGTCTAGGTGGCTGTGGTGGAGGTTGTTGACGACTTCTTCGAGGAGAGTTGCTAGGCGGGAGAGGAGGTCGATGGCGTTGGGGTCGGTGCTTTCTTTGGACATTGTGGTTGTGTTGAGGATGGATTAAAGTGATGGATGCGATGTTGCTGGGGTGTCTCATGGTAATAGGTGTCAAGGAACAATCATATGATCGATAAGCTGATCAGTATCGCTGGTTCTATGAAAGGTGGTGGTTGCTGTGTAGCTATGAACCATGGAATGGATAAACCTACAACTGCACCGAGAACTTGATCCGGACGGGTCTCTAAAGTCAATCTCTTAGCTATTGATCTTCAATTCCAGAAGTGTATTGCACACTATATATAGGCCGTGACAGTGTCACATCCACCAAGGAGAGAACAACGAAGCGTATTTCTTCTTCAACAACTCCCCTGCCACAGGAGGTGGTTTGGGCGGCTCCACCTCGTCATCCGAGTCCTCGAACCCTAAGGGAAGGGGTCTTTCCCTGATCTCTATCTCTCCAAACTCTCCCCCGGTCAGAAGACTTAAATACACACTGACATTCTGTTCACGGAACGTAGTCCGCACCCTCTCGTCTAATGTACGCAGAATCCCTTCCCAGCTGCCGTCCAAAAGGTGTATAGTGGACAATGAAAGGCGCCGCGTTGAGGGTGCCAGCCCGGAGAAAAATCTTTCCAGCTCATCTTGCTTCGCAGAGACTTCCGAAATCGTTATATCTTCGACGCGTGGCCAATTGACAGCACTAAGGACAAGACCTATATCGTACCAGCCCTCTTTCGTGGTGCGGCCATCATTAAGGCCAAACGAACGCAAGTCCAACCATACAGTTTTCAGATCTGCACTGCAAAGTACTGTGTTGAGGTATTGGTCGACATAGTACTTTTCTTCCGGTCGGAGGGGCTCGTGGCGGATGCGAAGGTTGTGGTAGTTCATTCCGAAATCGACTCTCCAGAGGCTGCTGCACGCCGCTCGAAGATCCGACCATGCTGCTGGATCGGTGGGATTGCTCACACTATCGGGACAGAGCAGAGAAAAGCTGCCCCGCCATGGGAACGGTCCAAGATCAAGATACCTCAGCTTGCTTCCGGCTTTGTGGATGGCAACCGGCAGGTCGAACAAGAGCCTGGCAGGCATAAGTTTGGCATCGCGCGTAAGTAAGCGATAATTGCCATGGCGCAAATCGTCGATCTTTTCCCACTCTAGCGCTGCGCTCATCATTCCGGGAAGCAAACTCGTGTCTCTCAGTAGAACTGTCGGGTTATCCCGATCATAGAGTGGTTCCATTTCGTCGGTGAAGCCCAGGGTTATCGTGTTGGGCAGTTGGGAGATACAAGATGCAAGCGTGGTGACGAAGGATCCACTGGTGATGAGCTGTAGCTGCTCTTCATGCTTTTTGCAGTATTCATTATAGCCTCGGACGAAGATCTCCATGTGCTCATCCGCCTCTGCTTCGGCGACAGCGTCATTCTGGTCACTCTCGTCGGAGTCAAAATAGGCGTCCCACGAGCGACAGATTTTGTCGTAATTGCGTTTCGCTTCCCGATATTCCCTCAGCTGCGGCGGGCAGTCTGTTTCATCGTCCGATTCATCCCCCCGAGCCAGTCACAGCGATCGGCCACTTCATACAATTGCTGCTTGCAATAGTCCTTGAAACGAGGGCAGTCTGAGACAAGCTCTTCCGGACGATATTGCAGCCCGACTTGAATGGCATGCACACCTTGAGCTATCCGGGGACGTTTGCACAACTCGACCGCCCCATTCAGCGATACCTGGTCAAGATCTACGCGGAGGATCGGACACAACAGCGGAGACGCCAGGTCGTTGAACAGGCTACAGACCAGGCGGATTTGCCGGATCGTCTCGCGGGCAGTCCTATGGGCAATATCTTCTTCACAGCCCCTGGGTAGCGATCTCCAGTCAATTTGGGCCAGTCGTTTGATCCTTGCGTCCTGGAAGTAACCAAAAATCTGAAGCAGAATATCGGCAGGCAAATCAACTATTGTATATGGTCGGATCTTCGCGCGTGAAAGCTTCATTGCCCCAGCTCGAAGTGCGATGCGGCGTGTGTTGATGTCCCAGAGTACAGTCTTCTTTCGCGTCTCTGGGTTGTCCTCACTATTCTTCCCAGCATCGGTATCATCCTTAACTTCCTTGTCGGGATTGTCAGGACCATCGTCTCCTTGCTTCGAACTTATATATCGCTCAAAAGCATCGAGCCGACTCAGCGCTTGATAAATTTCGTCCAGACTAAGCTTGCCGACCTCCTCAAATTCAGGGTCCCACTTGTCGGGCAGACCCATTCGATCGGCAGAGTGCATCCTGCACAGATTTGCATCCCAAGTGAGCCCAGTATTTTGTGATCTGTAGTGAATATATATTATTAAGTACCTCTGTAGATGCCCCCTCAGTATTGTATTGTGGCATTCTGACTCAAATTAAGGTGCAGCAGTTTTTTCAATTAAGGCTGCCTCACTAGCATGACTTGAGCTAACTATGCCAAGCTTAAATCCCATCGCAAATCGCCGACGCCATGGTTAAGTTACTCTGTAAGGAGTAGAGCATCCGAGCTTAGACTATTGTTTAATTTGGCTAGTTAGACTTGCAACTTCTCTTGGCGTCCCAGCCACCCTTATCTCTTCGCCAGTTGGCTTAATACCTTTGCCTTCCAGTCTATGGATCGATGTCCCTCATTGAAAACACCTAGCTCACTAAGTCGCTGGTTTGCTATTACCTGCGCTATCTGTACTACAGTCTCAACTGAAACTCCGTACACAAGACTGAACCAACTGAAATGATCATCCCTGGCCGCACTCTCCTCACCCGCGCCATCATCCGCAATGTCCAGAACCCAGCTCTGCAAGTCCAACCCTGCGGCGTGGACCTCACCCTCAAACGAGTCCTTACCTGGACATCACCTGGAACAATCGATCTAGACAACCACCGCCGCCAGACTGCGGCAACAAATGAAATCTCTTTCCCCGCATCAAGCACCACTACTCCAGAGGAACGCTTCCTCAATCTCCCGCAGGGATCCTATCTCGTCGAATTCAACGAAACAGTGTCCGTCCCTCTCGACGTAATGGGTCAAATCTTCGTGCGCAGCTCACTGTTTCGCTCTGGCGTGCTACTCACCGCCGGCGTTATGGACAGTGGCTATGTAGGGGCAGTTGGAGCCTTGATGCGGGTGCTGAACCCGGCCGGACTGAGGGTCTACCCATCTGCAAGACTAGCACAGTTTGTTTTTCACCAGATGAGCGAGGAGGTCGAGGGGTATGCAGGTGTTTACCAGGGGAGGACGTCACTCTAACCTATCCAACTCTGCCATTTAAATACTCATCTAAGCTATCAGCCTGTAGTAATAGTACTATTACATGACTGATTATCAATTCATATGCAACCCCCACTAACACAAATACTCTGCCCCGTCACCCACCCGCCGCCTCCCCAGCCAGGAACGTCACAACCCTCGCTATATCCTCTGGGATACCAACCCGATTGCCTAACGGCGTATTCTCCTGGATATAAGCGATCACCTGCTCAGGCACCTCCTGCCGCAACATATCAGACTCCACGGCCCCAGGCTGGACAGCATTAACCGTGCACCCCACAGGCCCCAGTTCACACGCCAACGACCTCGTGAAGCCCTCCACGGCTGCCTTGGAGGCGGAGTACACCGAGAAACCGGGTGATCCGCGCCGGGCAGCTACAGAGCTGAGGTTGATGACTCGGCCTGGGGCGCGCAGATGCGGGATAACGGCTTTGGTCATGTTCATCAAACCGTAAACGTTGACGTCGAAGATGGAGCATATATCCTCCTGGCTGGTTTCGACGAGATTCTTGCATTGAGAGACGCCGGCGTTGTTGACAAGGATGTCGATCTTGTTGTCATTGTTTTCCGATGGGAATGCCTCGAACGTGGCAGTGAGGATTCTGGCTGGGCCGTCTGGGCGTCGGAGGTCGGCTTCGACTTTGACTGCTGCGGAGCCGTTGTTTAGGGAGTGGATTTTGACACATAGAGCGTCGATAGCGGGTTCGCTGCTTGCGGAGGTGTAGGTTAGGGTGAGCTGGACGAATTAGCGATATATCATTGCAGTTGTGAAGAAGAGGGATGTACCTTTGCACCCTGCTTTGCGAGATCGAGGGCGATCCCGGCGCCGATTCCGCGCGAGGCGCCGGTGACAATGGCAATTTTTCCTTGAAGGCTCATTTTTATTTGCAATTTTGTACTTGAGTGAGGTTATGGATGACATGATAGAAGGATCTTCGTCGTCTTATATATCGGATCTGCTTCATTACATAACGTTATGTTATGATTCCATTGTGGAGATTATCCTACTGAAGGTTATGAAATACAGGTCGGGTTATGTTTTACTGCATTGAGTGTCTTAGAAGATAACGATATCCTGTCCGAGTTCGTAAATTCTCACCATAACGTTATGCAATACGGGGGATGCCCCATAACAGCGTGTGAGCTCGCTGAGTGGACCAAACCGTTATTTCATTATGAATTAGTAGCAGCTCTGGTCCATGGTATTGTAATTATTCCTGCTTGTACTCGAGGTCATCTGAGAGCATTTGACTGTTACCTAGAGCAGATGCAACTATACTCTCGACAGGTTCTTGACAGAATACAATGTTATCGTTGCACAGCAACACTATTATACATTACTTACATACTAATAGAACGCTATATCAAAAAAAAGCAGCTACCAAGTAAACGCCTCCTCCACAAAATCAAGGGCAACCCCCGATCCACCTGCCGCCTCGCCGCCTCCCTCACATCATCCCCAACGCCCCCGGCCCACAAACCGACACCACCGTCGCCCCAATCCTCCGGGGTATAATCTCCTCCAGCACAGTCGCCGGAGTACACCGCCCCGCAAACGTCCGGATCACCCCCCCGTGCTGCGCATCTCGCCGCGACTCCTCGGCTTCGACACAAACAGCATGATCGTCAGGATTGTCTCCGCGTGCGGCATCTGCAGAATCTCCTGGATATACTCCATCACCCAGCGAACGCTGTCCATGCTGCGGACCGCCCAGACCAGCGTGACGGAGCGCGTGGCGGCTCGGTCGGCCGCGGCGCGGAGAAGCAGGTCGCGGATGAAGAGGAGGTGGTGCGTTATGCCGACGCCGCCGGAGAAGAGGATCGCGGTGCCGTAGCTGGCCATGTTGACTGCGTGCGAGGAGTACGGGCCTTCGAGGAAGCCGGTTGTGGTGAATGTTTCGTCGGGGGAGGACATTGCGCGAGTGTACAGCGCGCGGGTCATGCCCTGGCGGGCGGCGACGACTAGTGTCACTGCTGTGTGGTTGTATGGGGAGGATTGGCTTTCGAGGGTTATGGACTTGGTGTCGCTGGCTAATGATTGGACGCTTTTTGGGCGGGAGGTGTGGGAGAGTTCTGCCCAGGCGGCGGAGAAGGGGTGGGACATCCACCAGGAGATCTGGGGGATGTATGCGAAGAAGTGGCTGCCTGGGGGACGTGGTAGTGTCTGGGAAGAAAGAAGGTGAGACGGCAGGCTTCGCCGGGAAGCGCCTCTACTCGTAGCTTTGTCATGCCATGTCGTCGAGACACGTTCAAAAAGACCAGCCAGAGGAGTCGGGTGGATCGTTCTGCACTCCAGAGGAGAACAACCCATTGGATCCATGGCTTTTGGGGAAGGCTGTGCATGTCGAGGTGCAGGTATATGCCCAAGATGATCAGGAAGGCGCCCATCTGATGGATGCAGAGAAAGGTTTCGTAGAATGCGTGTCGTACAGGTGAGAGGGAGTGAAGAATGAAAAAGGCCATGACCGCAGTTGCAACCATTCCCCAGGCGTAGGAGGGCGTTTCAGAAAGATGCTGAGCAAGTGCAGACGTGTTTCCCTCTCGGACGGTGTTGACGGCCCAAGCAGCCATGTGAATTATGCTCTCGACGGCGGCAATACGACCCAGCCATCGGTGAAAAAGGTTGTATGTGTCGAAACTGATCCGTAGCAGAGGTATCAAGGGGTTGTTGCGGGTTGCAAAGAGCACAAGAGGGACTATGTTTAATGTGGCCAATGTACCGGAACGTCCGCGAAGCTCTGCAATGACGGCGGGCGTCTCATTCTGATAGTCGAGGTCGCAGCAGTAGATGATTTGGCTGAGAATGTATCCAAAGATAAGGAGCGAGTGAAACCGGGAAGGGAGAGTGCCCATATTCATGGCCGACGAGAGCTGGATCTCTCGGTTATGGCGCTTGCCGAACAATGGCGCGTAGAGCAGACGGCTTTTGATTTGGACCCAGAGTGATGACTCCGTGATGCTCCAGACAGACTGTTGCTTTTCAGTTGCACCGGAACAGACAATGTAGCGAAGATAAGCATGCCCGATTTGAGCCAGCCGTGCAAGGAGGACCATCCCGGCGAAAGCCAACATGGACGAATAGATGAGCTGGACAAAAAGGACATCGCGAGGAGTGTTGAGGCCATCATGGCCTGTGGAATAATCCACCATTCGATTATTTTTCATGTCGACGATCCAGATGATTAGACTCAAGATGATCAACAGAGCAGCGCTCACTGCGTATATAAGTCCGCCTATCACTCCAAGGTTCCTTGGCTAACATGATCCACCAGGGACACTACTGTGGAGAATCCATTCTGATATTCTTCACGTTATTCTTTTTAGGGGCAGTACACCAGGCCATAGCTTCAGACAGGGAATCGCCAGGGTCTGCCCTAATCTCATGACACCATCGCGGTTGGCAACCTGGCTAATCCGGCCCATTAACGGATAGTCTGACAAATGAGAGCAATCTATCGTTCTCCATCGTTCGAGGGAAGACCATCGGATTCGTTGTTCACTGCTAACCGACAAGTTCAGGGTCCTGGTGAAACCTGCAGAGGGGTCATCCACGACAAAAGCCGTCCCAGCTTCCCTCCTGTCATTTGCGAGGGATGTCTCCGTCCCGTTAAGGAAGTCTGAGTGCTTCAGATGGAAAGCTTCTACTACTTTGACTCAGTCCGAGACATTTTTGTGAAGAAGAAGGAGATGCCTGTGTAGATGTGAAGCGTTCCATGGGAACTTCCTTCAATGGTGAAACAATCGTTGTTCCATTGTGTGGTATCCTCAAGTTGTATCCTCTCTGTGGGGAGCAGGAAGATCTAGTTATCGACTTGAATATGGTACCTGGCATAGAGACGATCTGAAACTGCCGACGAGAAGCAGTTTCAGGTTGCTGAATATCCTGCTCAAACCGTGGGTCTGGACTCAGGTAACTGACCCCAATCCCCACCGTTTCGAGTTTCTAATTATAGCCCCAAATATGGGCATTCGATATCTCGCTTGAGTCTCGACCTCGAATGTGTCGAACCCTTCACATCGAAAGTTAAAAAATACCCGGACTGTTCATACTCGCTGTCGCCTATAGAAAGGTAAACGTAGCTTAATGATCTTGGAAGTAAGCATGAATAACAAATTCAGGAGATCCCGAACCCTGGGCCCTGACCATTAGTTGTTCCTGGTTAGTGCCTGTGCAAAAGCGCTAGTGCTTGGACCTCGGCAAATCAGACATTGCTATACTAAATCTAAAACAAATGCAGTCTGATTCTGTCACATGTACATCTCCTCCCAGCACTATAAAAGGTAAAGCTCACTCTGATCTCTGTTCTACGGAGCAACTTGTACTTGTCATATAACTGGGGAAGTTGGCTGTGTAGAGCTATAATAGGGGTATTATATATTGAAAGCTGTGGACGCTTCAATCAATTCTATGTAACTAGGCCTGAGAGTCTATCCATACGGTGAACACTAGGGCACTCCATAGTACCCTATCGGCCTCCATTGTTTGAGGAGTCAAAGTAACCGACAAATAGTAGTAGAAGGTTCCCTATCAACCTTTCACTTCTGATGCCACCCCGGCCTTCTCCAGAACCTCTAGTTTTCCATTTGGACCACGTGTCTCTCCTTCGACTTAGTTCCTTCATATTAAGGGGAATAGTTTCTGATTTGTGAGGTCTGCTGAAGCATCTTCTTCGACATCTGCCCGAACTATTGAGCCGATTTGGTTTCGGTCGTGATAATATGCTTCGCGGAGATGAGGCTACCAACTGTTGCCAAACCAGCGCGTGGGGAGTCGCCAGCTGATGTTATACGCTTGAGTATGTTACTCAAGTGCCCGGGCCAGGTCAGACGAATGGATCTCCCATCCCGCGCGCCCTAAGATGAAGGAGAAAGCTTTTGTTCTCCGATTGAGGTATGCGCAGGATGGAGAGACGGCTTCTCGAGGGAAGCAGGGAACGACCGTAGCGTAATCCCGACCGTCACCAGCATTTTAACGCTCTGTTCTCTAATGCGCTCGATGTTTTAGACTCTGCATAGCCCACAAGAAATGAAAGCCAGCTATAAGATAGGAGAAGCCCATAAGCAGCTTTGCGCAAAAGATTCAAGTTGAAATTCCTTCTCGAGATGGTCTACACAAAACCGATAGGAAAGCAGATATTCCGGAAGCGGTTTGACGAATATACGGGACTCATGCCATACAAGGTGCTCGTTCGGATCGGATCTTCGGTGACTATGATTGTGCGGTCAAGCAGTGTTTGTCGATACAATGGCCATGCAGCCCTAGGGAGACCTACTCCTTAAAGCAGGAGCTAACATGGAGTCTAAGGACACTTATAATGGGACGCCACTATATCACGCAGCATTAAATGGGCATGAAGTAGTGGTTAAGCTACTCCTTGAGGCGGGTGCCAATCTAGAGTCAAAGGACATCACTCAACATACAGCACTTATTTTGGCAGCAAAGAGAGGGCACGAAGCAGCACTTAAGCTGCTTCTTCAAGCAGGCACCAACCTAGAGTCAAAGGATATTTATAATAAGACGCCACTATCTTGTGCAGCATTGAAAGGGCATGCAGTAGTAGTTAAGGTGCTGCTCGAGGCAGGCGCTAACCCAAAGTCAACGAATAGGTCTGGCGACACTGCCATGGGACTGCAGTGAATGGGCATGGAGCAGTGGTACAGCCGATCCTTGAGTCAGGCGCCAACCCCGACGATTATGCTTCAAGGTTGGGTTTCCTGTTCCTGTCGTCCATGAGTGCATTGGTACCAATCCACTTCCGAGAACGGTCCAAGGGTGATCCAGATATTGAAGACTGGTCAAGAAAATACCCGAGAGCTAAGGGAGGGTGGTAAGCGGCATGTATCGCAGGGATATGAGACGTATCCTTATCCATTCAAGCCATTTATGATAGTGTGTCTCTTCATAGTAGACTACTGAAGTGGCCTGTTCTTGTCTGAGACTCAAGCTCTAAAGCTTGGACTTTATCCGCCTGCTAGAACAGTTAGCCGAAACGAGTGAAACGCGAGTCAAACAAATGAGGCGTTAGACAGATAAGAAATAGGGGCAGAGGTTACATCTAGTTGTACTCAGAACAGGAATCGAGATTCGTTTGATGTAATATTCTATTTATTACTACTGATCACTACCGTCCGACCTTCTCTACCCTTGCACAACGACATCAATAGCATTTTCTCCATTCTGCACAGCGCATCGACCCTGGACCAGGCCAGAGATTCAGTAAGATAGACTAATATTCCAGTCGAAGGTCTGTCATCTGACTGTCATTCGAGCCATAGCCTTGATTAGTACCGTGGCTGGCAGGAGAAAGGCTGCTCAATCTGGACATAATAGGTTCCTCAAAGAGCAGACAAGTAGCTATTTCGTCCCTAGCTGCGTGATATTAATACCGAGCTATGAATAGGAGATACAAGCAAGAAAATAATGCATATGAATGAATATAATACTATGCTCTACTGAATACTAGATGTATCCCGCAGGGCGTAGGGCGTGGACGATGACAACGGTAATAATGCCGCAATTGGGCAGCCACAGATTGTACATCCTATATAATCTTCCAGCTACCCAGACGTCGCTGTATAAGACCTCGTATCTTTTATTGGGCGATTAGTTTACCAGAGCACTACCTGATGGCAGCAGAACTCCAGTAAAACCCAGCATTCTAACATACTCCAGCCCCGGGATATCGACGCAATGCATTTATTCAACAAGTAACTCATTGTATCTTCCCTTCAAATACATACGGAACTGATATCAACTCAGATACAACACTATCAGACCATCATCCCCCGAAAATGACAATGACAACCGCCCTGCACTACCGCCTCGCAACACCCACCGACGCCCCCAAATCCAACACCTCGTCCAATCCGCCTTCCGCGCCTCGGACCCCAGACCAAACTGGACCGGCGACACAGCCCTCTCCTCGGCCTTCCGCGTCGACACCACTGAGATCCTCGCAAAGATCACCACGCCGGACAGCGCATTCCTCCTTGCAAGCGACCTCACCGGCGCCCTGATCGCCTGCATCGGAATCTCCAGGGAAACTGCGGACGCTGACCTCGCACGCTTCTTCATGCTGGCTGTCGATGAAGCGTACCAGCGCTTTGGGATCGGGCGGAAAGTCCTCGCTTACGCGGAGGGGTATTGTCAGAGGAAATGGGGTGTTAGGCGGGGAGGTCTGAATGCGCTCTCGACTCGGGAGGAGCTGATATTGTGGTATTTGCGCTGTGGGTATCGGCCCACAGGGGAGGTGACGCCTTTTCCGGTTGAGAGGTTTAGGGGGTTGGAGTTGCCGGAGGATTTGGGCTTTGTGGAGATGGAGAAGGTGTTGATTGCGAGCTGAACCGCGGGGGTAATGGGATGGTGCAGGAGGTTTGTGTAGAGGATGGTCGTGGTCCAGGGAGGTATTGATTGGTGGCTTCCTCATGGTACTGGCAGCAGATTCTGACGGGTAAAGGTCACGTAGACTCAATAAGTGCATAAGCAAAGTGGACATGATAAGATTCAGCATAGAACTAAGCACTGTACAGTTGACCGGCACACTGGGTGTTTCCGCATAAATGCTTGACATCTACCAGCCGTTCTTCAGGATACAACGGAAATGCTCATGTACTGATCTATGAGTAAATTCATACTATGATACATAATCAAATGGTACAGGAAACACTAATTACGCTCCCGAAAACCCATAGCCACCCAATTACCCCGGACCCTGGCCTTGACATCCTCAGGATAGGAGTGCTCAAAATCGGCCGCCTCCCAGTCCGCACCGGTGGTATACTCAGCAGGCATAAGAGCGTCAGACACAACCTTTCCACCCCGCGTCGGGGACCCAGTACCATGAGACATGTACGGAATCAGCGGGAAACCACGGACATCCTCAAAGAAAGTCTCGTCGGCGTTAGGGCGGCAACGGGTCGAGAATGCCCACATCACGTCCTTTCCATTGTAGACGTCGATGTCATCACCTACGAGAACTATGCGATGAATGGTGTAGCCCGCCTTGTGGTTGAAGATAACATCGCCGACTTTCTTCTGGAACTCCTTTGCTGTGAGCTTCATCTGGCGAAGCTTGGCAGTGTCGACCTTGAGTACCACCCAGGTGACCTGGGATTCGAACGGGGAGAAGGCATCCGTGATAGGGAGGCCGGCGAGCTGGCAGACTTTGCGGATTTCCGCAGCGGCCAGGGCGCCTATCATCGTGTGTGTCTCGTCAGTGAGGCGACCGCAGGATGACATGGGGAGGATCGGGTTGGTCCGGTAGGTGATTTTGTTGATGGTGTAGACAGGGCATTTGTGGCTGTCGCCGGGGAAGACATAGCCGTGCATTTCGCCAAATGGTCCCTCGTCAGCGGTTTCACTGATGGAAATGGTACCTTCGAAGACGATTTCGGCGTTGGCGGGAACGTATAGGTCGTTGGTATCGCATTTCACGAGTTCAAGCGGACGACCGGTCATGGCACCGACATAGCCCGCTTCGGTGACGCCATCGGGAATGGGCATGGACGAGGCCATGATCGCCGCGGGGGGAACACCAAAGCAGAGCGCCCATGGCACGTCCTTTCCCTCTTTCTTCCACATCTGATGGATCTGCCAGATGTGTTGCGGTTCGATCACCAGGCCCGTAAGATGGTTCTTGTCCTTGACCATCGCACGAGCAATGGACCAATTCGTCCATGTCCCATCAGGGGACTGCACGACGTGCATACCATATGTCTGGAGGTATTTGCCTCCGTCAGATTTGTGCACCATAGGGACAGGCAAAGCAGTAAGATCAATCTCATCGCCCGTCAGGCTATTCCCTTTCACGGGACCGGTTTCAACGATTTTAGGCTCGATGGGAGGGAGTTCGCTAGCAGAGAGCATTTTGTCGAGTATTTCTCTCATGCTAGCCGTGGGTGGGAGGGCGAGATGGCGAGCCAGGCGGCCGTAGCGATCGCGGCTGGAGGCACGAAGGGAACCGGGTGCACCCAGGATACGGAAAAGTCCATTCTTTCCCATTCCCTTTAGGTTATTAAACAAGGGCGCTTTATCATCGGTTTCGCACACAAGCCGGGTAATCGCAGCAGCTTCGAGGTAGGGATCGACCTCTGTGTTGATCTCGACCAAGTCGTTGTCTGCCTTGAGGGCTTCGATGAAAGCGCGGAAGGAATGGTCAACATCGGTATCATTAACAGCAGTCATTGTGATATTGAGCTTATTGAGGAATGTTCAGAAAGGAAAGACTAAAATCGAGCCGTGGCGCGAGGTAGCGGACGAGATCGATCACCAGCGAGGGAGTTATATAGTGCCGCCATGGAACGGATGATCGGCAATGGCCGATGACAATATATTCTAGAAGTTGACCGAATACCCGGCAGGCATCCTTCTCAAAAGCTTGTCTATAATGATTTCATCAAGGCATTCCCGAAAGTTGGCATAGATGCCGAGTGAAAATGGTGGCTCGCCTATGCCGATATCCGTTGGTTCGGGGACTCGGGGCCTCGGAAGCTCGGATTTGCGCCCATTTTAGACCTCCACATCGACGTTATCAAATCCGAGACACCGAGATCAGGTTTCGCCATGAGGAGAGCATCATATGGCCGGGTAGTGTGCCGCAGTACTGGCAGCGCGTCGCCTTAAAACCAAGTCAAGCAACCGAAGGCTCTCTATCTCTTCCTCAATTCTTCAGTCTTCTCAGAATCGATCCTTGACCCAATCCACAATGTTTGCATCACTGCTACCCTCCGGCGCCAATACGCCCAACTCTGGCCGATACAGTCCTGATCATACCTCTGATTCTCAGTCTGTATCACATACAAGTCTCACACAGGAAACATCGACATCAAACAATGAGCGCCTCATTTCACCAGCGAAAGGTCGACGTAAAAGAATCGTCGTTGCAATGACGGGCGCCACCGGCGCAATCCTGGGCATCAAAACACTCATCGCCCTTCGGCGGCTCAACGTTGAAACACATCTGGTCATCAGCAAATGGGCCGAGGCCACCATCAAGTACGAGACGGATTATAGTCCACGGAACGTCCGCGCATTAGCGGACCATGTGCACAATATCAACGATATGGCGGCACCGGTGTCGAGTGGCTCTTTCAAGACCGACGGGATGATAGTCGTGCCTTGCTCGATGAAAACCCTCGCCGCGATCAACTCGGGCTTCTGTGACGACTTGATTTCCCGCACTGCAGATGTCATGCTCAAGGAACGGAGGCGGCTGGTCCTCGTCACGCGCGAAACTCCGCTTAGCGATATCCATCTTCGCAATATGCTTTCTGTCACGCAGAGTGGGGCGGTCATTTTCCCTCCCGTACCGGCGTTTTATATCAAGGCTTCTAGCATGGACGAGATAGTTGATCAAAGCGTTGGACGGATGCTTGATCTCTTTGATCTTGATACTGCTGATTTTGAGAGGTGGGAAGGTTGGAAGAAGGAGTCATAATCGAGTTGTCCATGGAACTATGGGGCTTGCCTAATCAAGCTTATTTTCCCTCGGCCGTATTCTGTGGGCCTGATTTATAAGGGTAACTTCAAATGTAATCGTGTTGCGGCTCATATCGGGCCGGCCTGGCTAATGTCAGGATAATCGAATAGTGGCACTTTCGGTGATTAGCAAGGAAACTAAGATATAAACAGGGTCCGTACCATTCATTATAGAGTCTAGGTAGGAAACAGGCGAGACATCGGTATCATTGCTGAATACATTCCCAGGCAAACTGGATCCGATTAGTAAATCTGTAGTGGACCGAGCATGGAGGAATCTCACCCAAAGTCAAAGTTTGCAGGAAAATCGCCAGATGATTGAACATCACCGAATTCCATGGCACCTGAGCCGGGTAGGCCGTCTTCCCGTTGAGGGGGGTGGCTTCGTGGCGATTCTCGCTGGCTCTCGGGGTTTGCGTGCTCTTCACGCATTGGGGAATCACGCACAGCATTTCGCAACGCAATGAGTGCGTGGATATGCCTTGTCGAAAACCATTGGCCGTTGCCATTTTGGCCATTACCATCCTTCCCGTCAGTGCCAACTCTGGAGAATACCTCGATGACTCGTTGCTGCAAGTCGCGACATGCCGGATCATGGCGAGTCTCCTCCCAAAGGCAAAGGAGTAATGTAGAACTGAGCACCGTGTGTACCATAGACCAGGTGCGTAATGGGACGATGCTGAGAGTTTCAAAGTCGAGGAAGGCCTTTGCAGCCTCAACCAGACTTTCTTTTGCCCTATCGCGCAGAACTCGAATACGTGGGTGGAGAGAGGTTCCGGGTGGGCGTTGGATGGCTGGCCGACATAGCACGGAAACGCAGAAGGAAACATGGATGCGGAGGGCCAAATGCTCCTGGTGCTGGTGCAAGCTCGTACAGTGTTCTCGGGAAAGGAGGTGGGGTTGTACAAGCTTGAAAACGCCGTCCAATCCAGCTAATGATTTGTGGCAGTAGACCAGATTATTGCGCTCTCTCTCATCTGAATCGTTAATTTGCAGACCTAACCGGCATAGGTAGTGCATCATGTCAGCGTATGATACGTTCGACTGCAGAGTCGTCAAGTCCAGCTGCCAGCCTCTTGTGGACACCATAGAGGGCCGATCATAGCACAGGCTTAAAAGGCTGTCTTGCCAAACCGTCATAGACCTTCAGGGGTCAGCCGTGAATGTCATTCTGGTATATCTACTCACCACAATGCTCTAGCCTTTGGTCTCATTTGTTCTGGCCAATGAGAAATGCTCTTCTCGGTGTGTAGTCCCAAGGTCTGGGCTAATCTGACAGTCGTGCCAAGCAAAGCCCAGGCGGCATCAGATTGGCCGTTGTTCTGTAGCGTATTTCCCAGAAGGAGTAGAGACTGGACAACTTCCAGGGATGGCCTCAAGAGGAAATTTGCCAGCCTTAACGATTGGAAAGATCGGCGGGCTTGTCCAGCATCAGTTCATGATTTCTCGAATAGAAGAGAGATTATTCTTACCAAAGCTTTGGTATTTTTCCGACCTCTCGGGGTTCTCAAGGTCTGAATAATGGGCTCCCGAAGCCAACGCGGCCAGGAGGAGACTGATCTGACCGACGGACCGATCCGACGACCATCTTTCCGAGATCTTGTCGCAATCGCGCAGTTCCCCGGACGCGTAGGATGTAAGGAACTGGCATATTACCGACTCAAAGCCATCGATATCGACAAGAATTGGGTTGAATGGATGAGCCGAGGCGCGGTAGAAGTGAAAAAACCTACTGCCATCAGCACCGGCAACCCCTACATAGTCGCTCAACATACTTCAAAACCTCCTCCCTTCGAGGCAGGATCTCTATAAGAGCCTTCCAGCGATCTAGGGGCGTTTTGAGATCAAGGAATGGGTAATTGCTGAAGCTATTTTGCAATCCCAACACAGAGCTCGCCTTGTGGGCAATTGATCCATCGGTGTCGTGTGAACCCAGTATGGAAATGACTGTATTCTCTCCAGAAAAGACGTAATTTGCAGGATTCTCTTGGTTGTGAGGTTCTGACTCAGGTCTAGTATGCAGAGGAGATGCCGAATCCCCGAGTTGAGGCCGCTCATTTAGACTCCTCCGCGTGAACGAAGCGTGAGAGGCATCAGCGTTGCCATTCTGAGGACTTAACATGGCCCGCTTCCGCGGAGGAGATTCCTCAAGATCATAGACACAGATCTGGGGATGACCACGTTTCTGGCAGGTTCTGCATGGATGGCCGTTGTCGCACTTGACTTTCCGCGAGCGACAGGGATAACACGCTTTTGCTTCGCGCTGTTGCCGCTTGGCCCGTAAGATCCGGTCGATCTCTTGGCGATCAACACTGGAACCTGTCATCTCGGAGGAGCATAATTTGAGGTTGCTGTAGGCCCTTATATATAATGTCTAAGCTCCAGATGGATGGAATTGTTATAGTGAGAGATTGGAAGGCCATCATCGGCGGTGTCGCGTTAGCATCCCGAAGCATGGTTGACTTTTCATTCCAGATTCGGTCAGAAGCAGTGCCGCTTTTAGCTCCAGCACGTACATGTGATAATTACTTCCTACATAATCCTATATATTATTGTATATTGTGGAATAAAAAGTTATATAGTACTCTAGAGTTATTTGAATCTAGATTTCACGAGCGATATTCTGTAGTTACAAGGTTATATGCAGATCAAACGTGAAGTAACCAACTTTATATTAATGGGATCCCGTCTCTCAGTGGACGATATCAAGGGTAGGAATTTGGGACTTGGAAGACGTGCAGAGAACCGGGATTATCCGCCTCAGCAAGGGTTTAGTTGAGCGTTATGGCTGCGTCTACCTCCTCAGACGAAACTTTTATGAACGATTATGGTGGAGAGCCATCCGCGATGGTGGCTTCTACTGGTTGAATCTGTAAGAACAAGCCACGGGCTATATCCTCTCGGGTCGCCCATCGCATTTCTTTCAGATAATCTACGCTCAAGTTAGTTCTTTGGTTTCCTGGCTTCGGGGCTCAATGGCCAGCTCAGACCTCAGTTCGGCCTATAGTGGCGTAGATTAATCCTCATCCTCAGAATCATCGGGAACGTTGTCCCGGACGAATTCGATCAGCTGGCCGACTGGAATTGCCAAGTAGCTTGTCGGATCATACATCAAAAGTTTGTTGCCCTCATACCACTGCCTATGCTTTTCTAAAACCCGTCTTTAGGGAACGTGGTGTCAAAGTGCTATGGGATTGGAGAAGGACGTTGGCATACGGCAATAAAGAGGTCGAATCACGTACGAGGTATAGGCTGTCATAGATACTGATCATTTGATCACGTCGCGTACCATAGTCGCGGTTGAAGCTATCATTATCTTCTACCTGGTATCTTGTCAGCGTCAGGTGTTTCTCTCGAGGAGGTGCGACTAGGACATACCACATCCTCATCCACTTCGAATTCATCCGAAATGATCCCCTTCACACACTGCTCAATATCGTGGCCGTTCCCGCACTCGCATTGCCATCACCCTCGCCATTGCCACTGTCATACTCGTCGTCATCATTGTTATTTTCACCTGATATCCGCCTCACCACCTCTCCGTCAACATAATCCCAGCGCCCCTCCAGGATACCGACGCAGTCCTCCCATGATATCTCGGGAAATGTATCATTTTGGCATTTGGGACAGTCCTCCGGCGGTACAGCGCGTGAGTCTAACCCAAGGCCAGCCTTGAGCTTATTTCTTGTGGACTGAGATGCGGGCAGCCGTCATCTTCCTGCTTGGCCAATTTGTCTCCGAGATCTGGATTCAGCACAGAGGGGACGGCCTGGTCTAATGCGTACTCAACCGCACGCTCATTTGTCTCGTCCGAAAGCGAGGACACGTAGGCAATAGTGTACTTTGCACTGTTCTTAGGTGATGCCGATCTATCCCAGTTTTCTGGAGGGGCTGAGATATCAGTTCCACTGCTGGCCCCGATATCTTTTCTGATAGGTCTAAACCTCGCCGGACGAGATCGAGTCTCTAGATGACGCCTATCATGATCCACAGGGCGCAAACAATCAGCCAGCCACCCATTAGACTCGCGCAGAATTACTCAAATTACTTAATGAAGCGGGCTGGTCTTTGGAGACAATTTCAAACTATTGTTTACACAAACACTACCTAGTCATGTAATATACACCGCGTGGTCACATCCCTCTAATAGTCTAAATCTTTTACGAAATTCTAAAAGTAAGTGGACTGACATGTCCTCATCAGCCTACTCATTCTCCCGAACATCAATAACAGTCGTCTTGAACTTCCTTGCAGGAACCTTGCGGTTGAACAGGATGTCGGCCTCACGGTACGAGCGGTGCTTGAGTTCAGGCAGGAAGAAGTAGGCCATCACCCAGCAGACGCAGGCGGTGCCTCCCCAGACGTAGCCGCACTTGCCTGCCAGGTTCCATCCGGTGGAGTTGAGCATGCGCGAGGCGAGGTAGATCATGGGGATCTCGGCGACGTAGTAGGCGGCACGACCGACACCGGTGCTCAGAGCGCGGAGACGGACGGAGGAGGTCTCGGAGATGATGGTGTAGGAGATGGGGCCGAGAGTACCGGCAAACACGAAAGAGATGAGGATACCGAGACAGGCCTGGGCGTAGTTGGTTGACTGGTTCTGGGGGATCGAGGCGCAGATACCCAGGATCATAAGCAGAGTGATGTTGGTGACGGTGCCCCAGAGATAGATGGTTCGACGACCGAACCAGCCGGTAAGAGGCCAGGAGCAGGCGTTGGCAACGAATTGGAGGCATGAGTTGATCAGGTTGAGCTGGAAAGCACGGTTGTGATTGATACCGGCCTCTGAGCGGAGGTCAGTCTCTGTCATCTAGTTGGCACATGGAGGTACTCACGCTCGAAGAAGAAAGTGGCCTGGTTGGCAATCAGGTTACCGGCAAAGTTCTGCGACGCGTACATCAAGCAGGTGATGATGGTTCGTCGGAGATCGGTACCCTTGAACAGGTCGAGGAGGGTAGGGGTGCCACCCATCTGCTCTTCGATCTTGACGGTTCGCTCAATCATGGCCAGGGACTGCTGAGCATGCTCTGAGGACTTGGCACCGAGGCGCTCGATGGAGCGAAGAGCCTCCTTCTTGCGTCCGCGACGAATCAGCCACCAGGGGGATTCGGGGCCAGGAAG